CTATTATCGACCAATGTTTCTCCTGAGAGACGAGAGGCCTGTTCAGGGACAGTATGTGCAACAGGCAAGGGGGCCGGCGTCCAACTGGGCTCCAACACTGTGCCAGTGTTGGAAGATTCTGCTCGCTCGGAGGCTGTAATCGTTTCGGATGTTGCACGGTAGATAGGGTCATCGTCCGTCCACCACGTGCAAGAGGGTTCAAGGTCCAGGTCAATCAATCGAAAATCGCCACTCGTTCTAGGATGAACGAAACGGCGTACTGCTGCGCGTAACGGGTTGCTTGCGCATACTGAGACCAGTTAGCGTTGGCATAATCCAAGGGGTAACCGACGGAGCGCTCATACCCGAAACCGCGGTCGTTCCGCTTGTACCATCCATAAGGCGTGCCAGCTCCTTGGCGATATTGATGGCATGAAAATGGTATTTCAAGCGCGTACGGTTGCGGTAACGAATCTGGTCCACGGGCTGAGTATCTAGGATATGTGTGGTGAATTGCAACATCTGCCACCGAGTTAGCCCGACCTATTTTTTTTTGCAGGAAGTGGATTCACTCACATCAAATCCCCGGTCATCTCGGTGTCTATGCTCGGGACAATCGTCTCGGTCAAACATACGGTCGAGTTCAAGGATTTGCGAGATTTCCTCCCCAACCCAGTGGGGATGGTCTGTTTCGGTAAGCACGGTAAGCACACGACACCGCAAAGCATCCAAGAAGAAGGACACCTACTGAAATTTTTCAGCCTAACTTGCCACAGGACCTCTAGCCGTCGCACCGTGTTCCTCCGGCTTCGGCTTTCTTGAACGAGATGTCGTATGAACGGTAACGCACGGAAGAGTCCAATATCTTCAAGTACGAAGACGACGGTCCCGTACTGGCCCAAGTGAGGTGGGTGCCCGTAGGGACCCAGCACGCACACCGGAAAATGAATCGTCGAGTGCGCACGATCTGCAGCTAGTGCGATCCTTCGGGTCACGCCCGGTCCAGGCCGGGCCACTATGCGTAACACATGAGTTGTCGGTGCTCCTGGGTTGCTTTGCCCTGTACCTACCGAAGCCACGTAGAATGCGGGAAGCTGCAAGCAGGACCTTACTCCCAGGCGTGGCATCCAGAGCTGCACATACTGCCCCGGTTGGGCCACCCACTCCACCGGAACCGCAATATCAAGCCATAAGAGCCTGTTGGAAGACCGCGCGAGGGCCCGTAGCGAGGTGATGTGCCACGATCTGTGGAGCCACATGGTATGCAGACATGTCCCGGCACTCCAAGCAAATCCGGCGCAAATACCGCCTAGTAAAACCCAGCGGTAGGACGATACCCGGTCGATCAAATGGTAGAAAAGGGTACCGGTGGCGACCAAAGCAAGCACATGGTGGACCTTGAGGCCGAGTTGCGGCCACCGTCGAAGAATCGCAGCGAGCGTCCAAGGCAAGATCGAGACGAGACTGCATCCGGCCTGTTCAATATTAGCCACTTCTAGTCAGGCATCCTGCGGGGAAATGGGAAGGCTGCCGTTCTCTAGCCCGCTTCACGTACCAGGAGTGAGATGACGAGGGGAGCTTCAAGGCTTGTATTTCGAGCAACTGTGCCTAAGACGGACCCATGAAGAAGGCAATGCAGCACGCAAATGCGGCCTAGCCACCGATGGGCCCACTGGAACGTGCCCCGTTCGACACGGTAGACGTGGGCCGGAAGGCTGAAGCTAAACCCGGAGCAGAGGGGAACAAGGTGGGTGACCGCCAAGCATCCGGCTCGCTTCTGCACATCTGCCCAGGTCTGAGCATGAAGACTGATTGCAATAATGTTGGCGATCACCAGGGCTGCAAGTACTCCCCCTTGCAAGTATGATGGGATATCCAGCCACTGGAGCACGCCTGGCGTTGGCGCCTGGAAGAAACGTCTCCAGGATACCGCATGTTGCAACCTCAAGGGCAAATGGCTGAATCGGCGTCCGAGGCTATAAGATATCCAGCATACAAGAGCGAGGAGCCCGCAAAGACCAAACTTATCTTGGACGGGAGCCCTGGCAAGCCATTCGGCAAACTTTGACACAGGGCGGGACATGCTTTTAGGCGAGGCAATACTGGACATCAGCAGGTTTATATCTTGTTTTCGAAATGGTGTCTGAACAACGCTGACCGGGAGCTTTTATTAGGGCAGTCGAAAGCAGCTTGGGTCGAGATGACCGCTTGACGATTGAAAATGATCATCATCGAGCCTCCGTCAAAAGATCACCGACAGCATAATAGTGGCGATTCAGAAACCATATCTCGATTGCAAAAGGTGCGTCTCGCGAACTTTATGTTCAAACGTTGAACCCCAACTCTGCGCTTCTCATGTGCCTGCAATATAATGCGGTTGTTAATTATCCCATGGTTCCAACGGTTGAACTCAGTCAACGTGCTGAGACGCATTTTCAGATGGCACCTGGTCGCTTGTCTGATTAGGCAGCGACTGTATTTGTTAGGAATATCAGGGAGGCAAACGCGGCCAGTGACGGCGAGGAAAGCGAGAGGTAGTACGTATTCAAATAGAGCAGGTTGTTGATCATATATTTTCCTAGTCTGTTTCCGGTCCTCAGTTATGAGAACAACTCAATTACACCACCTGAGTGCAAATAGCGGACGGGGCGCAGCACGACCCTGACACTGTTGTAGACGGCGACCGTGGAACCTGCTGTGACCCTCCGCCCGTGGGGTTTCTAACCAGATTTTTTTTAAATTGACCAAGTCATTCTGGCTATCGATGCAATCGTACCCGATAACTCGTCGACGACGCAAAGAGCGTTGTTTCTACGGAAGGCGGTCGTGTTGTAGCAACATGCCTCCGAGCTGTATTCCGAATAGGATTCTAATCTAGTGCCGATATGATAAGGCTAGACCGATCATCGCAGCATTGTGTTCTATAACCCCTTATAGCTATGGAGTAGTGCGGTTACATCAGGCATCCTGTTGCTTAGTCTAAATCTTAGCATTGGATTCGTGTCCTGCAAGTCCCCGGAGGTGTTGCGATCAATGTTTGGCTCTTTTAAATTCCTCTCCCGTCAGATGGGAAGGGGAGTTGACTCAAGACCATTCCAAGCAATTCTCTGGCCCTAATGTGAGCGCGATTGTTAGATCGCACAGAACTCAGCAAGAATAGCTCTTTGTCAAAAGATTTGACGGTCTCCTTTGACTTCTCATTGGGGCAACGTATACTTGATTCAAAAGAAACAAAAGAAAAAAAGAGATAAATGCCAACAGCGGTTTTGCCAGCCTCCAGACCCTTCCAACATCAATGTCGGTCCTAACAGTGAGTGATGGGCTTATGAGAAGAGGTGACATGTATATGAGAAACTTCCTGGAGCTCGGCGAGAATAGCCGCTTTCTCCCTGCTCGACACTTCGAGTCTGAACATGAGCTTTGCCCTAACAAGCCAAGATTTGCCGCTCATTCGCTTCAACATGGAGAAGGAGTGTTTGGTTGGACTGGAAGATTCACCCATGCCAATCTTAAAGTTTGTCGGGTCCACTGTGGAATATATCCAGATAAATCAGATACATCCGTTGGAGTACTCGAAAGACCCCGCACTCGCGTTCCATTCTAAATGGCCCGAAGATTGTGACTGGAAAGCCAACACCGACATACGCTGTCTCATCATGGCTCTCTGGACGCACAGCCTTGAGTATCTATTTAGCCTCCGCGATCGACCTTGAATCAATAACGACCGAGCCGATACCCAGAATTCGGTTGACCAGCGGTTGGAAGAAAGAGGGACCCTCTCCAACAGAGAACGCTGGAGGCAAAAGAGGCTTCCCCTGAGACTTTTTGTTTGTTTCTTTTTTTTCGCACCAAGAAGGATAATCTTCAAGTTTGCTGAATGCGCTGTCTCCAGAATTCTGATCTGATAGTCATGCGGTTCCAGGTTCGTGAGCTGTGCTTGAGGGAAGACATGAGTGACGCCATTCTCGATGGATACGAATTTGCCTTGGCTAGCTTACCCCACTCGAACCCCCGCAATGTTCACGTGCTTCCCCAAGAAATATGAAAAATCTACTAGTTCGAAAACCCTTTTCGTACTTCTGCTTTTGTATATTGGGGTCGGCGCATCTAACATCCTTACAGCAGGTACATTTGATTACCAAAATACATGCAAATGCTCAGCATGGAGGACTCCCGCCGACGTCAGATTCACAGTTGTGATCCATGTCGCAAAGGCAAAAGAGGCTGCGACGCACCTGTCTGTTAACTTGTCTGTATCGTCAACGGCGGAGGCTGACTTTGATACTTAGAAAGACCGACAAAAGAGCGCTTTCAGTTCTTGTTCGAACTGTATGCGATGGAAATAGGAGTGCACATTCAATTGGATCTCCTCAAAGCCCCTGGACTCAAGAGGGAGTCGAAAACGAAATCAAATCCAAAAACCACACGCGTAACTATCATGGGCTCTAATGATGAGGCCCTTGACGCAATACTGCGCTTTTCACAAAAACATCCTGCAAATTTCGGAGAATTACTTGACTTGCCCAGAAATTAAGCAGTCATTGTAGTTCATTTTCCACCTCGATGAGAGATGGTGGTATCTCTTGTCTGTTGGTTTCACCGAACGCTCAACACAAAATGTTGGCTAGCAGAGCGTTGCAGCCGCTATCTCCTACACGAAAGACAGTTCAATACAGAATAACGGTAATAGAACTGTAAAGTCTTTAGAGCTTGTTATTCATATATATAGAACCAAATGATAGCGCTTGAGCGAAGGTCTGAACATATTCATAGTATGTTGAATGTATACATAAGGAGCTCTCGGCCTCGTCCGTCGATTTACACGTATTTCGATCCTCACTAATCTGGTTATAGATGGGCGCGGAAGGTTACGAGGGGAATTTTTTGTTCGTCATCCATTAGCGAATCTAACGGGTTGAAGTCCATCTAGTTGAGAAGTCATGAGAATACTAACCCAGAAAGCGCCAATGGATATTCGCATCATCTATTGTTGTCTTTCCTGCCTTTAGAATTACTGTCTTTACTCCCAAATACCATCGAGTTCTTGATATTTTGCCACAAGGTGTATCAACAAGCCAAGGCCTTTTAGCGAGTATTGGGCTTAAGCAGTTCTTTTCAAATGGGCTGCTGAAATTGAGAGGATAGTCGACACCCTGCCTATTGGGCACACCGTTTCCTTTTAGTGACCCTCGGAACAGAAAGAGGACCATCGTGATCGAAGAACAATTTCCATCCTTCTTGAAATGAACACTGGCAGGAGAGTTTGCTTGTCTTCTTGACTGGTACATCGGTCATGCTGCGGATATATGCTGGGGTTAAAGTAGCACCTTCCAGTCGATTTGGCTCAATAACATCAACGTCACGAAAACTGAGAGAGCGTATTGACTCGGCATTGGCGTGAAGAAAGTTCTCCAGAGACACTCGCTTCACGTTGATCGAACACAAATCTAGCTGATGGATGTTCAGCTTGGCATGCGACAACAAGTCCAAAGCTGAGTGACTTCGGAGAAGCCGTACACTCGAGGCGTGCTCCACCAGGTCTGTGAGAAGAACGGCCAGAGACATATGGGAGGGTGGTGGTGGTCGTCGCCATGGGGTATCATTGGGAAGCGATAGATCGATGAGTTGGATTGTCTGGATGGACACATTGTAGCGCTTTGCGGAGTTCAAAGCAGCGGAAACCAGTTGAATATGGTGCTCGTAAGACTTTTCTTGTAATGTCATGCTCATATGCAGATAAGATTCCACCCAGTCCTCTTCCCCCAATGTTTCGCAAAATACTAGTCTCAATTCAGTCAACCTAGGAAGGCGCTGAAAAGCGAGTGAGACTAATGCCGAGTCTCTTTCCGTCTCTATGATCCGTCGTTGCTCTGCACATATTTTTCGTAATGTCTTATAAACGAGGGTATAGGAAGGGTGATTTATCTGGGGACATTCCAATTCATCCCAGTCCTCGCCGTCTTCTACCTCGTCCCAGCATTCGCATTCCTCTACATAACTCTCGGGCGTGAGAATCTGGGTCTTATAGGTCGCATAGTCCAGTATTTCTTGTTCGCGGTTAGCATTCATTGTATCGGTTCGCCGCAAGGGCTCTCACCAGGTTTCAGGAGCTCCGGGACGACGTATTGGAAAGAGACAATATACTGACGCAACTGCGATTGCGTAAGTCTTTCTAATCTATCTAAACCCGCGTTTGAAAATTCAAAGCTGACTTTGCGAAATAAATAAGGTAAGCAGATATCTCTCATCCGCCTACTGACGCAAGAAAGGCTTTTTATCTCCCAAATGTGAAGATGCTTCACGATGCCATATAGTATTTCGGTAGGAAGTAACTCGAGGCGAGCCAGTAGCAGGATGTCCGTCATCTTGAAGTTGTCCTCGGGTACGGTGGTGCATCGGCTGTGGCCGCCTTTTTCTCAGTCAATGAATGCATGGGGCCGACCAGTGGACAGGAAGCTGACTAAAGAAATTGTTGCCGATTGGGTGGGTGGGGTCGTCGACATTCTCCCGCGCCATCATACTCTAGCTCAAATCTGCGCTGGAACGCTCAAAATTTTTACTAGCCGCTGATCCAACAACCTACGGCATAATTTGGTAGGGGTGCACAAGGATAAAGACTTTGCTTAGTCGTATCAGTAGTTTTTCTTCAACTCATTATCCGTATTCGAATAGCAGTTTGGCGGCTTTATTAGTATTTATCGGTTCCGAGAGATGCAGTATGCACCAGTACTAGAATAGGCCAATGAGCCCATTGCAGGATAAACTGAGATGTGTAATTCTATATAGTTCTGATAGCAAAATAAAGGGGGTTCTTCGTGCTGATTCAGCAGTTGATGCGGTGCTGAATGAAACAAATGACGCTAGTTAGTAAGATGGGTTCCGCACCTTTACCGACAGTATCAAAAAGCACCACGTCACCTGGTTAGTGAATATCTTATCACCATGTGACTATCTGCGACTATCAGGTAACTAGAGTACCACTTGCGAGGATATCGCACGAAAGATCGTCGTAAATGATGGTGGAGATGTCTTTATTCGGTCTGGTTTCAGATGGCACTTGCTAGACCCCGATCGGGCATTGAGTCCAAACGTATTGCCCGATCCGTCTGCATAACATGCCTTCCCAGCCACATGCCATCAGACACTTTTTCGGCGGGATCAAGCCTCCCATAACCGTGTTCAATCGTTAGCCATGCGAATTATTCTAAATCAAATCATGCTATTGGTTTGCGCAACCAGAATTTCCTTTCCGAGAAGCTTCATTGTCTACGGCAGTTCAATTCGCCACAGCCTGAACACCTGCTGGCCTCACTGATCATGGATGATCCACAGACTGACCAACTGCAGTTAACTCCAGTGGCTGGTAAGGCGATATAGCTTGGAGAAGCCAATTCCATTGGTCATGCCAAGTGCAATCCTTTTCGCGAAGTCATTCACTGCCTGCGCCTCCATGGGTGCCTTGAGTATGATGATATTCCAAGATCGGCGGTCTCGTTACTCAATCTGCGATTGGCCAATTTTCACGCCGAGCTGACACTTATCAAGACAATGCTTCTTCCGAGTATATCATCATCACGGGCGCTTCGTGGCACGAAGCCATTGGGAGTAAATTTGCCATCTATCTGAACTGCGCAGAATATTTTTCGTCGAAGCGTATTAGACCAGATATCTCTCGAGTGGTTATTTGTTAGATATTTCTCCTTCAGCTATAGTGACTACCGAATGCGGCACCGACAACGACTGGATCCGGGTCGCCCAAGAAAATCGACCCACAACTTGGAAAAGACTCGACGAAGACGGAAAATGGTCATGCTTCCAAGTAGATGACTTATTTTAATAGATTGTATTGATCCGCAACCAGCAACCATCAAAATCTATATTAACACCATCTAACCCAACATTAAATCCACACCACAACAATAAAAAATCCCCTTATCAGGTCATACCCTCCAATACTTTGGACGCTCCAAAGCAAATGCAACAAAAAGTCCCTCCTAAAAAAAAGACGTACGATATCCGGTAATGCAGTTCACAAATGTCGCCGCTCTGGTCCTTGGCCTCTTCGCCTCCTCCGGCATTGCCGCTCCTCCTTATTGGGTCAAGCCAGCTACTATCCAGCTCGCCAACGAACAATCTGGTGCCAATGCCAACGTCGCTGTCCCCGTTGATGGCGTGAAGCGCCCTGTTCAGGAGCTCTGGGGCCACACCGCAGTTGCACACGAGGGCCTTGTCTTCGCCTCAAGTGCCATGCTCACTGTTTTCCAGCAGACCACAGTCTGCGAGTTCACAGAAGAGCCACGTCTGGATGTGAGCGTGAACGCTGAGAAAACATACGCTTCTTTTGGGGGAGGCGTCAAGGACCTCTGCGCCGCCTATGTCGTGTGCAAGTGCGAGGGCATGTAAAATTTTGATGCTAGAACGAGCCTTTGGATGGGAAGAAAGGCTTGGCGATGACTTTATATCTTTAACATGTGTGGCGGAGTGAGAAGTGATGTAGTAGAGCTGCTTACTTCATCTAATCGGTATGCAAATGTCAGCTTAGACTAATTTTGCTGTGTATATCTCTTTCGCTAAAGGAATTCTCACGTCTCTTGCAACGTCAAGTTAATTAAGAGAGCAGACAAAGAAGAATTTTGCTTGTACGTATTCGTAGTTCTTCTTCAACCATTATTTGTATTCAAATATCCAGTTGAGCGGCTTATTCGTATTCTGTTATGACATTAGTAAGTAATTTTCATTCACAGACCTGTCAGGCAGTGAGGCCCTATTTGCCAGCAATGCTGCGAAAACAAGACTACCCCGCAGGGGAACGCTGCGACAACAAGGCCCATAACGACGTGCAGGCACCTCTTCGTGGTGTTAGGGACCAGTATTCGAGTATTCCAAGAGTATTCGATGAAGCAAAGACCTGCCCAACACCTTCATACAGTAATCCGTTTCGTATTCCAAAGAAGCACCATTGGATAGATAGAATGAATATAGATCATCCCAATATCAATCACCAAATCGTAAGATTCAAACTGGGATTCCCTCATTAGCGACCCGTATTCCCACTCTTAGTGCCTTTTCCGCGGTCCGATAATCCCTTCGCAGCAATGTCTTTCATTCAGGTGTAGAGTAAACAGAGTTGTTGCGCGGGGATGCTTGTTCTGATAGAATGTACGTTGTGATGAGAGTTGAGTTGGTGAGAGTTGAGGTGGTGAGAGTCGATGTGTTGATGTGTTGATGTGTTGATGTGTTGATGTGTTGATGTGTTGATGTTTTGTTGCTCAGTGTTAATGTCGATGTGGTGAAATGTGTGTACCCAAACATCACTGTTATAGTGAGTGGTCGGGCGGTGAAGGGAGGGGTGGTCAACGTCTCATGGAGGCAGCGCGGTTTCTTGCCATGTCACCCACATTATAGAAAGTTCAATTGCATTTTTTTGATTCCGCAAAGCAATTTTGATCTCTGTTGGTCACGCCTTGACTACGGCCTCCAACTCAATTAAGATGATCTAATTCCAGATTTGCTCAACTATGGTCACGCAATATACTGTACACTCAAGATCAGAACTACGAAGTGTAGCGCCATGTGATGTATCTCGAAAATCCGAATCATGGTTTCAATTCAAGATGATTATGCGGTAGGCTCAGTTCCTTGCGTCGCCGAAGAAATTGCTTGCGATGGCTATTGCTAGTCACTCGAACCTATTCTACACTAGAATGCCTACATCAAAGAGCGATTGCGAGAGTGAGAGTTTCTTTGTCTCGAGGTTAACATGTCATTGGTAGCTTTGGCTCGGGAATATCTGATCCGCTCCTTCTACATGTAGGAGCCGTCGCAACTTTGTGAATAATATCCCGCCAGTAAATCCAACCAATCTCTCGTAGAAGTCCACTACAGCGATGAAGAAACGGTCGTTACTTTCCGTGAGGCATATTCCCCACTACATGCAATAAATCATGCTCCGCTGCTGATATAGCATGATTGAATTCGGATCGGGGCCCAACGAGCCATCCGAAATCAGAACTGGTAAAGACACTCTCCACGATCACCGCTCGGGACCTGGTGATATTTGTACAGGAGTGTTCTCATCCACGTGTGACCCTAGCAGGCATCCGCTCAAATCCTCCCCAAGCAAATATAACATGAGCGCTTATTGGGGTAGATAATTCAGTATAGGCTGTACGGGACATTCAGAGGTCCTACAACCCGAGGGCTCTTGTGGTGCTGTTACAGACATCAAACCCATCTTCACGGTGAATTGCTCAACAGTGATATGGCAGATATCGTCTTGGGCGCGATGACAAATACATCATAGATGGTCAAAGCACAGTGAGCTCAGAGACGTAGAGAAATCGATGATTTGCTGGCAAGACCTGCTTGCGCCGCCAGTTGCGATATGTTAGACGACGGTCTCAAAGGACGAAGGATACTCGATAGCTTGACTGACCTCCAGCTGCTGTGACATTCAAAGTGTATTTATGGGTTTTGCACGTAGTGCTCGGGCTTGGATAGAAAAACACAGGCTTAGGAATCAAATCACCAAGCTTCTGTCTAACAGGGAAAAGACAAACAATCCTCATAGCATGCAGCTCCGTGTATGTCCGAGTGGTTCCCGCTCGCTCGAATATGTCGATAAGCTGAGCAACGCGGAGAGGAAGAGGAATCAGGGGGACTCTATCAGGCGTGGTTCTTGGGTCATGGGTCCTCTCTTTCGTTTAGCCGTCCTCGGTTTCGTCCATCGATTCGAAGCTGGCATGGCTATTGTTAGTTGATTCGGCTAGAGATGACGGGACTTTCGCCTCACATTCTCCTTGCAAGCAGTCTCGACTAACAACCTCACCAGTACGATAATATGGCTCTGGCAAGACGAAATATCGGCTGCTCCCCGTGTCTTCAGGTTTCAGACTCGAAAGACACTAGACGCCATCCGAGGACAACGATGGTCACCCACTGGACGGCAAGGATCCAACCGCAAGTAGGCTATCCCCTGTGTTCAAATGCCGCGAAACAGACACTGCTATGCGCTCCATTGCGTCTTGCATCAGATAGACATACCAACGCATGATCTGATGAACCAAATCCACTGGGATAAGGTCGAGGTAGCGATCATCGATGCCACCAGTAGTCATGTGGAAGAAACAGAGCATGCGATGGTGTTGGTGCAGGGGAGGTTGAGCAGACAAGACAATTGCTCGCTTCGAATTCGAGTGTGAGAATATGAGGGTGCCTCCTGTTGTGAGGTCCGAGTCAGCAATTGTTGGTCCAGTTGGACGAGGTGTCGTGCTTTACGGTGTTCATGAAGAATCCCCCGAGTGTACGGTTGAGACAGATGGTCAATTAGGATCGTCATCATACCAGCTTACCAATTAGATCACTGCCAATTATGTTCTGCAATGCAGTCACCAATATGCCATGTTGTATCCAAGTTCGTCGCGCTCTCCCGCTGTCGCTTCGAGAAACCGCGCTGGATGCACCGGGCAAGTTTACAAGACGGCAAAGGCGCGCGACGAACCCACCTGTGACAAGAAATTGTACAGTCGCATTGGGAGACTGCTCCGTGTAGAGGCACTCTGTTGTTGAGGATGTGAAGGCGGTGAGGTGGAGGGCGTAAGACGCGATGGAGCGCGTCGCCCCTTGGTCTTATCTGACTCGGCGGGAATACGTTACTCGCCACAGCAGTTTTCGAGGTCGGTGATGGGCTGCTCCTACAACGGCATGAAGATGTCAGTGGTTTTTGTGTTTGAGACACAGACTTGGCACAGATTATCGGACCAGGCGCAGCAGGAGGCCACTCACCTCATCGTGCACAACGAACGTCTGGGGCTTATGCGTCCTGTCGTTGACCCGCAGCCCTGGTTTGCAGAATTTCAGGACATGCTGCATGATTTGAAGTGACAGGGCCAGAAATGGTGTGTAAGCCATGACTCTGCGTGGAGCACTGACGGAGTGCTGGTTCGGTCTCACTTTGGTGCGCTGTCAACGGTTTCCTGTCCATCATTAGCTTTTTGGTCGGCGAGACAATGTGTGACTTACCTGTTCTGAAAGAAGACACCGGAAGGGTTCCGTGGCTTGGCGCGCATTGGACGGAACGCATGGATCTTTCTTTCGCATCGTCTTTGAAGTCAGTCCAGTTTCGGATAGGGTCGCGCTGAAATCTACATACCTGTATGGAAATCTCTTGCATCGATATTCAGGGGCGGGACAGTGGTCGGCTGCTATGGTGGACAGATGTTCGCATAGATACATCGACCATCTAACATAAATCTGCTTCTTTGATCGGCTGGCATAGGTGGCATAGTGGATCTGGTGGGAATCACTTTCTCACAAGCCCTTTCTAGCTTGTCGGCCCGCGATGTATCCATAGATGTCAGTATAGTGAAAATTCCAGTAGGGTTGAAGGGAAGAACTCATCAGGTGCCTCAAACCGAGGGCATGCTCGACTTTGCACAGCAAGTGACAGTATTGTGGAACGAATCGCTGGGTGGAGAGGACGTATTTATAGGCTTCTCAGCTCCGGTCGCGTACGTGCTCTATTAGAAAGCAAACGTTGAAGGACACGACGCCTATCCTAAGTGAGGCCTGTTGCAACCTATGCCTTCGTTCTGACGCAACTATTTGCAGCGAAATTCTTGGTGCGATTTTAGATGCCCACTGAGAAAATCATGCTAGAGTCATGTTGAGAATGAGTGAAATTGACTCGGTTAAGAAACGTTGGCTCACTGTCAAAGCTATGGTCTTCTACATTGAGGCACTGGAAGCTATTCAATCTTTGATTCTACCAAAGAGTGCTCGCATTTTCATCACTAAGGATCACGGATCTTTCTCCTAGCCTCGCTTGAGTGTTGGTCGTCTGGGCTGTGTGTGGTTCTGTCCATCTAGACTGCGGAAAGCGTGGGGCCACGGGTCGCGCGCGGGCGGGGGTCCTCGACCCATCACCCTGTTGAAGCTTGGCCACACGTTGGCTCAATTTTGAACTTCTGAGTAATTTACCTAGATAACTCAGCAAGTTATCCATCCGTTTTAGGTGACTTTATGTAAAATGTGGGGAAGCTGGGCGTGCTGAGCCCAACTTGGGCATTGCCCAAGAGGCCCATGGACGGCCTCCCCTAATCGGAAAGCCTATGGACGGGCTTTGTCCAGGTCTAATCGTGAGACCAAGAGAACAATACCAGACAAGACCAGATACACCAAGGCCAACAGACTTCCAGTCTGCGTAGCTATTCGTAGAATCTCAGTATCTCATCCCAAAGACACCGTTTTACAGGCTGTAGTAAGTCTAACTTTTGAGTAATCTCGAATAGTGCCCATTACTGCTTTCTGGAAGAATTGCTCCACGTCCCCACCATATGGAGTCGCCCTAGAGCGGTGGGCATCATTTGAGCTAACTTGCATTCGAAAGAAGTAAATAATTGCAGGGACTCCTAGAGTATACGCAAAGAGCGAATCAGTTCATAGAAAAAGCCTTGAGTATAACAACCCAACGTAAGAATCGACATGAAAGCGAAAATTGTGAGAAAGAAACCAAGAAGCAAGAAACAGGGGAATATAAAAAACAGTAATGTAGTTGTACCTAACAAAACGCCAGCGCGTGATGTAGTCAGGTCGTGGCGACCTGGACGGACGTGGTGACATCCCAGCGGCTGTGGATATAGGACGCCAGCCATCATCAAATACTTCTTTCACATTCCACACTGCAAGCCCTATTCACGACCCATTCCTTTCCTGCAGCGCCACGTTCTCAGATCGCGACTTTCGGCTGGTCTTTGTGGGCGGAATTCACATACGGCAGGGTACACCACTCTCCCAATAATGCGACCTGGTTAATGGCTTCTGCGGCTTAACCATCTTGCTCTATTGTGTGATCAATTACTGGCGTCACATCCAGAGACACATCTCATAGCCGTGGGGACATTCTTCCGCTCTTTCCGCCATCTCTTTGACATTTGAATATCTCCGGAATGCCCCCAGAATGACTCTCCAGGATACTAACATACTGGTCTCCCGAAAAAGTTATCCGTGTGCGTAAACGTTGTTGCCATTCGTATATTCCTAGAAGCAGTTATTGTCGTCAAAGGCGTAAATGAGTTATTTTGTCAGCTCTCACAGATCGTAAATTAGTATACAGAAAGCTCAACGCTAAAATTACCAACGCCATACTATCCAGCCCCTCAAACTACCCCCTTATGTATACAGATTCTCTGCATCAATGAAATTATCAAATACCGAATAGTTGGCTTCGTTCGCGTCGTATGGTACGAGGTCATCAGTGACCTTGGGCAACAAAGTCCAGTCACACCCAGGATAAGCGCCAGTGTCGATCATGCTATTATTCGCACCATCCACCGCGACCGATTCATCCGAGTATGACCAGTTCGAGAAAGTTGGCGACATGCTGGGTTCTTGCATAGGTTGGTTGTTGAGGACAGTTTGGGTCATTTTTGCGAGTTGGAGATTGATCTGGTGGTCTTCGCACTCGGCATGTTGGAAGATGCTGTTTTTCAGATCCCAGACTTCTTCTTTGAGACAGTTGAGCTGGGCCAAGAGGAGTTCTTTCTTTTCTGTTTCGTCGCTGAGACGGCGCTCAATTTGTTTGTGTTCGCGCTTCTTTCTTTCGCGGCATCTGCTGGCGGCGATGCGGTTGCGTTCGAGGTGCTTGGCCCGATCGGGGTCCCCGGTGGTGTTTCGTCGTGCAGACCTCATGTTGGGAGGTGTTTGTTGGTCTTTCAGGTCTTAAGGGACGAGTGATTTTCAAGTGGTAAGTTATATAGTAAGAGATATGGATTGGGTGAACTAGACTAGTGAAAAGTAGCCGGTGCGATTAAATACCCCCTTCTTCCTCCTCCGGCCTCCCAACACTATATAGAGAAGTGGTCTGGACCAGGATCAATGACGTACTACGGATCAACCAGGATCTGGGCAAGCTTCAACCGCGCCCTGTTCGACCATTTCCGGTCCTGCCGACCAATCGCTATGGTGGAACAAGGGAGCTTCAGTTCCCACCTGTAGACAGAGAACAAGGATAGACTGTGAGGAGAAGACAGGTGGCGACGGGTTCTTCTATCTTTTCCAGATTCATGTAACATGTGGAACTGAAACTATTTACTCTTAGTCCTGACATCGTATTGGAGGTTTCCATGGTCCTTAATCCGTTAAACAATGCACACCTCGGCCTAAACCTGCTCTAAAACTGGGTCCCTTGCAAACAGAGAGGCTTGAAAACAGTCGCTATTGTTTGCCTTATATTTGCGCTGGTGTGTTGGTTTCGACACTTTATTTTGGTGGCTTGTACTTTACTCTAGACGTTTCCCCCTCTGCCGACCGGCAACGGCTAACTACTGCACAATAGTCTAACAACGGGCCAAGCGCTATGGATGAGTGCCAGGGTGTTGGACTGATTTTCTCCTAGCTTGATTCTTATTTACTGATTTTTCAAATTTCCAACCTTGATAGCCTAGTTGATTTGTCTATCTCTGGATAGGTTATCTCGGCAAGTCCATGTGTATATGGGCGATTCGCCGAGACTTAACTTACCACCCATTAAACCTCGCCACGGCCTACCCATGGGGCCGCCCGCACATCAACCGCCCCATCTACGCACAATCTTCCCAAATAGGATAGCTAAATCGGTGATTCAGCGAATTAGGTACCGTTTATTTACAATCGTCATGGTCCATACTGTGCTTGATGTCTAAAACGAACTAAAGTGAATATCACTTGTTGGGGTCCATTGATCCCAAAAGGCACAGATCCCTCTGGAGATGCGTGGAAGATATAAAATCCGTTGAAAATTCGGCGATATGACGGGCGTCAAACGCCATATCATCTGTGACAACCCACGGAACGAGGTTTTGTTCTAGCGCCTTCGCTCTCTTTTCCTCCGCGCGTTTCTGGAAGAAGCCGATGATAGATGGCTGTTTGATGCTTCTTCTGTTTTCCTCTAGACTACTGTCGGAGCCCTTTGAGAAGATACTATGTTTAGAGAGATGAAACATCATATTGGACGTCGATGTTGCTCGTGCAGAATCGGTCGTCTTCCCATTGCATTCTTTGCGGCGTATCTCCCGATTCTTCGATGGATCCTTTGCCCCTTTTGGGATGCCATATTCTTCCCGGGAATGGCAAGGAATAAAATCGAGCCCAGAGAGATTGAGAGATTGATTCTGCGGTTTCTACGAGAAGAGCCAGACTTTAGGGAAATTCTGACCACGTCAGTTAAATCGTCGTCAGGCTGTTCCTTTGTTGGTAGGTCACCAAAGGCGGACTTCAAGCCCGGGTTAATTGGCTTGTAGAGTCGTCAGGAGTAATAGGTTCAACGTTGTTACGTACTTTTTACGAAGGGAGTACGATAATTCGGTCTTTTAGTGGAGCCTCCTCGTCGATGCCATCATTGAGAGCACGGTAGTTGATTCGCTGGGCTCGGTATCGTTTGCCGGGAGGATCCGTGAAATCATCCATAATGCATGGCGAAAGACTTGCTATTTCAGAAGACGCGTCGGGACATCTTTGGGGCCCCCCGTACTAGACAATGACGCGACGCCCTCAACTCTACTTGGTTGGACTCATACACATCGAATTTTGGGAGTCTTGGCGAAATTTACGAATAATTACGAACGGAATGCGAATAAAGCCACCCACCCGGCCAGTCGAATACGAATAATGGGCTGAAGAGAAACTACGAATACGACTAAGCAAAATCTTTATTCGTGTGCACTCCTAGTTTGTACTTTGGGGCTCTACCAGTGAGCATCTGACCACTGCCAAGAAGTAAGGCCCTAGGTTCGAGGCCCAACCCGAACCGGTGGGTTCAATTAAACTTTAAGTTAAGCTCACTAACGCAAAGAGAACTTAGAAGTCGTCAAGTGTGATGTTCACCTCGTTGCTGTGAGAGCGTAAGGTGAAGGGACTCTTGGCACATCGTATGCAGATCAGAGATGACCGATTTAATGTCGCCTGAATTGCCATTCCTGTACCCCATTGCAAGTACTGTCAAACCAAGGTCATATCTAAACGCTGCCAAAACGCGGGTTGTGTGGGGTTTTCGCTTAGAAGAATTGCCACACAGCCGAGCGGGCACATGGCGCTACCGTATGCTCTGAGAGTTAGGAAGCAACACCGCGTTCCTATTGGGCTACTGCTAGATAGCTTGATTGCGTCGGGACGCTAACCCCGAAAGGGAAGAATCCCAAGACCGTTGGTCATCAATTTGGTCGGAGAAAATAAAGTGGTCAATGGTTAACCAGTCTACAGATTTGACCGGTAACTCTTACCTGAGACTCCGTTTTACAATGATGTGAACCACCTCGCTGAGCGACTGGCTCACTTTATCTCACCTTCAGCGTCAGCACCAGTAGATTTATTTAGTCAGACAATCTGGCCTTCACACTCACTCGCCATTGGCGTCGTCCATTGAATTTCGAGGCGGGATGGAGACGTATTACGGACACGTTCGCACCCCTGCGGACGCCATCATTCTCCTTGAGGCCTGTCGCATCGGTATACTGCCACGAACGCAGAGACGATGTTCAGAGAAGGAACGTCAATCTATTCGATCTGGCTCTGTATTCGTCTGGGATGAGCGGGAAGCAGGCATGCGCAGATGGACGGACGGCAAATCATGGAGCGCCTGTCGAGTCTCCGGCAGCTTTCTGAAGTACAGAGAGATGGAGGGCAGGCGCGGAGGTGGCAATATCTCTCAGAGCGCCGTATCCAGAGCCGGCTTGACATCTGAGCGCACAAAGGACAGCGATGAGGGCCGAGGTGACGGGACAGATGAGAAACCGGATGGTTACCGATATAAGCCTGACGGCTTGGTGAAGCAGTCGTTCAGCATCACGACTTCCACTGGCCAACACCTCCACCTTATCAGCTACTACTCTCGCTCCCATCCTTCTGCCGCCAACTTGCAACAACCCACTATCGATCCTGCCTTGCGACATGTACGACCTCAGAAGGGTCTCTACCCTGAGTCAACAGCCGACGACCAGCAGAACCTCCTAATGGCGACCCGTGGAACTATGGTCGGCGCAGCAGCATGTCCCATCATTCCTCCCCCTGTGCCTTCGTATGCGCGCACAACTCATGTGCTCTCCTACACGCCGCCCTCGTATGCTTGGCCTCGAACTTCGCTGACTACGCCACCTACTGTCGCCATTTCTCCCTACAGTGCTCGTTTCTACCTTCTTCCTGTCTCTTCAGCTGCACGAGGGCTGCCGGGTCCTCCAGGCGCTCCTCCATATGATCACCAGCAACATAAAAGCCTCCCTCACCCCGCGTTGCATTCTCATGCTCATGCTCTTCCTCCGCCTTCATATCGCATGCCATATGAGCGGCCACACCCTGAATCGGCTCTACCTCCAGGTGGCCGGTCTGCGGCCGCCCCGTCAGGCTACCGAGGTCGTTCACCTCGCTCTGTGCATGAAATTCCTCCTCAGCAGAGAAGCCCACGAGATTGCGGGCCAGTCGCGGCCGATCCCTGTCTAGACTCGTCACGAGTACTAGCAGCCGCAGATCCGTCGCCAAATGGTGTTGTCTACGGCAGCCCACATCTGCTGAACCAGACTCCTCCCAGTGCGCCACAGCTCCTTGGCCCCATAGGAACCCTGCCCAAGCCTACTGAAGCCGCTAATGGTGTCCCACCTCATCGGCGAATTGATGAGTGGACCTCGCTCGCCCCTATCACTTCCTCGAATGTTCCTACAGGTCGGCCTCGAAGCCCACCGGGTGACCGTCCTCCTATTGGGGGCGAGGGACCGCGGGATATCCCTAACGAGAAAATCAGCTTCGACGGAGAAGACATCCGGGCACTGCGCCAGTTGAACCGGGTATTTATTTACAATTTCGATCTTGTTTCATCTCCCTTGAAAAATCTCTTGTCTTCTGAGATACCCGCGTATTGGCCCCATCTGCACCAAATTTGAGCAGAATACCCACAGACTCTTTCTTGTCATTGACTGCGAGCCAAAGTGCTCCGTTCAGTTGCAGCTTGGTAGCATGGGGACATATGCGCTGCAACGGAGTCTTCTTTGTTCGATTTTAACCAAACATCATACTTTCCAAAGCTGAGAGATTGAAATTCTTTGTGGCTTGTATATCAGCCCCTCGATCAACCAGGCAGTGGACGACTCCATGTTGTCCAAGGTGACACGCATTCATGGGCCGAGTACATCCCAGGTGATCTGTATCGTCGGTTCTGGCCCCAGCGCTGATAAACATATTGATAATAGTCGAAGATGAGATCGTGATAGCATAGTCCAATGAAGTGTTTTGGATATTGTCACGCCGGTTGACAAATCCCACTCTATCAAGCCCCGGTCTATGGGTTCCCCTGCTAAGCGCATCAGGGACCTGCTACAGAATATACGGGATCCAAGCTACGGCCAGCTCTCATCTACCAGAACGGTGCTGTCATTCACTGGGCTTCCAAAACTGAACACATTCGCTTCGCCTGGGCTTTGGTCTCTTGTCGAATCACTATGAACGTGTTGTTTGGTGATTATTATCCCCTAATGATGGCCGTTAAACATGGCTCCGTGGCGAAAATTGCAGTCGAAATTTCCATAACTGGCTCCAGCAGTGTACGTGTTTACTTTGGCTTTTCCCTAGTAAAGCGTAGTCGCACTTTGTATACCTGTACTGTCTACCCAGCTAAGCATCTATAGAGATGAATTCTATATGTCCGACGGCGGGGTCCAAAGGGTCTGATACAGGAGGCATAAAATAGAATTATCTCTACCTGCGTTCCGTTTAGGCGAGGGTGATCCATGTTCAACTACGTTCAAGAGCGCAGCATGATACTTGATCAGTAGTATCTTTCTTTCTTCTCTGTCGCTTCTGGGAGTCTCGCCGCTGAATAATGACAGTCTAATCTGCAAATATTTGACCCATTGCGGACTAAATAAGTATGTAAATGCCCTAGGAAGCTCACATCCCTCAATCAGCAAGTGGGTGCTGTAGAAGCCTAGAAAGCTTGTAATATAAAGGATCATTTGATTCGTCATACTCAATGTCCGGGCAATACCGTCGTTCCGTTTCTCGTCACGAGGACTGGGATTCTTTCTGCGTTCTGTGTAGCAATGGGTATCAGTAGATCTTATTCTCCTATCTGTAGACGTATATAATTGTGAGTTCACAAAATTGGCAATTGAACAAAGCTTCTTCATTGGTCATTGCGCCCCACAATAAGTTGATCATGAAGTGAGATGTTTAGCGAGACACTGTTGTTCAGTAGCGTTGTCGCCCGTGACGGAGAAAATAATGAGGCTAAGTGGAACTGATGGCCATTTCGTTACTTATATGGCTTTGTCAGTGACCTATGGTCTTTGTTCTAGTAGAAATATTCAATAGAAGCGAGAGGCATAGTCGGGTATAGTCAAGAAGTGGCAGGCACCGCTGTGAGCGGTAATCAATATCGGTCCCTAAATATCAATATAGAAGTGTCAACGATAAGGAGGAGCGCTCCGATCGAAACGACTTGTACCAACAGTAAGCGTCCAGTTCGCGGGTATGGGATCGCACATCCGGCTTTTGACGATTCGGCGACGATGGAGTGTTAACCTACACAGATCCGAAAATAGGAACACGTGTATTTCTTGATTATATATACTATAAAGGTTTTAGATTCTGATTCTATTTGTACTTTAAATCTTCAGTTTCCGCAATAGATCCTAGTCTACTCCTTTACCACTAGTGAGGACTTTGCGTGGCCGACTATAACTTTCGACTGTTACAATGTAGTTCAATACCAATTTTTGCGTAATTATTACAGCTCGTAACTCAAAAGGGTCTCTCCCGAAGCTATCTTACACGTGAGCGGAAATACAATATTGCCAAAGACGCTATGGTTCAACCTGTCAAGAAAAAAGAGGGATTTCAATGTCAGAACCATATAGAACCCAGACTCGGTGTCCAATTGAAGGTTTTGCTTATCGCTGATCTATTCATCCCGACTAGTGAGACTATGCGGTGTCAGCTGCCAATGTCCTCGGTATCCCAGCTTTTCTTGATCTGTTCTGCCAACAAGTCGAGGGAGACGTGCCCAAGGAAGACGTTTTTGGGGCTGCATAAAAATCCTGAGATATTAAGGAGAAGTGATAATCATGATTGGAGGACCGAGGTTTGCGGTGGCTCCTGAAGACGTTCAGGAGTATCCTTTTGTCTCTGATGCATCGAAACGGGCCATTCCTTGTCTTTGGTCTGAGAATTCGTTGACTCCCGAACAGGAAAATCTCCATTGTGTTTTGAGACTCGCCAAGAGAAAACCCGGAGGATAAACCGGGTCACAGGTCGGAAGCAAGCCTTGATGCCTCTACCAAAGGCCTGGAGGCCCTTGACAAACGGCCGTAAGATGACCGATAGACTGCGGACGACGGCATTGAAAACGAAAGCAAAATGGTGGTCAGGAATCATGCGCAGGATCATGGCCCACGGCATACACCCCACGGCACAGATGAGACAAACAGCCCATAAAATGCCACTGAGACGAGTCACGCGAAATGCTTGGCCGCCAATGTATATTATCATTATTTGTCCGCCGACAATGACGGCGTTGATACCCAAAAACCAGTAGTTCCGAAACATGCCCTGGAAGACATTGAACTTGTTGTCGAGGCGGCGGCAGTTGAATTCGTTGAAAACCTGCATCCATACGAATGTATTGAAGACAACCGTGGAAAGCTGTTTAGATCGAAGATCTGGGTCGTTGCTGTCAAGCTGTGGCTTCAAAAGTTGGTCTCCGGCGAAGTACAACATGAAGATCACAGCGAGTTTGTAGACTGTTTGTCCGAGGATCATCTTCCACATATTCATAGTGAAGAGTGGGGCACTCTTGGGCACGGGTTTTCGATCCAGAATTTCAGCCGTCGGGCCATCCGTGGCTCTGGGTCCCATCATGTGTCAGCAAGTGAGCATACATGCCACAGGAAAGGGCTGCTACTTACAGGGCCAGTGCAGCAAAAGTATCCATTATGAGATTCACCCAGAGCAGCTGCACAGCATTCAGCACGGGGTTGTTCGAATCGCTATAGATGGATGACACAAAGGTCAGAATGACGGCCGTGATGTTGACCGTGATTTGGAACTGAAGGAACTTAGCAACTGCGTCGTTTACCGTCCGTCCCCAGGCGATCGCCGTAACGATGGATCGAAAGTTATCATCTAGGAGGATAATCGAGCTAGCTTCTTTGGCTACCTCAGTGCCGGCAATACCCATAGAAAATCCAACGTCCGCGGTTCGCAAAGCAGGCCCGTCATTTGTGCCGTCACCCGTCACAGCAACTGTTTCGCCAAGAATTTTAAGCCGCTCTACCAAGATACGCTTGTCTTCTGGCGAAGACCGTGCCAGAACCTGCAAGCGGGGAATCACCCGGTCCAATTCCTCATCTGACAACTGTCGGAAATCGTGGCCTTCCATGACTAACCCATTTTTAGTCTTGATACCACAAGACGACGCAATCGCGGTAGCAGTTGCAATATTGTCCCCAGTCACCATCTTAACTTGGACTCCTGCGGAATAACATTTCCGAATCGCCGGTGGAACCTCAGGCCGAAGGGGATCCTGAATGCCCACGACCCCGACCCAGGTCATGTCTCGGAAGACATCGTCAAAATCAGCTGAACACGGATCATCTTCCAGCTTCCTAGCCTCTGTCGGAGGCCAGGTTAAATAGTCCTTGTACACCATTCCAATCGTTCGAAGAGACGCCCTGGCATATTGATCAATGGTCTCAATAATTTTACGTCTGTCGTCCTCTGACAGCGTCTCCGCGTGGAGTCTCTCCTCAGAAGTAGCTATATCTGCAATCTTCGCAGAACACGCACGGACCATCAGCTCGGGAGCACCCTTAACAAGAAGCCGATAACCTATACTAGAATGGCGATAAACGAGACCCATGCATTTCCGCATCGAGTCGAATGGAATAAGCTGGACGATCTCGGCGGATCCCCGCTCTAGGGTGAGATCCATGCCCAAATAATCATGGGCTAATTGAAGCAGTGCGACTTCAGTCTTGCTCCCAATGAACTCTTTTTGGCTATTTATCCCTTCCTCAAAAGCGGTAGAGTTCAAGGCAACACTCTGAATAATAAGGTTCCGCACCGGAGCCGACATTTGCTGGAAAACCTCTGAGATATTCATCGAGCTAGGTCCAATTTCACCCTCGGATGGCCGACTGAAGCTTTGATTTGAGCCCCAGGTGCCGGCGACGACTGTCATTTTGTTTTGTGTTAAGGTTCCTGTCTTATCAGAGCATATTACCGTGGCATTTCCCATTGTCTCGCAGGCCCGTAGAACGCGAACCAGGTTATTCTCCTTGACCATACGAGTCGTAGCAAAGGCCAGAGCAAGTGTGACTGCGAGCGGAAGACCCTCTAGGAAAAGAATACTATGTCAGTATTAACGAAGTATCGAAGTTCGTAGTAACAACTACTTACCTGGGACGGCGACAACAATAACAGTCACAGCCACAATTAGAATATCCACGAAGTGCTGGCCCTTGACAGTAGGGCTCTGATCAGGATGATTTGGGAGATCGGCAACGAATTGGAATAACAGGACGAGGAAGAGAATGATGGCTGCACTATGGTATATTGTTAGTACCTCCGTTTTATATCTAGGGAGTGTAATCCTCACGCTGATCCCAAATACCCGATCCAATTTGCAAGACGACCCAGTTTTACCTGGAGTGGTGTAGGATCGTTGGAAGTCTGCAGCGACAGCATGATCCGACCGTATGTGGAAAACCGTCCAACACTGGTCACCAGATAGGTGCCCACGCTTTCGAGAACCTTGCTGCCGGAGACCATAAACGGGTCAAGATTTTTGTTTGCGCGGCCTTCAATAATCTGCTGCCAAACTTCATAGCCATTCGTCTTCTTCATGTGGTCTGACTCGCCAGTAACTGATGACTCGTCGCATTTCACACCATGTCCCGAGATCAAGATCCCATCAGCGGGAATAGAGTCACCAGGCTCTAGGTGGAGCACGTCGCCCACCATAATATCGTAAACAGATATCAATGTTGACTTGCCTGAGCGGATAGCTTTGACCTCGCGGTCATTGTTCTTATAAAAAGGTTGGACAAATAACAAAGTTTAGGCAGATAAATGAAACTTACTCGCTTGTTGAGTTTGGCAAATTGTTTTTCCTTTTGCCAGTCATTAGCAGCGGTGACCACGGTGACGATCAGAATCGCCACGCAGATAGCCACCCCCTCCACCCACTCCACGCCTGTACCGCCCTCCACCGTTTCATATATCCCCAGAGACAATGAAACAATAGCGGCAACGGTCAACAATATGATGATCTTATCGTTATAAGCGACCCAGAACAGCTTGAAGAACCCAGTTGACTTTCGAGCCGGTAGCCTGTTCGTGGCGTAAACCCGGATGCGGTCCTCGAATTGTGAAGGGCCGTTGGTTGCTAAAGTTACTGCCGGAGCCGGATTGGCTTCCAGTTGCGGTTTAGCGATATAGGGTTGCTTGTCGTTAAGGGGTGACGTCAGCTGCTGAAAATCGACAAAACCTTCCAGTCGACTCTCATCGACGGATAGACCGGCCCGTAGGTCCGTTCGGAGGCCTTTCTCCAACCCTCGCAAGCCACCGAGGACATAGAAAGCTGCGAGGGACTTGGGATCCAGCATTTTGTTCAGCTGTCCTGGCGAGAAGGCGAACCGATTTTCGTCAACATCGAAATCAGCTTCATCGCGAGGATTTGGTGCGAGTGCTTCTGACAGCGATACATCGTCATAAGCTAGTTTGACAGTGGGATCCGAATACTCCGAGTAATCCCTGGAGCGGACCACTGTGGCCGCAGTAGATGCGATCGAAGCATCGCCATCAATCGACTGCGAAGGCCGGTGCGAGGCATGATGAACCAACGGTAGTGCTGGATCTGGATTATTCCGTATTACGTCTAGCGAGTGAGGAAACACCGGGCTATGGTTCAGGTCATTTGGTCCTGGACGTCCTGAAGGCCTTGCGGCGGATGAAACAGATAGGGACCGCTGGAGGCGAGATATTCTTAGACGACTGTCACCCGATGGATTTTTGGGCATGATTGCCTCTTCATCAAAAGAGTTTGTTACCATCAAAGGGACCGGTGATAATGGGTGCTGAGACGACTTGTTATGAGAAGAAGAAGCCATGGGCGCACTCTGAACGGCACTTGTTCCTCCAATACAGGACGTACTTCATTTGGAAATTATTCATCTCTCATGTTAGGAGACCGTCCCAGATGCTGGGTATTGGCTAGTTATCTTCGTCCCAGAAGGGGGCTGTGTAGTGGTTTCCAAAAAGCTTTTAAGGAATGGGAAGGCCGTCCATGGGCAACCGCGCAAGGGCTTGCGGGCCAGCAAGGATGCCAAGGAAGATTAGTCCTTCTTTCCCATAAATTTTGAATTGTAATGATCGTTTGTTGGACACGAATAATGCAAGGACTCTATCCACGATCATCCTATTCCCCGATGTCAGATTACACGGGAGTAGCACAGCCGCACAGCCTTGATGGGCACCAGAGCTACAGTACCGAAGAAACATTAAACTTTCTACATACGCCAAGATTGAGGAGCCGAGGGCGAACTCATATCAAATTAGGTAAGCATAAGGGTGAGTTAGGTTCCTATACAGGCTCCCTCGCGCTCATGGGGGTTTGGTGCGAATATCTTCTGCTTCTCTCCCGGAATCTAGCTCTATACAAAACGCTCGAAGTCCGTATCTCAGGCCGTTTCTAATAAGACCTGAAACCGACTTCACGATGCCAACCTAGAGGTGTCCGGTTTTGGGCTTGCCGCTATGTCAAGGGTGGCGAGGAAATTCGACTGCGCCTCGATCTAGAGGCCTTACGGAATTGTAAGCTCGGAAACTCCCCTAAGTTTCGTATTACTGAGCTTGAGGGGAGGTCAATTACGTACTTGGTGCTCGCCCAATCAATGGGAGGCCGGGATGTGTCAAATGCGTCATGGGTTCTGAACTCCGGACGCAGGTACTGAAGGTCACATGCCCAAAGTGAGCCATCGACAGCACAAACCACCAATAAATTGTGTCTTAAGGTCGACCTGGATTTATCACATTTCCTTCCAACCATCGATTGTGATAAACAAGTGCCTGATACCGAAGCTGCGGCAAGACTGAAGGTATAAGTGATTCGATTTTTTTTCTACAGTATAGCGATGCCGGTGGCAGCAGTGTAGTTGGTTAGCACTCCGAGGCAACATGACGAACTGGTCATTTTTCATCCGTGGGCAATTGCGTTCGAGTTCCGACGCCCGGCACGACAATAACCATCATAAGTCTCCGTGGGAAGCCACTATCGCCCGGGGTAATGGGTACCAAAGCATTTTTTCACTGGTTAAAGTGGAATCATTACAGGCCTTCACCGGTGAGGCCCAAAGGTCCACAGCAGGAAGTTTACAACATTGGCGTGGAGACAATCATGTATCATAGTGGTAGCCTACATATCGCCAAATGCGTTGGATCCCAGGTTACGTGATGTATATAGGTCTGTAGGCTGCCACTCCGGTAGGCAGAAGGGGGATGAGTTGCTGCGACTATAAGTAGCTGGATCTTTTCCCATAGACTGAATATGATCATCACACTTGTACTTTAGTCCAAGTTTCCAACTAAATGCGGGGTCAGGGTGAATGAATTCATCCATCCATTCATCCATACTGTGACATATCCTATCAAAAAGCAGCGAGAAAACTTTCAAGCAAGGATAGAAGATAATTCTGACCGGTTCGGGTACAGGAGCCGGCAAACAGTTCCACCACTTCACTTGTACCATCATCATGTCTACTGGACACGGAGATCCATGACGTGATTGACCATGAAAAAAAGTGCCAGTTATATTGGTCTCGAGCATGCCAAATATCCGTAATTCAAGGCTAAATGCTTTCCTTGCACTTTAGGCTTGTTTGATTACAATCTCCCAACATGGTTCCCCGGCCCAACCACAAAGTGTCAGACCAGACGGGTCTCAAATCACCGCCGGAGGATCGAACACTACGATTCAGGAAAGATGGCACTTTCCATATCGCTGTATTTGAGGACCTTCATTTCGCCGAGCGTACGTCTCGATCTTTGCGGCAACGTGATGGGACAGGGGTAGAGGATGTACACTCTAACCTTTTGCCAGATAACGACAAGGATGCCAAATCGAAAAAGGTGATGTCATACATTCTTGCCGAAGAAGACATCGACTTTGTAGTTCTCAATGGCGACCTAGTATCAGGCGAAAGGACACTGAAAAGCAACTCCAGTAAATATGTCCTCTCCGTCATTTCGCCCCTTGTCAACGGGGGATTTCTTTGGGCGTCGACCTACGGCAACCACGACAGCGAGATCAATCTCGACCCGGAAGAAGACGTATTCAAAACTGAGACACGGTACCGCGGCTGCTTGACGCAGAGCAGAGTTTCTGGGCCCAAGGCTGGAGTTACAAATTACTATTTGCCGGTCTTTTCTCATTCAGCATCCAACACCAGCAAGCCCGCACTTATCTTGTGGTTCTTTGATTCTAAGGGTGGGCATTATCACCAAAAAAGTGGGGAGGGAGGCTTATCGACTAAGAGACCTAATTGGATCGATGAATCTGTACGAAACCCCACCGGTGATTGCTTTGATAACTGACTTGATTGAAGGTGGTGGATTGGTTCACCTTGACCAGTTCCAAGCTAAAAGCTGAGTTTGGGGTCATCCCATCACTGGCATTCTATCACATCCCTACCCATGCAATGCTTGATTATCAGCAAGAAGGAAGGGTTCATCCACAATTGAATCCCGGTCTCAACTGCGAAAAAGTGAAACCGCAAGGCACCGGAGACTGGAGCTATGGTAGCAAGGATGTGAAATTTAGGAAAGCGCTTCTTGAGACTGAGGGGCTCGTCGCAGGATTCAGTGGCCATGATCATCAAAATGATTGGTATGCTTTTAATTTCTCAGGAAGCACGTTTGAGGCATTGAACTGAATTTTAACCATCGAAGGTGCTTCCAATGGGACGGATCGCTGACCGAACACGGATTGACCGGAAACGGTATCAACTTGTGTTTCGGTCGGCATACAGGGTATGGAGGATACGGAAATCTGACACGCGGTAGCCGACAAATTTTCCTCCATGAATCTAACCTCAGAGATAATATTGAAACATGGGTTAGATTGGAAAATGGGACTGTCTCAGCCCACGTCACACTGAACTCGACTTATGGCCAGGATTTTTACCAACCGGTTACTAATGGTGTTGGGAAGCCGAGTGTGCACGTGCAGGACTCTTTAATCCCGGTGTTCTCGTTGTGGGTTTGCTTTTTGACTCTGTGGCGTTGCAAATTCTGAGATATGAATGGTCTATACCTATGTATATACATCGGATTTCGAGGGGATTGTAATCGAACCAGGTCTACAGAGGGCCGGGAGAAAAACCTTAGCCATTCGACCTCCCCCCCCCCAAAACAAGCGTCGTTTATTTTACCTGGAAATTGATGCTATATCGATGTGAATCAAATTCGAGGTCGGACAAGGGGAATTTGACTTGAAAAAGGAGGTCTTTGTTGGAGAGGGCGCTGCACTTGACCAAAGAAGAGCTTCTGTTCAACCATCCGGAGAGCTCGATCACTATGAGCCCGTCAGCGATGAAGGTGATGATGAAAAGAAGGCGGAGGAGAAGGACGAGCCACCTGCTTATAGCTCGAAATCCAAACAACACCAGCTACATCGGAGTCCCTACCTGACCATCAACTCCCAGGAATACATACCAATTGAACAGAAAGAGACGCAAGGACGCACGGAACGGATACGCAGGCCACCAAAACTGCCATATGGATTTAAGTTGATGCATTGTAGCTACTCTACAAAAAGGACTTTGTCTTTCAGAGTTAGAATTTAGCCTAGAAAAGGACCTGAATGCTCTTTGTATTATAATTAAGCCAGGAAATATTTTCCAATTCCTGGTTTTTATATAAAACATACAGAATACCTTAAAATACTGGTAAAATTGCATACCTTATCCACTAATGCAAAATTCAGGGGGTCTAGGCAGGTTTGTAACATTGACATATCCGCGGAGCTCCGCAGACTGTCGCGAAGATGGTACGCAGTATCTTCATCCGCCCCACGTGGGTTTGTGGATGGTACTATGGCCTCTAAATCCGCAAATTTGCAGAGCGGAGAGGATAAATGTTCGGATCCTTGCAGACGTGCCGCAGCCTAGTGGAAGTCCTGCATGAGCTATGTAGTTCGAATGGACGTTATGCTTGCCCACAGAACCCTACAAGCACCAAAAAGGATCGGTGGTTGGCAACTACGCTACTGTACACATTCCAGCAATAGTTTAAAACAGAGCACTGCCTATGATCAATAGCCCTCGTCGCTCCTTAACTAACCCGATCGGTATACCTCCGTCCTGGTGTGCTCCTTGGATTAAACCAACGTCGGCAACCTATGCGATGTAAATAAAAACCTGGCAGGGTTCATAAAACTTCCACAAGCTTTTTAATCACCAAATCCACAGCCAAAATCGAATAAGTTTGAAAAATCGAAGTTTGCAATAAATAAAAACTCAGTAACCAGAGGCTGCGAAGAAAGATTTAGCATGCTGCTGATCACCGCTCTATCATATGGCTGGCTTTACTCTCTAACGTTACAGGCGACTTTTTAATTCAATTTTTCTATCATCATTTACATGCCCTCGCCTTTCCATACCGGCTCATATCTTCTACATCGCCTCAGATCATTTGCGAAATGGGGTTGTAATAAGCTTCAGCTATCATGATTCAGTCAAGACTTGGGACCCACGTCATGCAGGCTCGCAATAACCTTGGACGGTGAAGACACATTCTTGGTCAAATTCTCGCGGATCTAAAGATTGACATAACTTATCTCTCAAGAATGGACAGCCATTTGGCTTGAGGCATTCTTCATGCTCACCCTAGAGCCGTTGTGTGGCATACACTAGAAAATGTAGGGATGAGGTACATGATTACGTTGCATTTGTCGAATACCTTTTGCATAGGGTCTTCCATAATATCCAACGTAACCCGTTTTGTTATTCTCATGAATCATCAACCGAGCACACATATTGTGGTTCAATTCCTTTCAAGTGAGGCCCCTACGGCGCTTTCAAAACTGGGACTGACATTTCTCGTTCCTCAAATTCATAGAAAAGCATACCTCTATCCTGTTGGCAGAATCCAATACTCACCGACTGCCTTTGAGCCAATGGCCTTTATCTGGGCCCTGAGGGGTGTGGCCACGCTTGTGGCTTTCATCGTTGTTCTCTTTTGTGTCATAGCCGGTCAGTCAGGATTTCTTCAAGGATCAGATATTGCGAGAGTAGGTCAATGTGTTCCTAAATTGCTGCGAAGATAGCTTCTAAACTTTTTGTCAGATACATCTTCCTGCCCGTGACGATTTGCATCCGCTACTTTCCATCCACGTGATGTCGTTCTGTCGAGGATTTCAAAAATCCTCAACTCGCCAAGCATTAAGGGAAACCTCTTGTTCACATTCGTTCAAAGACCTGGTCCCTTTTACCACGACCTTGAATTTAGCAAATACACTGAAGGATTCGCTCGCCCTTCATGATGTTCCGGAGTCTGAGTATGTCATGAGCCGTTTAACCGCATTAGCTCCGACACGCAGGCTTATGTCAATATTCTACGTTACTGCTATTGGTACCTTGGGTCTGTCTATCTGTTTCTGGGCAAATGAAATTCAGCGGGGTCATTCAGGCTCGCTGTTACTCACTGCCCCAGCACAGGTCTATCCGCTGTACCCAAGCCTCCTTGCAAACCATCATGATGCCCCTCCATCAACGGTGGAATTCTTCAGCCTTATAGTAAGCTTAACTACTTCTAAATACAACGCGAAGTTCTTCTGACCCCAATTCCGAATTCAGCTGGGTACCTTTTGTATTGGTGCTGCTTCGGCTATGGCATCTATCATTTCCTCGGAATTTGTCTATCTGATCAATAATGACGGCAATCCTTACGGAATTTCTGCTAGCCATAACGATTATTTGTCCAAGTTATCTTGGGCTGCCACATCTATCCAATTGATGGTAGTTATTGAAACAACTATCTTGATTCTCAGGCACAAGATTGGCTATCTAATGCGTGAGGAGACTCATTCTTCATTGCCAGGTCACCAACCATAAAGGGCATCTTGTGAAAGAATGCATATCACCTGGGGACAAGAAGTGGCTCGCGGAATTGAAAAATTGATACATCTATGATGTCGGTGAGATGGCAAGAAAATCTCCACGCTGCGTCCGTGAGACGTTGACCACCAATCCCCTTTACCAACTGACCATTCACCACAACAGTCATGTTTCACCATATCAGCACTCATATAAATTTGCAAATATCAAAGAAGCACGTTTCACTTCGGGCTAAAAGAATTTCGTTACATTATGCTCGACAATTTTCAGTCTATAATTACCCTTGGAAGTCCATTTCTACGGATCAAAAGACTAGAATTTTGTCTATTTTCACTCATCTTTATGCCTATATACTGAGAGCTACCTAATCTTAATGTATCAGCTCAACGCTAGCCTCGATATCTTCTCTAAATCTCGTCCTTGGAAGATCAGAACGAGCCTGTGACAATTTGACCAACACCTTTTGCCACCACCCACTAATGCACCCTCTTGTTTCTGAAGTGGCCCCGTGATACCCTTGCATCTCAGGCTTGCGAGCCAGCCTCTCATTGGAAGATGTCTCTCTGATGCTTCCGTCCCATGCGACGGAGAAAGACATTCCCAAGTGATTCCTGTGTGCTTGAACACCACGTCGTTGATAATGGGGATATAAAGGATAGGGATCACGGTGATAAAGCCTGCATGAATAGACCAGAAGAGGAACTGATTGCGCCAGACGTCATACGCCCACTTCGTGAGATACTTCTTGGATTTGGGCTGCATGCGGAAGAAAGATCGGCGCATGTTCACCATTTCCCAGGTCAAGAACAGGGCAAACCACGTCAAGCAGACGAAGGTGGTTGCGCATGCCCTAAAGACGAGCTCACACTCTTTGGAGTACTGGCGATTGCAACCGCGTCCAAGGTTGTCGTCTCCAAATCCCCACATCGCCAAGGAGAAGGACGAAAGACACAGAGCCGAGGTCCACAGGCCATACGCGAGAATATCGATCACGACCTCCCATGTGAAGATACCTTGCTTCTACTTTGCTGTTAGCATTCAAAATTCTAACATATAAGTTGCTTGAGTTCTTACTAATTGAGGAGGCCGTTCCATGATATCAGGAGCAGCAACTTCCATACCAAAGCACCAGCAGTTTCAGGTCGAGGGGGGTCATAGATCCCTACCAGGCCCAGGAACTGGAGGTTCTTCTCCACTTCATCACGTCTGTAGTCCATGCCTTCCAATACTTGGGTGGATGGATCGAATGATCTCTGCGCAAGGGCAAGAATGCGGAGACACAGACTAGCTAGTTCACCCATGTTGCGAAGAATAGTCTGACAGTATCATCCGTCAAAGCAATCGGAGCGGAGCCCGTCTCCCAAACGATGGTGGTAGAAGCGTCCAAGATACGTCAACTGCTCCTTTGCTGAAAAGCATGTTTTTCTCTTCGCCATTTGCGGGAGTGCTATCAAGGAGAGACATCTTCTTGACGGCGGAATCAAAAGGAAACTCGGCTTTCTGCTGCCAAGTAGGCTTGGAGCCCTTAGTCCAGCGACCACGGTTCCAGTCAAAGCGCGAAGCAAAGACCTCAATTGCAATCTCGGTGGGCTCGCCGCGGGCATGCCATTCGTTTTCTTCAGAGAGATAAACGTGTGCCAAATTCGCCATCGAAGCGACATTGAGGAAATCCTCAAGCTCAGGGCACAGCAGCTCCTGACAAGCATAAGGTCCTCCATCCTTTTCCGCGTCATTGTTTTAGGGGGCCATTAAACTAAAAGTAACATCACCCAAGGCTGGGTTGAATGGCTCGTTGGAAGATCCAACGGAGTAGGTTCCGAGAGCAGGGACCCACGATTTGCGTACAACCATCTTTCCCTGTGTCAAAGTGCCAGTTTTATCGGAACAAATGTTAGTCACAGAGCCAAGGGCCTCGAGGGAGTTTTTGTGTTGCGTATAATCAAACTACAGGCTCAGTTATGATCCGTCGACCCATTCCCCTGGTGCTTCGAGTGTACCTTTTTCTCTACTTGATCCACTGTCAAAATATTGAGCAAGCGATGCGCCGTTAAATGATCACCCGAGCTCTGCATACGATCTGCATTGTTTAACTTTCCTCGCTGGAAAACCCATTCGCCCCCTTGCTGGTCTCTGGGGCCGCCTTTTGTGTCCAGACCATCCGCGTTTCCATCTCTGCTTAAAATCCTTGTATAAAGCGCTAGGGAACGATTCAAATGAGCGCGGTGGTGGTTCATTGAATCCCGTCCAGGTCCTCTTCATCTTTAGCTGCTTGTATATCTTCGCTGACGGATCGGTATATATGGGGAAGACATTCGGTGGTTTCTTCCATGCATGGTCCAATACGAGAGTGATCACCGCAACCGATAATTATAACCTGTGCCGGTTTGGCATAATTTGGTATCCTGCAGAGTACTTTGTGCGTCATCTGCGCAGCGAGAGAACGAACATAATCTTGATCATAGATGCAGAAGAAGTGTCTCACTGACGATCTGTGAGAACGTGTGACTCCAGCCTAAAGAAAACCGCTCACAAAAGAAACAAGACGCTCACCAAAGATGACCACTGTAGTGACCGAACCTCCCTTGCCGGCAACGAGCTCACCGAAGCGAACGGGCTCACCATTTTTAGATTAAACTTCAAGCTCATAAGCTTCATGCAGAGTCTCGTCAGACAGGAAAGAAGTGTCGATTGAGAATTCTGTGGAAGTCATGCCTCGTGACTTTGGATTCACCGACTCTAGAAAGCCGAAAAAGTAAATTCCTATTCTGTTCCGGATGAGATGTATCCCCCAAAGATTGTTTGCCAGGTTTCGCCGCTGAGACTTTCCGATCCTGTGTATGACGTCATGGCATCTGCTGTTAGAGCAACTGTAAATGTCCTGGAAGGTATCGATGTCAGCTCCAACCTCGGTGCCGATGCTTACATCATGAAAAGCACCTTCCTGACTACCTCTTTACTAACAAAGAACCCCCATAGCCTACAGTTTCTGTCTGGATTCCCTGACTGTGCTTGGTATGATCTGTGACAGGGCTCTCTCCCTGATTCTCACCCTAGCGGCACCCACCTGACGACCACTGGCTGCACATAATCCACAAGCCCAATACCCACACTAGCTATCTGCTCGGTTCAGCCCGGTAGGGAAACAGGTGATCGTCGCTTTTCTGTGGCTCGACTCGGAGTGAGAAGGGTGAATGCGCAATAGACAGGGTGTGAATCAGGGTGAGAATGCCCCAGGTCGCGCGATTGCCGTGCGGGTTACTTTAGCCGGATGGATGTATGAGAAGTGATTGGCTTGTAGCACCTCTACCAGGCTTCTTCATCTTCCAGTGAAGCTCCTATTACCCCAGTGATAGCCTCTGTTCACGACGTACTTACATTTGATTAAAGCGTACTCAGGGCGATGTAGTTCCTTGAACTACCTATGAAGGTCCATGTGATAACATGGATGGACTATCTATGATTGATCGACAATGATGTCTAATGCATGAATAGAACGAAACTATATTACCGCTGGAATATATGAGATGCCAAATATTATGGATCGCCTACATGGAATACGAGCAGGAATATCGCCGAATATGGATGTCTTAAGGTACAGGAGTGTGTGCGTGTGTGATCATTTACCCGACCTGTCGCTGAACGATACGCAGGCTACCACAACTATGTATATTTGCAATTGATCATGAACATTCGGGAATATTCTTATTCCTTTCGGAGCCCTATGGATAAATAGACGAGCAATGACATGACATTGTCGGGAGACAACAAGAACAATCAGCACCGAGAACGACAAAGGAGTCCAGCAGCGCAAAAGCAGCGAAAAAGTTTGGCGCAGCTCATGGGTGGTAGTAAACCCTCCACTCGTTCGTCGCAGAACAGCCAAAAATGCTTCAACAAAGGTAACTTTTAAAATTCCATCTCAAATGGGTGTGCATCATCTGATGTGCCCAAAAACAGCTACATGCTTTCGGTGGCGGGCGTCCTGGACCCAGCTTCCCCACCGTGGTCTTCTACGATGTTCGCCACATATGATGCGCTCATCCTGTTGCTTCCAAAGTTACCGATACTTTACTGGGCGTAGTGGTGAGCCTCGCTATGTTATCTGTTACCATTTGGGAGAAGAGGAGAAGAGGAGCAATCGATCACGAGAACATAGTACCAATCAGGCCATGTGATGTCATTCGCCTTGTGGTAAATCAACTATATATAGAAGGCTTTTAAGCAAAGATTATTGTCGAAATCCAAGAACATCACCAAATATCCACGAATTACTTGAATCGATTTATTGGAAACATTTATATTGCACCATGCCGGACTTCTTCCGCAGAGCGTCTGACGCGTTCCACCATCGCCAGCGTCAAGACTCAACCGACTCAACTGACGTACCCAAGTCCCCCGACGCAGCAAAGGCTCCCGAGCAAGAGCCACTCAATCAAAAGTCCGAGTCTGCTCAGCCTGACTCTCACGACAATGAGGCTTTTGCTGGTAGAGCAACTGGTATGATCTCACTTTCCCTTGTCTGGATTTCTGCGTCTGTAACATACTAAAAAGGTGATACAGATAATGTTGCCAATCCGAAGAAACGTCGCCATTGGGGCTGGGGACACCACCAGGGAAACAAACCTGAGACAAAGCAGCAACCTAGCCGGGAGCAAAAAGACAATACTGACTGGGTTGTTGGGACGTAAAAATATAATCGTGCTCGACTGAGTGGCCGGGGAGCTGGCGTTCGGTTTGAAGGAGGCTAGCTTGGGATACGACGAATGTGAGGTTCTGAAGATAATACATACTATCACACGCCACTTTCCAGGCTGACATGCAACACAAAGATATGAGATGTAGCTTCTATGTAGCCATCGTCATCAGTCTCTTTCCCGGCTTGTGGTTTTGCATGGCAGGCGAGAGTAGCACAAAAGCCGAGCTGGTCTGGCGGCCAATTCAAGGTGTGAGCAAGATGAAGTTGATCAATATCTCCGAGAAGGTCTGAGCAACTGCTCAGCTCATTTCCTGTTGACTACTGACACAAAACAGGGGCTGTCAATATCTCGCCATGCACATATCTCGACCCGTCTGCTTGGTCAGACTGCCGACGGGCGCTTCCCTTTTCAATATGAGCAACCCACAGCAGAAGTGGCGATGTCGAGCATCATTCATTCTCTCGTTTTAACGGTTATACTCCGTTGAACTTTCTGAAACGCACTTTTAAATGGTTGCTGAATCGGTCGGGTTGAGAGGTCAAGTAGCTGCGGTGGTCTCTAAAAAGTAAGTGTATGACAGTTTCCGCTCAGCCGAAGAGAACCTAGGCAAGATTCAACCTGAGGACATTCCTCGCATTGAAGCATGAGCCCGACCGACTGGGCCCTGTTTCGCAGCCGAGAAAACCTAGCTCATTCACATCACCAGGAAAAGATGCGAACAGCTCCAGGTCAAGTGGTTATGAACGGGAAACCAGTCGAACCGTCGCCCACGGTCAAGCTGCTAGGCGTGGTCTTCGACTAGGAGCTTCGCTGGAAAGAACACAACGTCCAGCAAGCGATCAAACGCGCAATCAAGCTCAGCAGCGCTTTGGGCGTGCTGCGGCATCTACGTCCAGAACAGATGTGACAGGTCTACCAAGCCTGTGTCACGCCGGTCGTGGACTACGCGTCGACGGGCTGGTATGATTCTTTGGGAGACAAAACTCACCTGCGACACCTGAGCACAGTCCAGAGGACCGCGTTGATCCAGCATCTTATCGGCTTTCAGGACAGTGGCCACAGACTCTGGAAGTGGAAGCACACGTCCTTCCGACACACCTCCGTCTCCGCCATCGCGCGCAGAATACTATTGCCGGGATCCACACTTTGCCTCGCGATCACCCCATCTGGGGTGCGCTTTTGCGAGCCCAGAAACGTAGGAACAACATCGGATCGTACGCTCGATTTCCACTAGCGGAAGCCCTAAAGACCATGAACCTAGGAAGATTAGATGAACTAGAGACGATCGACCCACGACCGCTGCCACCGCGGCGTGCCGAGCCCTTCACGAAGATCGAGACCGCGTCAGACCGAGGGACGGCAAGAGAACGGGCCGAGACCATACAGTCCACGTCCGCTATTGTGGTATACTCGGATGCCTCTGGACGCGAGTGCCATCTAGGGGCCGCCGTCGTAGCACTCGACGACAACCTAGAGGTAATTGAATCACAACATGTCCAAGTGAGACCGACGCGGACCGGTGGTCGGTACACGTAGCAGAGCTGATAGGCATTTTCTACGCTGTCAGTACAGTGTTCAAGATCAGCCACCAGCGGCCAAGAACGAACAGTAGACCAACGGCAGCGACGATTCTCTGCGACAGCAAATCGGCCCTACAGGCAATCCAAAATCCGGGGAACAAATCCGGGCAACACATCACCTATGCAATCATTCAGGCAGCCGCAGAGGTTCAAGCGAGAGGGATCGCCCTCTGCTTGCAGTGGCTGCCAGGGCATTGCGACAACCCAGGAAACGACGTAGCAGATCGGCTAGCCAAGGACGCGGCAAAGCCCGGGCAAAACGCACCCCTTCCGCCTTTTGCTGACAAGGAAGAGGCCGCTTATCCGCGACAACATCCGCGCTCGGTGGGAGCGGGAATGAAAACCGTCCACCAAAGGCGGTCACCTGCGAAAATCGATAGCACTATGCCGGCGGCCTACACTAGAGAGCTGATGGGAACCTGCCCAGGGGCCGGGCGTACCTGCTGACACATCTACGCACGGTCCACAATTGGTTATCCACCTTCAGGAAGGCCATTGGCTTCCGCGACGACGATCACTGCGCGTGTGGCGCGCAAGAAACAGTCACCCACGTCCTGGTGGACTGTCCAAATTTGAGGGAATGTCGAAGAGAGTTAAGGATCAAATTTGGGGACGCATTTAACAGCATGTCGAGTCTGCTGGGAGGCTCAAAAGAAGGTGAGAGAGGTAAGCCAGACAGCGTCTCTCGGGCTAGGACGGTCACAGCCGTGCTAGACTTCGCCGAGGCGTCACAACGATTTTGAAGTCGCGCGCCATGAGGGCAGCCTAACAATGGGAGCGGCAATTAGGCTACGACAGGCCTTGACGAGGCTCTAAGTTCGTTTTCAAGAAGTGGGACATCATACATGTGCATTAACTATATTATAAGGGCAGTAGGTCTGAGGTCGTCCTGTTTCCGGTTTAGCCCGCCCCGCTATGGTTCGATTTCTGGCCCTCGCATTCGTTGGCTTGCTTTTTTTTTGGCGTTTATCATTGGCCGTGTGAAAAACTGCATTCCCGTCTTCGGTTTAGCCTCCTGTTTCAGTCAACCGTACATCCACTATTATGCTTAGGTTGCATCTACTTTGGATGCACTGCCTTTGTTGAGATATTGATTTTTATCTGTAGACAGCTTCCTCACGCGTTGCTTCCTCTCGCGACGCCTAATATGTCAATTCCAACCCATCCAATTCCACTGCGTGAACGTTCTGCCGCGGATTTGAACGCCCGTCCGTCTACCAAGCGCTGTAGCTGGCGCCATAACAACCGACCGTTGGCTGTGTTCATCAACGACAGAGATGTCGAGCTTCAGACCTGCCACAGATGCCGTCGTCTCCAGCCGTAACAGCTCGAGTGCGAGTGCCATGGAAGATGCGATACTAGAGGATCTAGAGGATGCCCAGACTCGCCAATACACTTGCTGCGGCGGCATGTACCCAGTATCGGACTTCGTTGATCAGTCACGCCGCCCCGAGCCCTTCACTAATTGCGCTGCATGTAGACTGCAGATCCGTCGAGTTCCCCCGTCAGGTTGCACCGGTTTGCAAGCCTGCTGACGGTGCGGTGATCAGCTCTCTATGGCCCAGTTTATCGACCTAGCACGACGCCGCCAGCCGTCCAAACTATGCCCGTGTTGCCGATCTACCGCAGTGATGCAGACGCCGATTTGATTTCGCCCCCAGTACCGCCATGGCACTGTACAGAGACATGATATTGGCCGTATGGACCACGCCTGCCGTTTATGCAAGGCCTTCCACTGGCTCGCCGAGCGACAAATTAAATCATCCCCGGGCAATCCTATATTATCTCGCTGCTGCAAACAAGGGACTTTTCAAGTAAACCCAATCCAGCCGCTGCCGCTTTATTTACGCTGGCTTTCAACGAGGTGCCGTTGGAGAGGGCCGAGGGCCAGCTATCCTTCTCTCTCCGGCGGGTGCAGTTCACGGTCCGTCTCTGTTTCGCTATGACGATTAATAAGAGCCAGGGACAGTCGTTGAAATGGGTGGGTGTAGATCTACGGTTGCCAGCGTTCTCCCATGGGCAGCTGTATGTCGCGCTCTCGAGGGTGACAAATGTAGCCAATTTATCGGTCCTATACGCAGAGGGCTTAGACCGAACAGAAAATATGCTGTTTCCAGAGGCCTTACAGCGGTTCTGTACTACAGGATCAGCGTTGGGAGTCAGTTAATGTACGATTATAATCCGGCAACTATCATTGGTCAAAACTAATATCTAAGAAAAAAAAAATCTTATCTTCCTAGGATTAGTTCAAAGACTACAGATTTAGCCTTCGAGCCGCCCGAGCGAAGCGAGGGTTGACGGCTTGTACATGGACATAGATAGTTGTGGTAGCCTGTATATCGCTTTTTTCTTCTGAGGGGTCAGGGTAAATAACATCAACCAACCAACCAACCAACCGGCTGTAACATGAAACCCGCATTGCAATCTAGCTATATCGCCCGCCTTGTGTCATCGCTATGACCAGGTTCATGTTGACTCAGCATTTCCAGCCCTTTTATGATGGCAGGACGCCTTAACATCCGCATATACCAGTATTGCAGGGCTGTAAATTGCTCAATTTTGATTCCGGCAGACTTTGCCCCAGCGACATAAGGGAAGTGAACGATATCGGCAACCGTACTGTGAACAGGCAATTTCAACAACTGAAAATAGGACAACTTTGTATCACATGTTCACTCACCACTTATCTTTCACAATATATGGGTTGCCGGAATTTTGCAGGTGTTTCTCGAGAACGAGATATAGCTGGACTGTTTTTTCTGCGAAATGCGAAATGCCGTAGGGACTTTTTTCCGGTTCATTAAAAAAATGAACTGCTTCCTCATGATTCGGTCCCAGTCGCGAAGTCAAAAAGAAGAGCCAATTGTTAACATCAGTATCCTCTGCAGATAATCGGGGGTAGGATAGCGTCTGGCTGATATCGTAGTGGGCTACCAAGTATTGAACGATAGCTCCAGTTTCCTGGAGGCGGAAACTCCTGCCATCTGGGCGAAGATCGGTCAATATTGGAAGATGGCTGTGGATATCAACAAAACGAAGGTCCTTGTCTGTGATTTCTTCGATTTGATTGACACGGTGGAGACAGTATTGAATGCTTCGGTTTATTAGTTAAAGCAGCAATGCAACAAAAGAATTCGTGGTTGACCTACCCTAGTTCTTCCAGTAAAATTATAATTTCAAGCCCGTTTGAAGAGTTTGTCTGGATATACAGGTTTAAGGGTTTTTTTTTGTCGGCGACTTCTTTATTATCCATAGTTATGGATTATCGTATGAAGGGGTTTTGATTTCAAATCTCGATGGTCGGGGAAAGGAGAATTAAAGAGGGGGGAGTAGGAAACAAGAGGGTTTGAATGTATGGGCGGACGACAGTAGCCAACGCACATTTTTCGATACAGTAAGAATACTCTGGGTGGCGTGGACTTTTTAGCCAGCTTTTGATGATCTGTCGACCCGAGAGGTGATAAATTACCACTAAAGCCATGCAGTTCAGCGGATACCCGACGCTGCACCTGTTTTGTATGGTAAATTGGGCCTCAGCGTGACAGAAGAGCTCATGCATGACAAGACGAGCCCTCACTACAAAACGACCATTCAGCAGCGGTCGGCTTCCACAGATCATCAACATCTCAATACATTTATTCGATCATCTCCCTTACTAGCCTGCAAGCCATGCTGCATATCCGTCATGATCTTCTACTTCATGTCTTTGGTCTGTTTTAATACTGTATTGCTAAATCATGGTTACACCACTACTACATTATAGTTTTAACCAGGCTTCCGACGTCATATGATACCTTTTCAGCTTTAATTTATGGTTCGCTCTAGTATTTAGGTGCTAGAAGTCAGAGATAGACCAAAGACATACAACGTTGGTTGGTTAACTGGTTGGTTGATGTCATTTACCCTGACCCCTCGCTGCAGTTGATTATGACCACCACCCACTAGACTGGGTGCGGATTCGTATTCTGGTCTAGTGGTAAAACCAACTACTGAACCGATATGCAGGGTACAACAACTCTATATATTCACTATGAAGGCGGGTCTGATGTCTATAACAACACCACCAGAGCGATCCGACTGTGGGACCTCTTGGGGTATCTCCTACGACCTATACCGAACTTTCTACCGCTAGTCAGCGCCCAGATCATGTTAGCTTTCGGGAGGATGGTCTAGGCGCACGCCTGCTGCGACTACAAGCGAACTAGCGTACCCCCGCGAGGACATCACCCCACGGAAATTCGTCCTAAACGATGGTGGTGGAGATGTCTTTACCAGGTCGGGTTACAGATGGACCTTGCTAGACCCCGATTGGGCTTCAACCGTGTTCTCTCGGCAGCAGAGCATGGTTGATCGCATGACCTTGGCTACCACGCCTCACAAACACCAACGGCCGTTGCTATGATCGAAGTAGTGGATATTGATCTACGGGAGATTGGCTGGAAATATAATTCGTAGTTCCTGACCAGGAATTACTCACAAGGTTGCGACTGCTCACATATCTAGAAGGAGCCGATCGACATTTCTTGATCGCATGCTTGCATGTTTCTCCAATGCTCTCAATAACTTGGTTGTCTTTGTGGCGAAGCTACTTTCATTCTCGCGGTCGCTCTAGGATGTAGATATTCTATTGTAGTGTGGGATCGAGTGACTTACAATCGCCGCCTAAAGCGATGACTTTGACTACGCAAGGAACAGAGTCTATCGCATCACGATGTTTATTTAAACCAACGAATTGTATTTCGAGCGGCGCCTCATTACATGCTTTTATACCTGGTAAGTCTGATCTTGAGCAAGTATAGCCTGATCAGAGTTGAACCAATGGAGGGGAATTCGGTGTTTGCATTCGACCATCTCAATCAAATTGGAGGCAGCATGCCAACTTCACCGAGTGATCAGCTGGGGACAAGAAACGGCTCGCGGAATTGAAACAATGCAAATTGATACATCTATCATGAGTTTGCGAACGAAGCAATTCACGCGAATTCAGAGGGCGATTCGTCACCAATCAAAATATCGTCACTGCCCCCTGGGGCGCTGATACACTGGACAAAAGCCGAGAAAAGACTGGAAAGGAAAAGCAACCATCAAAAGGCCCTTGATGGGTTACGGAATGAGAAGAAACGCCGGCGGAGTCGCTTGTTCCGTGAAAACTCGAAACGATACAGGAATGAGCAGCCAGTGATCGATATCAAACGGCAAATTTCCGGGAAATTGGTAGATGAAGTAAGTAATGGGCGCTCTAGAGCGCCCTGGATATATGGTGCCGCAGCATATAACCTTGATCGATACCGTTCTCACCATGCCAGGCAAGACGATCGAAGAAGAACACCGACGTCGGGTTGCAGCGATAAACGCAGTAATTGTGTTCTGTGATATTGAAGAGGGTGCACCGTCGCGGATTCGTGTTTCTAACCGACCCGTCGGTGATGCTATTGATGACACGCAACCTATTTCCTCGGCTAAGCGACTACGACCATGCCCCATCGATGAAAGCACTGAAGCTTTTCATCGAGCGATCGCCTCAGTCTGCATCAACATCCCAATCAAAGACCAACGGTTTGCTTTATTTGCCTTGGTAATCCTAAATTACCTGAACACTGCTCGAAGCGCACACGGGACTGTCTCATGCTTATCTCCCTCAGCACTCCGCCCAATTTAGACTACCTGCTACCTTGCCTGATTATTTTCAATAAAGGTTTCTTTTGCTTGCCGGCTTAATTTCATGTGGCCTAGTTTTGGAATATACATACTGTACTTTCTCACAAGGCTGAGGTGCATTTACACAGGATGATTTTCGGCAGTGGGTCTGCTCCTCCGTCTGCTCAGTGAACCTAAGTAGAGTAAACATGTTTCTTGCTCGTGGACCTGGAGGACGCGTCAATGAGTGCGTGGTGCTCATTTTATCCCAAAAGGCGGGAAAGTGCTGTGACCGTAATACGACATGGGCCAATCAGCACGCATTGACAACTCTGTATTCTGTACCCCTAATTCGGGCAATTTATATGGGGTTCTGACTAATATAACAAAACATAACAAACTATGCAAACTATGCAAATATAAATGGATCCATATCCTGGCTTCCAAGCGCTACCTGGAGCGGAACAACCAAAAATAGTATATATCACATGATCTTGACTTTTACTACCCCGCTCGCAAAGACGAATCTTTTATCTTACCGCCAGCATTTAAAACTCCACCTAACGCTGCCACCCGCGCGATAATCATGAGCGAAAATATCGAAGAAGTCGATATGAATCCAAAAGAACAATATCCTCTCATGACGGGACGAGAAAAAGAGCGACACGGTAATTCCTTTGAAAATATAACGGCAGACGAAGATGTGTTCCAATTGATTGGCTCTTCAAACGGACATATAACGACAGCCCGGTCGGTGTCAGCCAAAGCATACACGACACAGTGTCTTGGGGATGTTTCCGACTCTACACTTCAGCAGATTTCAACAGACCGCTGCCGCAACGCCGAGAAGAAACCTGTCAGGCACCAACAACATTCAGGGAAATTTGAAGTACATGGATCCGGTCGTAAGTTGGGCTAAACAATCTAGACTTTTCAGGTATGCTGCTTAAATTTTTCGAGGGTGTCGTCATGGCTAATCAAAGTATTATGTCACTTTCCAGCTGAGATAAGGACACGAATTGAAGAGCGTACTAAAGACGGCATTTCTACCTCTTCATCCTGAAGTCGCAAATTGGTTTCCCTCTGCTTTTGGCTTAAAACTTGATTAGTTTAACCTGTATCCATGAGGCTTGTTTCCTGCCGGCAGTGTCTGATTTCTGTGCTAAATAAATAATTGCCACGCCGCGGGCTTTCGCCTTTGTTTTTCGTGGAGGGTTAGTTGATTCGACACGACTGAGCCTCAAAAGCAAAAGCGTCTCGCCGAGCCACAGTTGTCCTCGCCGGGAGCGTTGGAAGAAGGCCAGAGGAAGCCAAAATGCTCGGTACACGCCTTAAGCAAATGGGCATGTCATATTTTTACCTCATACTTGCCTAGAAATCCCACTGGCATTAGCGCGCGCTAATGTGAAACATCACGTTCCACTTCGTCTGATAAATTTAGATCTGGTACCTGTGATAACTAACGATTTGTCATACAAGGGCGTTAAGAAAAGAATACTTATTCCTACCCGGAAGGTCAATTACACAACAATATTATTCCTCTGCGTGGCGCCTCAGAACCCTCGTCCAATATAAAACCTTTGCCTTTGTATTTCAAACAATATTCTTCGAATTTGGATTCACTCGAGAAATATGGCTGATCCTCTCTCTATTACTGCGGGTATCGTGGGACTCATCAGCTTTGCCTTGCAGAGCTCCCTGGCACTCTGCAAAGTGATAGACGACCTCCAAACAAGCAAGAGGGAAATTCGAGAGTTAAAAAAGGAACTTGAAGCCTTTTGTGTGGTCCTCGAGTCCGTGCATGAAGTGGCCGCAGAGTATCACCATGAGCTGAGAGTATTGGAACTCCCGCTCCGACAATGCGGCAAAGCCTGTCAAGAACTCGAGAAAATAGTCACGAAATGTGTGGAACGCTCTGGTACAACATTTGGCGCCTATGCTTCCTTGAAATTCAGAGGTGACAGCATTGCCAAGTTCAAAGACATGCTAGCTGGCCACAAAGATGCTATCACTATTGCTCTAAGCAGTGCTACTTTGTAAGAAATCCGAATTGCATGCATAAAAAGTGTATTTTATGCTAATAAATTGACAGCCGCAAAAGTGCTGTGACTGCTGATTGCGTCAAAGAGTGGGAAGAGATGGTTTGCTGCGCAAAGTCAGATCTTGAAGACCGTTTAAGAGAACTCGACGAAAAATTGGAATCTTTCTCTAAACATGCTTCATCCGTCGATATACAAGGTGAAACAGAGTGGCGACAACTTCAAGAGGAGAAGCAAAGCACAGAACAGTGTCTCGTGATCTGCGCCGAATTTTACGAACACATTGAGAAAGTCGGATCCCAGGTAGAAACCTGCTCAGAGTCAGACAGAGTAGACGCAGGCGTGAGTGAGAAAATGCAGTATACGGCGAAGCAAGCCTTGGGTAAACTGCTCCGGGAGTTTAAGTCTGAGCTGGCAACAGTCTCAAGTGAATTCAACAACATCATCGAGAGACTTGATCACAGACAAAATGGGCTTCCATCACGATCAGAACATATATCTGGCAAAGATGCGACTACAATGCAGCAAATCCGAGAGGAAAGAAACAGCACTGCTCAGTGCCTTACCATCTGCGCCGATGCAGCCAAACAATCAGAAAAAATCCAATCGAACATTTTCGAAGACATCTCCTCGGGCGACGACTCTCAGCAATTCGTCATTTCATCGATTGGGCAACTGATAACAGCGCGACGTATAAACACTGGCTCCAGATCACTACTAATGCTCGGCCAGCTGTCTGACGACACTATCAGGCAGTCATCTCGTAACCACGCCCTTTCTACTAAGGGAATTTCTAAGCAGAGGGAGGCAACAGGGTCTGATAATTTCCAGGGACGGTACAAAGTAGGGCATCAAATCAAGGCTGAAGAGATAGAGGTGATGCAGAATTTGTACGGATGAGCACAGACTCTCAAAGACAGTGTCGTCCTGCCGCAGGGGAGGAGTGGAAAAGGATGGGCCGGAGAACAGTCATTCTCCACCCAGCTATCAGATCACATGCATTTTCAGCTCGAAAGGAGAGTCAGAGCACAGGAACGTGTTGTACAAACCTAGGCGCAATGTTAGTTCTGCAATCAATTCTCTAGATCCATCAACCTACCAGAGGTCCTACTGGTATGTGTGTGAAAAAATCATTTACACCGACTCATCGCTAGTTGAGTTTACCACAAGACCAAAATACGAATCCGCAACCTGGGGCCGCAAGGGAGACATGCAGTGGACTTGACTTTGTCCATTATATTTAGATTTGAAAGTCTTACGTGAGTCCTCAGGAAATGTAAGCGAGCCCAACGCTCTGCTTAGTGGCATCGATTTTTGACCCTCCATTGAGTCACTACGGCTTCCACCGCCGTTATCGGAAGGCAGAAATAGGCAGCAATTGTCGCAGGGTCCATAAGATACGTATTTGATCTGGTTTGAGAGAGCTCCGGTAATTGACTCGTGAGGATCGAACTTATTATGCGGATGTGCCAGCCAGTAATCCTAGGCGTAAGGGATAACTAAGATGCCGATCTGTTGAGATTAGTCATCGCGGGTATATGTCGGAGATACGCGGGTAGAAGATACAGGTACTTTACGGACGAATGATGGGTTAGTGCAAAATAGCCGAATAGGAATGCAGAAGAGCGTCAGAGCGAGACGGGAACGTGTGCAGGCTGAGAAGGAAAGTCGGAATGTTGCAGACACCTCGCAGGTTCTCTGCTGATTAGTTCCCGGTAGTAGCTTCCGTAGCATTCCACCGAATTCTGAGTCCACTGCGTCAGTCTACTAGAAATGTACAATACAATACCATACCCCGGCGCACTTCAGGGCCTCCCTCAATTAAATGCGGCCAGCTCAATGATTGATCCGCGCTAAGGGCTTGGCAGTGCGTCTAGGAAAGAGTTACTCAGTGTGTATCGGTCAAGGTGATTTCGAGAACGACTGTAACACATCATTCTCCGAGCACACTATCACACCAAAATGTATCTGTTGAAAGACCAAGGCCGAGCAGTTTGTTGGTCTCCTAATATGCATTGTAACCATTCAGCTATGGCCATTAGAGAATCCATCCACTGGACCCATTACAGGCTTACGGGTCCACTCACAAAGTTCTATCTACAATTCGACGATTACAAATCTTCCATAAAGAATGGTATGATGAGTTTATGAACAGACTTAATGGACGGAGATTGTTAGCTTCATCAGAAAGAATATAAAAGCGTACATAAGGATATGGCATTTAATACAGGAATGAATAGCTGTCGTCTACCGCCGTTACTTGAGCACTCAACGCGACCGGTTAAGCGACCATCTAAAAAGTGCATCTCTGAAGGTCCAACGGAGTCCGACCATTGCAACGATAAGATAAATGATGCTCGAACACCGGCACTCCTCCTGCGGGAGGCTCAGGCGTTTCCAGCAACGTTGAACACCAACTTATGTGTACCCTTTGTAATCGATACAAATGTTCCCGGGGACCGGGCCTAGGTTGTTTCCGGATCAGCGGCCTTTAATCAACGGCTTCCAGCAACAGCGAGTTTCCCGTCGCCTCCGCCAATTCACGGCGGGCGCGGTTCCCCGGGTTCACGGCCGTGAGACGGCGCATCGCATCGGTGGCCGCTAGCTCGTCGACCCGATACAGGGCAACGGCGAGCAGGGCGAGTTGGAGGCCTAGGTCGAAGGAGATGTGGTCCTCGGTGGCAATGCGGTGGATACCTCGGTCGAGGGTGGACCGGATGGTGCCCTGGCAGGCGTCAATGATCTGGCCATACAGGAGCCGTCCCATATGCCGGTCGAACTGGACCTGATCCGCGATGGCAAGGAGGGCGCGGGCGGCGTCGATGCGCAGGTCTGCGGTACCGCGTTCATTAACAACGTCCTCGCTCGCGCCGACCGCGTCCGCGAGCCGACCGAAGGTATCGTCCTGCGAGAAGAACCGGTCGTGAGATTGCCCGCGCCAAACAACCTCGTCCGGTGCCACGGCCGCGGCAATCACCGCCTGGTAGCCAGCCGGATTTGCCCAGCTGGTTAGCGCAACGCAGGCCAGCAGGCGCTCGGCCGGATCGGCCGACGCGTCCTGTAGGATGGCGAGCAGGGCGGGAGTGCGTTCAGCGTAGCCACCATCCAGCGCGTCTGCGATCACGTCGTCCGGGTCGGCGGGGTCGCCGTTGAAGTCGGTGAACAGCAGGGCGTGCATCTCGGGACTGGGCTGCCAGCTGTCCGGGTGCGGGGTGTCGGCCATAGGGCTCCGAAAGGAATAAATGAATGCGAATATGAATAAATGAATCCCGTATTCGCGCGAATAAGTGCATTATTCATGTTGAGATAAAATGGTTGTATTGAGTTAAGTTATCTCATTTTTCGGAGGTGGGACTCCTCATATAAGTTATAGCTATCGTATCATGACTGTATGGGCTATGCGCTGTCTAGAACCAGTTACTTGCAAGCAAACCAAACAGACTAGTTGGCAGGAGGTTCGGTCTGTTGTTTGAGCAATACATCCCTCAGTTAACAACTAATGCTCCGATTCTTGTCATGGGCTGTTGACCAAGTAGTAGAATATGTTTATGTGATCGCTTAGGAGGAGGAAGAGCCTCATGGGATTACAGCCCCGAGCGTTTCACATCACGTGATGTTACCTACCGCCTTTATGAAAGCTTCTCCGCCTTCCAAACTTCTTTCATCCTCGCTCTCATCACCCAAATTTGATCCAAAAACACACTCAGGCGCTCAGTCGGTCCTCTGAAAGAGACTGCTTTTTCCCCGTCCTAGAAATTCTGTGGTTGCCATGGCTTCTGTTCATGCCCTACCTTTGGAAATAGTCGAGTTGATCGCAATGAATCTCGGCCTTGCGGATTACTTACGCTTCCGTGCGATTTACCAAACAACATGGCGCACATTCGGGTGTGAAACTTTGATACACCTTTTAGATGATATCACGAGACTCGACGGCAAAAAGCTAGCGGAGGGAATAGCGAATTGTCATTACATATCTCGAGGCCATGTCTTGCTATACACATTCCGCAAGAACGGTATATCAACGGATTTGGATATTTTAGTCCAAAATGGAGCATCGCTCAAACGTGTCCCTTGTGGCGATATCGTTGAACGCGAAATTCAGTCGGAAGACTTTGAAACCAGGCTGGGCTGGTTATTCCAGCACGGTGCTTCTTATCAAGAGGTTCGACGACGTGGAGTCAACAGGTCGCTTTCCGATGCGTTCTTCAGAGACAGAAAAAGGCTAATCTGGCTGCTTCGGAATGGTGCTTCTCCAGATAAAACAGTTGACCCAGCCAAATGCTCGCCCTCCCGAACTATGAAAGCCTACAAGCTAAAGCGGCGCGGAACCGAGTTACTCGTGGAAAGAGCATCTATAAACGAGGATCAAATTCAACTACCTAGTGCACCCTGACGCAGTCTACTCCAAACTTGAACGACAGCTGTCATCTTGTGACCTTCGATCATATCCGTCTTAGCTTATCTAATCCAAAGGTATGTGCCATCTTCCTCATCGAACTTGACCAACATTCATAGAAAACTGTAGCAGTGAATTTTTGCGCTTGCACCGATGTTCTTTATGGGACGTCTCCCGGGCGTATCTTGGCTCCCCGTATATGGCTCATTCATGAGGAGACCAGAACGGGAATTGTGGCATTTGCGATTGCGACGATAAATGGACGCTATATCTACTTCTGAGACATTAATAGAATGGGAAACGGAACGCTCAAATATGAGTGCCTAGATAAGTTGGATACTTTAATATCACATATTTACCCAGCCATTTCTGCTTTACATTAACTTCCCAAACAATATATCTCATAACACATTGACTAAGTGCTCGCTACTCGAAATGGGATTGACCTTACGACTTTAGTAAACATCGTTGTTAAGAGATTGAGGGAAAACAGAAGGAAAGTTGTCAACGAGCGAGCAAGGACCTGCGAGATACCGGTATTTTAAGCAGGAGCATTACAAGTAATTTACAGCACAGCATATCACGTGGTGATGTGTTTCAATCTGATTCAATGCTTGAAACCGAGCCAAGCCAGAAATGGGCTAGCGTGTTTCGGATTGGGGTTCGACAAGAATTCTATCCGAGCAAAGTGGGGAATCTGATTTCGAGCCTCCCTGTATAATAAAACTGGTGAAACTGATTTCGATCCATGCTGTACCGGTGGATTCGATCGGCCCCCTGCCCAGACGTTGTGGTTGATATTATCTTCGATATAAAACTGTTGTGGTTGTGTACCGAGCGGGAGCTAACCCCGGACCGATGGCGGACCCACCCGCGGGAGGGCCCGTACCCCCTCCCACAAACACCCAAGAAACTCACGCCAGCTTCTCAGTTGAGGACTTCCAGCCTCGAGTATCGATCGACGCAGGCCAAATCATAGGGAAAAGAACGAGAAATGGCGAAGCTTATACACCTACCGAGGGCACAGGCCGGATTACCACCAGAGAGGTGTGGAAGCTCATCGACAACCTCAAGGATATCATCCATCGCCAAACCACGCTCATCGAATCCACCAAAGCCGACCTAGAGGAGGTCAAGCACAACCAGAACGTCCTTCGAGAACAGAATGACAGGCTTCATGAAGAAGTCAGGGCCCTAAGAGCACAAATCGAAGCCAGCCCACAGCCAAACCCGCCTAGAACATGGGCAGCGATAGCAGCCAGCGGTACCAGTGACCCGCAACCAAGCCTCCAACGACCCGAGAAGGACCGGAACTGCGTCCGCATTAGCACACAGAGATCATTGGTGGACCCGAGGGACAATGAGAATAGCGAAGGGAATACTTTCGGGCGATACCTCTCTACCGACTCTGCTAACACCTATATCCGTTCAGCGCTGTTAAGCGCACCTTCGACTCAAGATGCACACGTGGCCGGCATTGGTACCACTAAAACAGGATACTTAGTTCGCTTTAAAGACCCAGGGTCAGCCGAAGCAGCCCGCAACCATACTGAATGGTTGAATGAGCTAGGAAATAATACAAAGCTGGTTAAGCCGCGGTTCGGCATCGTCGTGCACCGCACCCCGACAGAGAACTTCGACCTAGAGAATGCGAACCCGAAAGCCATTCAAACAATTATGGAAGAAAACGACCTAGCCGAACAAGGCTTCCAAATCGAAGAGTTAGCATGGCTTAAGCGGAAAGATAAAGTTCTGGGGAAGTTTGCGTCGCTAGGTATCTGGTTTGACTCTGCAGAAGGAGCCGAATACATCCTTAACAATGGTCTCCTTGTTGGACAAAGATATATTGGTAGTGTGGAGCGCCGCGAGATCAAGAAAAAGAGGTGCTTCCGATGCCAACGTTTCGGACACTTAGCGTGGTCGTGCAAGGAAACACCACGCTGTGGACATTGTGCGGGTCAACACGAGCGGCAACGATGCCCTACAGGAATCAGGGCCAGATGCCTGGATTGTAGCGGCGAACACCCAACTGGTGACCGACAGTGTGCGTCACCCGCAACTTCCAACCCGCATCAATGTTAGAAACGAACCTACGCATACTACAGTTGAACATCATGAAGTCGGGACCTAGGATGGAAGCACTCATCAACGACCACCAAACCCAAAACTTGGATATACTTCTGATCCAAGAACCCTCGATCACCACCTACCAAACACATGTTAACCACAGCGCCTGGCGGCTATACCGGCCAACCCTCGAGACCGGAGCAGATCGATTCCGAAGTCTAATCTACGTCAACCAGCGAATCTCAACGTCTTCACACCGGCAGATTCTTTGCGATCACCCAGATATTGCAGCCGTCAAGATCTGGACAGCCGATACTCAACTCCTCCTCTTTTCTGTTTATATCCCATCTGTCCCGCTGTGTACGCCGGACGAGGCGTCGCCAGAACCAGCATTCACCGCCATCCAAAATACGATCACAGATGCTCTACGCGACAGTCGACGATCCACAAGTGTCGTTCTCGCAGGAGACTTTAACCGCCACCACCCAACCTGGGGTGGTAACCACATCCAACCACGACTTATCGAAGAAGCAAGCGACCTTATCACCTTCTTCCAAGCTAATGGGTTATACAGCTGCCTCCCCCGGGGGACAGCGACATACTGGGCTCTGAATGACCCCGGGAGGAACTCCACTATTGACCAGACGGTGACGAACCGACCAGACCTTCTCATCAAATGCCATCTCTACCACGACAACTACGGGTCGGACCACCGTGCCACGTACTCGGAATGGAATCTCCAAGCTCAGTACAGGCCCGCCACCAAGGCAAGGAAAGCGTTCGACCGGGCCGAATGGAACAAGATTGGCCAGGAGGTGTTGCGGCAAATCGGTCCGTGGAAAGAAATCAAAACACGACCAGCACTAGACGAGATGGTGCAGAAACTCATAGAAGCAACAAACGCAGCCGTAGATCGGTACACGCCTGATGTACGCCCGACTCCATATTCCAAACGATGGTTTACTCCGGACCTCAAGGTTCAACAAATCAAGGCCAACCAGCTTCGCCGAAAATGGCAGGAATCCTGTGCCCAACTTGGACGAGAACACTCTTCATCTACAACCCTCTTCCGAGAGATGCAAGTAAAACGCCGGACGTGGACCCGGGCCATTGAGAAAGCTAAAGCATCACACTGGAGACAATTCCTTGACGAGGCAGGGGAAGGGAAACTTTGGAAAGCGGCCACTTACATGAAACCCCGAGATGCCTGGGGGTGTACCCCAGCGCTGCAGGTCGGTACTAGCGAGCTTACTGGGAATGAAGAGAAAGCGCAGGCCTTCCTAGACTCCTTCTTCCCCGAAATGAATATGCCCTGCGACAATCTACCAACCCCAACACCACTGGAGCTCCCGTGGCAACCCATCACTGAGCTAGAGATTCAACGATCTCTCAAAGCAGCCAAGGGAACCACCGCACCAGGAGATGATAATCTGCCGATGCTCGTGTGGAAACAACTATGGGTATACCTAAAAGACATCATCACCAACATTTTCAACACATCTATGACTCTAGGCTACCATCCCAAGCAATGGCGGAACGCGAAAATCGTGGTGCTAAGGAAGCCCGGAAAGCCAGATTATTCAGTCCCCGGGGCCTACCGCCCGATCTCACTCCTCAACACGCTAGGCAAGCTTCTCGAGGCAGTAGTAGCCCGTCGACTTTCATATCTCACAGAAAAGCATGGCCTGCTACCGGACACCCAATTCGGTGGGCGGCCGGGAAGAACCACTGAACAAGCTTTGCTGGTGCTCTTGAACGCGATCGACCGGGCGTGGTATAAAAACAAAGTGGCTACTCTCGTGTCATTCGATCTAAAAGGAGCTTTTAACGGGGTCAACCAAACGAGCTTAGATGCTTGCCTGCGGGCTAGGAGGATCCCCGCAGTTGCAAGAAAATGGATCGCAAGTTTTATGAGCGACCGCTATGCTAGCATAGGATTCGACGACTTCCGCACAGAGTTAGCACCACTAGCGAACGCTGGACTCGCACAAGGATCACCTCTCTCTCCGATTCTGTTTACATTCTTCAACTCCGATCTAGTCGACCAACCTGTCACCTTTCATGGCGGCGCATCAGCCTTTATCGACGACTACTTCCGCTGGCGAGTAGGACGCTCGGCAGAGGAGAACCTAGCCAAGATTCAGTCCCAAGATATCCCCCGCATCGAAACGTGGGCGCGGCGAACTGGGTCCTGCTTCGCAGCCGAGAAGACCGAACTCATTCACCTGACCCGAAAAAGAGGAGAACACTTGCAAGGCCATATTATCGTGAATGGCACGACGGTCAAACCATCGCCCATAGCTAAGCTGCTAGGCGTGATCTTCGACCAGGAGCTGAGATGGAAGGAGCATGTGCAACAAGCTATCAAACGCGCAACCAAAGTCACTATTGCCTTGAACGGACTGCGACACCTTCGCCCAGAGCAGATGCGACAACTCTACCAGGCATGTGTAACACCAGTAGTAGACTATGCATCAACGGTCTGGCACGACCCACTGCGAGACAAGACACACCTCCGACAGCTGAACACGATACAAATGACCTCGCTGATCCGGATCCTGTCAGCATTCAGAACAGTAGCCACCACGACCTTGGAAGTGGAAGCACACGTTCTCCCCACCCACCTGCGTCTCCGCCACCGAGCCCAGAGGACCATCGCTAGCCTCCACACTTTACCACGGGATCACCCCATCTGGAGTGCGCTCTCACGAGCCCAGAAACGCAGGGATAATATCGGCTCGTACGCTCGCTTCCCGCTCGCGGAAGCGATGAAAACCATGAATATCGAAAGGCTAAACGAATTGGAAACCATCGATCCACGACCACTACCGCCGTGGCGACTCGATCCCTTCGCTGAGATTGAGATCGGGTCTGATCGCGAGACAGCGGCACAGAAGGCCGAGACCACTCGCTCAACATCCGACGTTGTTGTCTACTCTGACGCCTCTGGTCGACAGGACTACCTAGGCGCTGCCGCTGTAGCACTCGACAACAACCAAGAGATACTCGAGGCGCAGAAGGTCCAAGTAGGACCGATGAGCCGCTGGTCTGTCCACGTAGCGGAGCTCATAGGCATCTTCTACGCGATCAGTGTAGTGTTCAAGATCGCCCACGAACACTTGAGAACAGCAGACAGGCAACTGACAGCGACGATCCTGTGCGACAGCCGGTCCGCCCTGCAGGCGGTTCAAAGCGCGAGAAACAGATCAGGACAACGCATCGTTCACGCAATCCTCCAGGCCGGCGCCGAGGTTCTAGCGGTGGGAATCGCACTCCGCCTTCAATGGTTGCCAGGGCATTGTGACAATCCTGGAAATGACGCTGCTGATCGATTAGCAAAGGACGCCGCCAGCCCAGGCAAAACCCATCCTTTCCGCCCGCTCCTCACCAGAGAGAGGGCGTTCATCCGTCGGAACATCTACTCTCAGTGGGAACAAGAATGGAAATCATCCACCAAGGGTGGTCACTTACGAAAGATCAATAACACCCTGCCAGCAAGCTACACTAGGAGGCTGTACGGGAACCTGCCGAGAAACCGCGCGTACCTCTTGACGCAGCTGCGCACGGGCCACAACTGGTTATCCAGCTACCGCAAGAATGTTGGTTATAGTGACGACGACCAGTTCGCATGCGGCGCACAAGAAACAGTCACCCATGTGCTGGTGGATTGCCCGAACTTGAGGGAACTTCGGAGAGAGCTAAGGAGAGAAGTTGGAGACGCGTTTAATAGCGTGTCGAGCCTGCTGGGAGGCTCAAAACAAGGTGAGAAAGGTAAACCAGACACTGTCTCGCGAGCCAGGACGGTCAATGCCGTGCTGGACTTCGCCGAGGCGTCACAACGGTTTCGGAGTCGCGCGCCACCGGGGCAGCCTAACAATGGGAACGGCAATTAGGCCACGACAGGCCTTGACGAGGCTCTAAGTTCGTTTTCAGGAAGTGGAACACTCTACATGTACGTACACAGATATATATAGTAGTCGTATCCTGCATATCGTTCGCGAGGGGTCAGGGTAAATGAATTCACACACACTCCTGTATTGTCTCCAAGTTGGAAAATTAAGACCTAGGACGATCATGAATATGCAATCCTTTCTCTTGCGTTGTCCAAGAACCCTGGTAGGTTGAGTCTGCAAGGGTGGTTCCAGTCATCGAGTACGCGAGTCAGTCGATCCCGAGATGATTCCAGTGCCTGCTCAAAGAAGCGCAGCGGAGACAGCTGCTTATCGTGGCGATGCTGAAGACCGTCCCTCTTTTTGCTCAGGTGTGTTGCCAGCCTCCTTCAAGATCTGATTGCCCCGCTCTAGCTTCCGGCCATCGATGTGCCTGGACACGCACGACTCCCATAGCCGTCGATAGAGTGCGACGAGTCGACGACCCACTGGAAAGGCGAACTTGGGATCGTCGCGTTCGAGGTCTGCTAACACCTTCAAAATAGGTTGTAAGGGTTCGGTCACCAAGGTATGTCTTTTTTCTGCTTCCTGTTGCGAGCGGGAGAGCTGCGATGGTCAGAAAGAGCATTGGAAGCTGAGCCGTTCCACTTACCAATGGAGGAGCATGATCAGAATTTTCCTGTGAATTGTCTTTTTCACTAAGGATTCGCAATTCACTTGGCTGCCGGTCTCCTTCTTTTCCTGGTCTGGCGAGCTGTTTGGGGCATCCATTTTGTCCGTAAGAGGAAGTCGGGTGTCTGGCCACTACCACCTCCATCAATCCTTGGAGTATTTTAAAGACAAAGTATACGGACATAGGTGGTTATGTACAGCGATTTTCGAAAACAGTTTACCCTTTAAACACTCACACTTTGTTTCTCGGTCCGTACTAGAAACAACGGTAGGCTATATTTCGCTAGCTCGCAAATGAGACTGATCTATCAGTGGACAATATCTTACCACTCGTCCCAATAAGAATTCAGCTCGTTTCGGGTACGGGCTGAGATACAAAGCGTGAGTGTCTAAATGGTATACAGTAACTGTTCTCGAAAATCGCTGTACGCACTCTCACTATCACCATGAAAGTCAATCAACGCAGTCGGGGTTTGACTAGAATCTAAAGATTTTTCAGTGCTCTGTTAGGAGCCTGTTCAATGATGGTGATGGTTAGTAAGTGTACCTCATATTCCGTAGCTCACTGATGATGAGAGGTCCTTCAGGATATATATATTCAATCAGAACACTTTTTCCACATTCGTTGAAAGTCTCAGAAATCCCAAAATCAGATAGAGTAAAATTTACAGTACTGAAAAAGAAAAGTGAAAGAAGAAGGTATCTATCTCAACGATGGTCACAAGTGCAAAAGTTGACTCAAGAGGCTAAGCTTCAAGAGTTGACGGATCGAGTACCCGCGCCAGCGCGCGCGACCGTGGCCTGACGCTTTCCGCAGTCTAGATGGACAGAACCACACACAGCTCAGACAACCAACACTCAAGCGAGGCTAGGAAAAAGATCCATGATCGTTAGTGATGAAATGTGAGCGCTCTTTGGTAGAATCAAAGATTGAATAGCTTCCAGTGCCTCAATAAGAAGATCGTAGATTTGACAGTGAGCCAACGTTTTTTAACCGACTCAACTTCACTCATTCTTAAAATGACTCTAGCATGAATTTTCTCGGTGGGCATCTAAAATCGCGCCAAGAATTTCGTTGCAAATAGTTGCGGTAGTACGAAGGCACGGGTTGCAACAGGTCTCACTTATAATAGGCATCGTGTCCTTCAACGTTTGCTACCTAGCGGAGCACCCACGCGACAGGAGCCGAGAAGCCTATAAATACGTCCTCTCCCCCCAGAGATTTGTTTTACAACTCTACTACTTGGCTATGCAGAGTCGAGCAGGCCTTCGGTTCGGGGCACCTGATAAGTTCTTCCCTTTGACCTACTGGATTCCACTGTACTGACATCTATACTGTAATTACATTGTGGACTGACAGGCTAGGAAGTGCTTGTGAGAATGAGATTCCCACCAGGTCCACTATGCCACCCATGCCAGCCGATCAAAAAAGCAGTTTTGTGTTAGATGGTCGATGTATCTATGCGAATATCTGTCCATCAAAGCAGCCGACCATTGTCCCGCCTCTGAATATCGATGCAAGAGCGATTTCCATACAGGTATGTAGATTTCAGCGCGACCCTTTCCGAAACTAGACTGACTTCAAAGACGATGCGAAAGAAAAGATCCATCCGTCCAATGCACGCGCAAAGCCACGGAACCCTTTCCGGTGTCTTCTTTCAGAACATGTAAGTCACTTATTGTCTGGCCGACCGAAAAGCTAATGATGGACAGGAAACCGTTGACAGCGCGCCAAACTGAACCCGAACCAGCACTTCGTCAGTGCTCCACGCAGTCATGGTTTACACACCATTTCTGGCCCTGTCACTTCAAATCATGCAGCATGTCCTGAAATTCTGCAAACCAGGGCTGCGGGTCAACGACAGGACGCATAAGCCCCAGACGTTCGTTGTGCACGATGAGGTGAGTGGCCTCCTGCTGCGCCTGGTCCGATAATCTGTGCCAAGTCTGTGTCTCAAACACAAAAGCCACTGACATCTTCATGCCGTTGTAGGAGCAGCCCATCGCCAACCGCGAAAATCTTGTGACGACTAACCTATTCGCGCCGAATCAGATACGACCAAGGTGCCGACGCGCAATCGCATCTTCCGCCCTCCTCACCGCCTTCACATCCTCAACGACGGTGTGCCTCTACACGAAGCAGTCTCCCAATACGACTGTGCAATTTCTTGTCACAGGTGGGTTCGTCGCGCCCCTTTGCCATCTTGTGAACTTGCCCGATGCATCCAGCAGCTTCTCGAAGCGACAGCCGGAGAGTGCGACGAACCTACATGGCATGGCATGATTGGTGCCTGCATTGCAGAAGAGAATTGGAAGTGATCTAGTTGGTAAGCTGGTATGATCACGATTCTTGTTTATAATCTGCTTCAACCGTACACTCGGGGAATTCTTCATGAACAACGTAAAGCGCGACACCTCGTCCAACTGGATCAACACTTGCTGACTCGGATCTCACAACAGGAGACACCCTCAGATTCTCACACACGAATGCGAAGCGAGCAAACGTCTTGTCTGCTCGACCTCCCCTGCACCAACACCATCGTATACTCTGTTTCTTCCACATGACTACTGGTGGCATCGATGAGCCGCTACCTCGACCTTCTCCCAGTCGATTTGGTTCATCAGATCACGCGTTTATGCCTACCTGATGCAAGACCCAATGGAGCGCATAGCAGTGTCTGTTTCTCGGTATTTGAACACCCACAGGGGATAGCTAGTTGCGGCTTGGATCCCTGGCGTCCAGTGGGTGACCACCGTTGTCCTCAGATGGCGTCTGGCGTCTTTCGAGCCTGAAAATCTGAAGGCACCGGGAGGAGCCGATGTTTCGTCTTGCTAAAGCCGTATTTTCGTACACGGCGAGGTTATTCGTCGAGTCTGCTTGCAAGGAGAATGTGAGGTGACCCGTCATTGCTAGCCGAATCATCTAACAAAGCCATGTTAGCTTCGAATCGATGGACGAAACCGAGGACGGCCAAACGAAAGAGAGGACCCATGACCCAAGAACCGCGTCTGATAGAGCCCTCCTGATTCCTCTTCCTCCCCGCGTTGCTCCGCTTATCGACATATTCGAGCGAGCGGGAACCACTCGGACATACACGGAGCTGCATGCTATGAGGATTGTTTGTCTTTTCCCTGTTAGACAGAAGCTTGGTGATTTGATTACTAAGCCTGTGTTTTTCTATCCAAGCCCGAGCACTACGTGGAAACCCATACACCTTGAATGTCACAGCAGCTGGAGGTCAGTCAAGTTATCCAGTATCCTTCGTCCATTGAGACCGTCGTCTAACATATCGCAATTGGAGGCGCAAGCAGGTCTTGCCAGGAATCACCACTTCTCTACCTCCCGAGCTCACTACCCTTTGACCAACGATGATATTTCCTCACTCATCGCGCCGGAAAATATCTGGCATATCACTCACTGTTCGAGCAACTTACCGTGAAGGTGGGTTTGATGTCTGTAACAGCACCACTAGAGCCATTGTAGGACCTCTTGGACTCTCCCGTACAGCCAATAATTTATTTTCTACCCGTAATAAACCCTTAAGCCATATTTGCTTGAGGACGAATTTCAGCAGACGCCCTAGGGCCGGATGTGGATTAGAGCACCCTTGTGCGAATACCACCCGGTCCTGAGCGGCGATCGTGGAGAGTGTCTTTACCAGTTCTGGTTCTAGGTGGCTAGTTGGACTCCGATCGCACTTAAACTATATCAGCAGCAGAGCATGCTGTGTCGCATGACTCAGGAATACGTCCACAAATAGTAATGCCCGTCGCTTTAATCGCCGGACTGGACTTCTTCGAGAGATTGGTTGGACTATGAATGGTAAGTTACTGACGGGATATTATTCACAAAGATGCGACGGCTCTTACATGTAGAAGGAGCGGATCATATATTCCCGAGCGAAAGCTCCCAATGACATGTTGACCTCGAGCGAAAGCAACTCTCACTCTAGAATGTAGGCATTTTATCATAAAGTACGTTCGAGCGACACGCAATATTCATGTGGAGAAACAGCTCTGACTACACAAGGAATAGAGCCTGTCGTACCATGATGTTTGCCCGCGATCCGTGTTTTCGAGCGAGACCTCATCACATGGCTCTACACTCCGTAGTTCTGTTGAGCGTACAGTATATTGCGTGATCATAGTTGAGCAACTTGTAGATTAAATCATCTCAACTGAGTTGGAGGCTGTACGTCAAGCGTGACCAACAGGGATGGAAACTGCCTTGCGGAATCAAAAAAATGCAAGTGAAGTTTCTATAATGTCGGTGAGATGGCAAGAACCGCGCTGCCTCCATAAAACGTTGACCACCCCTCCTTCAGCGCCCGACTATTCACTACAACTGTGATGCTTCGCTACACATATTTGACCACATCGACATCAACACCCATCAACACCAACACATCAACACTCTCACCAGCTCTCACCAGCTCTCACCAACTCTCACCAACTCTCATCAACTCTCACCAACTCTCACCGACTCTCACCAACTCTCGCCAACTCTCACCAGCTCTTACCAGCTCTTACCAGCTCTCACCAGCTCTCACAGCTCTCACCAATTCTCACCGACATGTTTGATCTACGCCTGAATGAAGGGTGCCAATTTCAATACCGCGAAAGGACTATCGGACGCAAACCATCAGCGCAGAACATTTGGGAACCTCCCCTTTATCTTATAATTTTGGCCATTGAATTTGGGACGATCTATCTAGGGCTCATTCTATCTATCCAATGATGATCCTTCGGAAAATGAAACAGATTATGAGGAGGCTGGGCAGGCCTTTGGTTCTTCGAATAGTGTTGATAACTCGAATACTGGTCTCTAACACCACGGAGAGGTGCCTACACATCGCTAGAGGCCTTGTTAACGCAGTAATCCCCTGCAGAGCACGTTTGTTGACGCAGAGCTCGTCCTGCGAAGCACATTTTTACACTCGCGGGGCTCAGGGCAGCGAGGGAGCACACTCTTACACTCGCGGGGCTCAGGGCAACGAAGGAGCACACTTGATAACGCAGAGCCCATCCTGCGAGGCACATTTGTTAACGCAGAGCCCATCCTGCGAGGCACATTTGTTAACGCAGAGCCCATCCTGCGAAGCACACTTGATAACGCAGAGCCTATCCTGCGAGGTAGTCTTGTTTTCGCAGCACCTCCCTGCGAGGATTGTTGTTCACGCAGATCTATCCTGCAAAGCGCCTTTTTACACTTGCGGGGCTCGTGGCAGCGACAGCCGTGGTCACGGAAGCTCCCAAGCCCGCAGGCAAAAGAGGGACACTATGAAGTATCAAAGTGTGAGGACCGAAGTCCTGAGTTTTTTGGACTGGGAATCCGGCCCCTTTTATATTTTTTTTCGGCTACATCTCTACCAAGGAACCAGTTGCCCAGATGGTAGCGAGAATCACTGTCTCGTTGATAGGCGTTGAAGCGAGTTGAACGACGTTGAAACGGTGTCTGGAGACTTTGTGGCCTACAGACTCAAGTTTCGACCTGGGATCATTTCTCTCAACTCATGCGTTGAGTATGATGAACCACTTTCATCAACTGTTGGAAGAAAGCAACGCCGCAAAAATATGATTGCTACATATCATTGAGTTGCAATTAAATCGCTCAACGTGGTGGCACTCTACATCTGCCCGGTTTAGCCACGGTCACCGTCTCTTTCATGAGGGTTGAAGTGCTTCAACAGATGCCGAAATAATAGGTTGGAGGATTTCTGGCTGACAGAAACGCTGAACTGTACCTGCAGTTGGCTGGAGGATCCTTTGGTCTCGCTAGAATCAATCCTGTTCATCCTTGGCCCCGCGCCGCTGAATGTTGTTCCTTTCTTGTCTACTCGCAGCCAGCTAATGTTGCCTTTACTAGAATCCCTACTCACTGGCCGCAGACACTGACATACTCTCAACTCAGGATGAGGATTGTCTTTCTTTAGGAGGGAGGACCAAAGTCCAGAGCTTATTGGAGAGCCTTCCATAGGAAACTAAGCGTAGTTTCCAGGACAACCATGTGTACTGTTGCAACCAAGGTTCACGGGCTAGGTTCTCGTGATTGCCACTCCTCGCAATATTGCAACGCTCCTATCACACTGATGAGACTCTGGATACAAATAGCACCCGACGCACCAATCAACCACCATGCGCGAATTTAGGCAGACGCAGGTACGGTTCTGCGATGCAGATCCCAGCGACGACCCACGGGACAGTAGATCAAGGAGGTTCTATTTGTGGCGCGGAGAAGAGAATGGAAGGATTTGCAAAGGTCCAGACACGATCCACAAGCCCAAACCTGATGGCCGTGGGTCGTTGTTGAGGTACAGACGAGGCATGGTCGAGGCAGGCGAGGTATTTGGAATAATTCACTTCTAGCACCAAAATCCAATCCGTGGTTATGTTCTCCTGTCAAGTGGCAAGCTGCTCTTTGTCTATCTAGTCTGTAGAATGTTCTAGAAGCTGTCTTCTCTCCTGCACCTTCCCCTGATGCTTATACTCTCTTTGAGCCCAACACATACTCTCCACTACCCAGTTTGATCGCCAGTCTGATATGTCTAGCAGATAGCTTGTAGAAACTATGCCGATCATAAACAGACCACATGCGCTTATGTAAAAATATCTCCGGTTTTTGCACTATACCCGAGGAACCGATTGGCTGCCGGACATGGATCGACGTTGTGGGCCGGCCCTCCTGCGGCCCCTAACCTTATTTCAAACATCCCTGCGCATCTTGATCATGTCTCTAGCGATAGAGAATCTTTCTAGTACTGCGTTGGTCCAATGTCCTGTACATGAGCAGGTTGAGACTGGTGATTCTATGCCAATTCTCTGGACTTCTCTTTTAGGCTGTAGGACATAATCACGAGCAACCTAAAAAGCAAGTAGGGCAGAAATTTGTAGATAAGCGTTTCTCGTCGATCATTCATGACTGCTGCATTCTCTGACCGAGTGACCGTTTCCATGGTTCATTAAAATTCTATTTCAGGGTTCAGCGATTGATGGACGACCCCTGTACTGTTGCACCGTGTTTGGGATAACTTTAGTCAAACTATGACCTTGTAACTCCCTCGCTTTTGTTGTGATGCCATTGTTGGCATACCGAGGCATGAAGCTTACTTTAATTTTCGAAACTGACTTCATACGTACAATTACTGAGATACTTATCATGTTGCATCTGGATTGCTCAGCTGCCACATCTTCCGTTCGTAGCAACAATTAACAACACCAATTCATCTAGATGGTCACGACGATCGCTTAGAGTTCACAATGTAGCGCGTATGCCAACGAACCGTGGTAGCATAGACATTCGCTCATCGGTCTCTCAGCTTCCTGGATGCACAGACACGATGTACATAGTCCCATATCTGCGATGACAATCGAGTCTCTTCACACTGTGAATGGCGCAGTAATGGCATCGCGCGGCCTGTGATGCATGGTCAGCTTGTGATAAATGGAGGATGAAGATCAGTTCATACCGGGCCTCGAACCTTTCGTCTTTGTTGTCTCAATGCTGTTTATATGGCTAGGCTCGGTCGCTAGGATTGTTTGAACCCATTTTTCAATATTACTTTGCGCAGGCCTTCTGCTTGGGATATTCGCTAATGAAGCCATACGGCTGACCGAGCGATGAGCTCCTGCTCGTTTCCGATGGGCTGCCTGCTTAGGCGATCTGGCATTACTGCGACGTAGTTTGCGCAAAATATGGTACTTCTTCCCTCGCAGAGACTCAACGCTTCGGTCCACCTGATATTGTTCATAATATGCGTGGGAGCGGGCTTTCCACGGCAGCGCCCGACGAGCGTCCAGCCAGGAGAGAAGGTTGTTTTCGTCCCATTCCGACCACTCTACCCCGCTTCGAGAGAACATAGCGCTCGCATGAACTAACAGTAACTAGCCAGAAGACACCCTTTCACACAATGGCACGAGTTGAACTCCGCATGAGTGGGGAAGGTGAGCCTAAATCCCCTCCAGGTCCCAGTGAAAGCTGACATAGTACCCTTGGTTCCTCAGAAATCTTCTAAAGGCTTGTGACATGACCCATGGACCACTCTGGACAGTTGATTCGGTCGTTCTGAGTTGTAAATTATCGACTCCGTATTTCAGAATCCCTCGGACTTCCAGCGTTGGAACAAATTCATATCTACCAGGACGACCAACCTTCAGTTTCGTACTTCTAAATATCTCGAACATAATGACTGCATATGGAAATGAACGTAGCAATGAGTTTTCAGGCCGAGCCCCACCGGGTACTGAGTAATGTAGCACGAAACAGACTTTAAAAGCAAAAGATTGCCCTCGACGAAGTCGCTTCCACTAAAGTTGAATGACGTGCCTGATTGGCTAGAATATATTCCAAATCAAGCGACAATTGCGCTCAGTACGGAAGATAGTGGGCCTTGATATCGATCACAAGCTCCGGTTTGGAGCACAGAATCTTCATAAAAGCCTGAGCGACTTCTTCTACCATCTGACTTGCAAACTCGTTGTCTCGCTTTGACTCAAATTCAACTATGGGTGGAGTTCGAAAATTTCCGTTCACTGACCGACGACAAAGCTTTGAGACGATTACAACGTGCATTGTCCCTTTCATCCTCCGGGTCTGAGGATATCTGGATTCCGCCCAGATCCGCGGCGGAGGATACCACAGAGGACGAGTGTTCTCAAGAAGACGACTCGTTTGACAACCATCGCAACGAAATCACAGTAGATAATAGCCAGGAAAGTCCTCTGCACATCTGGAGTACGGGCCCGAGACCAGAAGAAGAATTGGAACAACCCGGACAGGATCTCTCTGAGGACTGCAATATGATTGCCTTCCAATGTCTTGCAGAGTGAGTGTGAATTCTCTCCCATCGAGTGATGTTACGTGATGTCTGCTAACAGCATGTAGACTAGATTTCCGAACAAAGTCAGTCGTGCGACCTACCAGACAAAAACAGATACTGATTATTTTCCAGGTCCATGCAAGCTTCATTGAATAACCAGAACAGTTGGATTGAAACTATTCACAGTGGCCTGGAGGACTTCCGCAGTCGATTGGCGGTAGGAAAATAAATAAAGTATACAATAAAGGGGGAGAGTCTAATTGTCGGGACATATCCTCCCGTCAGAATAAGCAAAAACATGTTGTACGTAATCTTGCGAAGCTGCGGCTCCCACTGTATGGATTCAGGGGCATTGGACGAGGACCTGGGAACATACATCTATCTACATCATCAATTTACTTTCTGCTTTTGGAGCATACATGCTGTCCACTTAACTGTGTACACAGTACCTAGCTGGTGACACCAACACTAATAGTTCCATACACAAGTCTAAAGAGGGTTAGAAAATTAAATTGGTTTAGCTATTCTTTCATTTTATTTCTCTCCCCTTGTATGGTCTCTGTATGAGGGTTACTCTTTCCCTAAGATCTCTGACTCTGACTCTTGATTGCTGCTAGGCGGTGCTGCCTTCCGTATATCAGCAATCTTCTTGGGAAGAGACAGTGGTAGTAGCTGGAAGTCTTATATAAGTGCCCCTTCTCCCCACGGTGGATATATTGTTCCTTTGCTCTTTGTTCGTCGTTTACCTCTGCACTAACTCTAGTACTCATTCGGTGACTTTATGTTACTAGCTGATTTGAGCCCCCTAACTCCTTCGCGAAGTGCAGTAATTGGGGTAGAAATCAGCACCTAATCTATTAGATCAGACTAAGCTTGCTATAGGGGGCTCATTAATCTTCTTCTAGTTGGGGTCTCTCCTATAGTGGTAGTTATATGAGCTCATACTTTCCTCAACCTCTCTACCTGTTGGATGTCTTGGTTCATACGCTGTAGTTAGTCGCAATAAGACTCGTATGAGTCTGCCTGGGGAACACTAATCATTCCTTAAAGAGTTTTACATGTCAATCTAGAGAAGATACAATTGCTAACCCATCATCATCCTGCCATAGTGGCGAAAGTACGTGATATCCTTATGATGGACTCCCACTCGGCCAAACGGCTAGCCGATGGGACAGAGCAATTAAACAGGCTCTGACACCTTATTCGAGTGTCGTGGAACGGTGGTTGTGGAATCCCACCAGCCCCTCCCCCACATCGGCCTAGCATACAACACTAACACATCTTTTTGATTTTCTCACGAGCAAAACCATGAGTTTGGTGACTACCTTTGTGGGGCGGATGCCATGGAGCAGCCCGGATGCACTTGGGGTGCACGGAAGTCTAGCGCTACGAGCTAACTTGGAGACGTCCGGAAATGCCGTTGCCACACCCCCCTCTTCCGTCCCCGCACGGTAATTCCGCCATAGCAGCCGGTGCGAGAGGGAATGCTTAGCGGCCTGATGTATATAGCCTGCAGTGAAATCCTTCACCCATCCCGGCTATCATCCAACAAAACCATCATGCCTGACCTCCATTCACTCCCAGAGGGCTGGTGGCCGGAACACGCCATCCGCAACAACGGCCCTGACGCATTGGTGCTGGAGAGAATGAAACTGCGTGAGCTTGCTGAGGGGTGGCCCTGCTATCGGTAAGTTTTCATTTTCTTTTCCTTGCCCCGGACGTTCAAGTTTCTCTACCTTTCGTTTCGTCCATCTCGAATGACATGACCCTGCTGACATTATCATCATCGTCCGTCCGCAGCGACGCCTGCGAATGGGAAAACTTCGCATCCATCTTCCACCCCGGCGCACACATCTACACCACCTGGTCCGGCAAAGTGTTATTCACCGAGTTCTTTGCCGTTTCAAAAGCCGGTATGGACCGCGGCGCCTTCATCATGCACCGCTGCCACGGGACCACAACAGATATCACTCTCGATGCCCAGCGCGCAGTGACCAAGATGAAGGCCACGATCACGCAACGATTCGCCCTGGAGGACGGAGTCGAGGTCGATGTTGAGTGTGACTGTCGCTTCTGCTTCTTCTTTGAGAAGGTGGATGGCCGGTGGGGCGCGCGTTTTGTTCGGCACTGGTATGAGAAAGATAAATTGCTCCCGGTGAATCCGGCTAGGGTGCCAAAGATTGATGAGGGGGGGTTGGCGGCGTACCCGGAGGGGTATAAATTCTTGGCGTATTGTCAGGAGCGGACGATGGGTGTTGAGGTTCTTATGGATATGCCGGGGCATAATCGGCACAAGGGGACATCGGCGGGAGAGAAGCATGATCTGTTGTATATGCAGGCGAAGGCGTGGCTGGAAGGCGAGGATATTGAGATTTAGACGGCCAGAACGTGATAAGGGAGATTAGGAAGCTGGAGCTTGGCACGCTTGAATAGAATACGTATTATGGCCTTTCTTTCTATTTCCCGGACGACATTTTCTCCCCAGCAGGCAAAAGAAGTTCTTTTCTACCCTCATTCATGGTATTGTTCTATTCTTCTTCTCTCGGATCCAATCGGGCGTCGAAGGCAAAATGGGAGAAAGTAGGAAACGTCCCGTTAGATAACGTATTACCCAAGCGAGCGCCGCACCCAAGCGAGCGCCGCACCCAAGCGAGCGCCGCACCCACCTACTATATCTACTATTATTATTCAATTTTTTCAACCACAATTTGCATTCAGTAAAATTGAAACTATTCGGACCTCTCTGGGCACCGATTTCTCTTATGTCCAGGCGTTTTACAGAGACTGCATCGCTGTGGGCGTCTCTCATTGGTCGGATTCGGCGTCGGGGATGAGCCGCCGGGTTCCTCATGTATAGCTTCTTCCACCTGCCCTGGTCCACCCACGCGCTCTATAGCCTCTGATACTAATAGAGCACCATTATTAGCCATTCGAGCCTTTGTACGCCGCTTTTTACGCGTGGTCTTCGCATTGGCGGCGAGTAAATCGCTAATTTGCTGCCTCGCGATCATGAAGCTATGTATAGCGAGCTGGCAGCCTTTCTCCATCTGATCTAGAGCCTCTTCTAGACGCGCTGGGTTATTGGAAGCAAGCTTCTTAATAGATGATGCCTGTCTCTTCGCTTCCTTGACTGTATACGGCGTCTTCGGGGTCCAATTGCGGCTTGAATCGCTGTTGTTGCTTGGTGGTCTTGGAGGGGTGGCTAGACGAATGTCGAGCTTCGAAATGACGCGCTGCGGGTCGAATGGCCTGATACCAGCGCTGGCGAAGCTATTCACAATGTTGATCTCTGTAAATGCTTTGATTCGGGCCTTTGTGTAAGCCTCTAAGAAGTCATTTTTGTCGACGCGGTGGATGCCAACCCTTGTCTGGGACTCAACCACTTCACTATAAGCCCGCTTTAACACCCCAAAACAGCCGATATCGAGAGGCTGTAAAAGGTGGGATGAATGCGCTGGCATACAGATCGTGATGATATTATTTTGAGCGCAGATTTCGTCGAATTGAGGCGTAAGATGGCTGCCATGTCCGTCGAGGACAAGAAGACGATATACTCCTTTCGTACGGCCTATACTCGATGGAATAAAGACCTTTTGAAGCCATTCAAGGCTGATAGAATCCGTAGTCCATCCCTTTTCACTAACTGCGAAAAGCCAGGTCGCTGGTAGGTCTGTATCGCCGAACCAGGCCTTCATAAAGACCTTGCCCTTAAAAATGACGCATGGCGGTAAGGCGTACCCCGACGCACTTATTGCTTCAATTGTCGTCACCCATTCGCGATTTCCAGGTTGTAAAAGAGATCGCCGACCGTAGGAAGTTCTTGTCACAACTTTTGCAGTAGCTGTAAGGCCGAGAGCGAAGCCAGTCTCGTCGAAATTGTAGATATCCTCCTCATGAATGCCGTATTTTATGATCGTACTTTGGAGGAAGTTAAACCACGTTGTGATCATCTTCATGTCTTCGCATTGAGCTCGCCGGTAATCGTAGGATCGTGAGAATCGAGTAGATAGGTCTGGGTGCCGCTGGACGTAATTGTAGACCTAGTTATTACCGACTGTTTCAGGTGGTTGAACCCCACGGCCCTCAAGCAGTAAATTGGCCGCCTCTCGTACAGTATTCGGCCGAGGAGCTGCTCCGCGTATATCCAATGAGACAATCCAATTATAAAGCGTTTGCTCTTCTAAAATTGTCAATTTATAGCTATTAGCGCGGGTTTCTTCGCGACTTTTGACGCCTTCTAGGCGGCGGCGAAGCGTCCGGTCGGGTACGTCGAAATCGCGTGCTAATTGACGTAAAGAGCATTTTACTCCATTTTTTCGAGCTTCAATTGCTAGTAGGATTCTGCCCTCTTGCTCTATACGTTTTTGAGCCGATTGGGAGCGAATTGGTGGCATTGTGGAGGTTTAAAAAGAGAGAGTTGAAATAAGACGCGAGGATGACGCGGGGTGCGGCGCTCGCTTGGGCGCGGCGCTCGCTTGGGTAATACGTTATGGAAAATACAACAAGGCAGACAATTTACCACCATTCTATCGTCACCAAGAAAGACTGACCCACTTGCACTTGTTTTGCTAGGAGGTACCAATATGTGTGACTAAGCTATGGGAGTCTCGGATCTACATACAGGGGACAGATATTTCATCCGCAGTTATGGTTCGAGTCGTCCAGCAGTTCATGAGGAGAATGGCGGACTGCCAGATAAGGACTACTCACACACGCGGAGAAAGGGATATTGACAGCCATAATCTAAAAACTAAAAAAAAGACTGAAGAACAGGGCATCAGATCAACCCCGCGAGACAACAAACGACCGCCCCACAACCCCCCAAAACCCACCCCTTCTCAACGTCCTAGCCCTAATGCGTTTCCCATAATAAAACATAGGAATGGCCAGGAGAAGAAAGAAATACTGCATCGCAACCATCTCGCCAAATGCCTATTTCGTGTTCGGTTTGTGTTAGCAGACAAGGCTCCGTTTTCCATATTTCTGCTGGCTCGGGATGGGTAGGTTCGCCTCACGTTTTCTGCGCCTGTTGCTTGCTGCCAGTCGACCGTGTATAGGGCCAGGAGCATTGCGATGGTATTCCGGACGACGAAAACGATGACTAGGGCTTCGCCAGCGACCTGTAGTTGAGAAGTAAGTGTCAGCTCATTCGGCAGGGTCAGTGATTTACTAAACCGTGGGAGAAACGACGAACGATATACGAGTAGAAAGAAAGATAGGAAAGCAGAAGTAACACAAACATGCAAGAACATACATGCTGGTAACTATCCACCGCATAAGTCACCACAATATTCGAGAGAGCCGTCAACCCAAAGCCCTGCATCGCATACCCGAAGGCCGCGCCGACCCAACCTAATCGACGAGCTGAGCAGATGCCAAATGTCAGAACCCCCATGGGACCAATAACAGCTGGTATGATCAGCGCGGGCAACCGGAATTCAGGCTCTCTGACGCCGCCATTGGCCTTTGTCATGCGCGCGGACAGGAGGTCGATGAGTTTGCCGCCAGCGAAAAACGCGATCACGGCACCGATAAAGCCTGCCAATGCGAGGAGACCGACTTGACCGACTTCCCAGCTGTAGGGCGGAGTGAGAAAGACCCGGCTTGCTGTCATTTGGACTACGATATTCCTGTGGCGATGTGATTAGTAAGACTGAAGGACAAAGTAGTTATGACGGATATCAGAGGGAGAAAGGCCGTACCATCCAACAAAGGTCCCGACCAAAAACCCCGTCCACAGAATGGGCGGATACGCCGCCAGCGAGAGGGTAGTGCAAACAGTCCTAAAGAAAGAAACATCCCGCCTGAAACCGCGAGTCACAGCCATCCAAGCGAGAAAGCTCTCTCTCGGTGGATACGCAGAGTGCGGCAGGTCAACACTGGCGGTGTCCCGCCTATAATTCGATTCTCGTACCGTAAAAACACCAATGAGGAATGTCGAGCCGCTCGCAATGGCCAAAAACCCCGACGTCCAGCGCCAACCAGCTTCTTGGGTGATATAGGCGCACATGAGCGGACCAACAAAGAACCCGGTGCTGAGCGCAAAATGGAAGATCATCATACAGTGACCACGTTCGTGGACGAAGAAAAGGTCCGCGATCAGAGACGGAACTGTCGCGTCGGCTGCAGCGGCCGCAAGGCCGGATATGATACGCGATGCGAGAAGACTTCCGTATGTAGATGCTTCGTACGTCCAGATATTGCATCCTGTCAAGAGGAGAAGTGCAAGTAAATAGACGGGCCGTTTGCCGATGATGCGCGATAGCGGAACCCAGAGTAGATTTCCCATGCCCATGAGCAGGAGATTGAAGCACACTATGTAGCCGGCTCGTGTTGGTGTCACACGGAACTCATTGCTTATCTCGACGACCGCGACGACTAAATTGCTAGAGTTGAAGGTTGAAAGGAACGTAAAGAAACATACGGTCAGGCAGGTCAAGTACTTTTCGGATTTTGTCCAATTCTGCGGGAAAGAGTGAGTAATGGAAACTGATCTTTTCAAAGAGTGCAACCATGGCAGCTCGGAAGTAAAGACGAGGACGAAGCGGAAAACTTACCAGTGGATCATTGGGATCTTGTGTCGGCTCAGGGACCAGGGCAGAGCCCTCGACATGCGTGGCCTCTTCCTGCTCTTCATGTTCATTCTTTTCCATTGTGAGCGTTGGGGCTGCTGGAGTCGAGAATGTTTAATTGACACCCCAGTAGGACGGGTCTAGCACGTTTATAGGCCAATGAATCCACTATTTCCCAGACCTCATGTGCCACAAAAGTGGAGGCGAGTCAGGGGTTCGTTCGGGGAAGGATTCCGGCTGTGAAACCGGACGTCTGCCGATTGCGGAGACTCCAAGGGACCTAGACAACAGTTATGTATTCTTTTGGTGCATTTTATGAATAGACCTTGGTCACTTTGTGCTACATTTGGTCCAGTCTATCATGTTCACGCACGGCGGATAACCCAATGTGGCCGGAATTGCCGGCCGCCAATGGTACAGAATGAATATCCCCATACGATTTATCTAATGAGGCCCCGGGCTCCGGCTCCTGGAGGGCAGGGGGGCCCCGGTGCGGATACCGAGCTATCAGACGGGAGATGCAATCAGAAAGAATCAACTTGTATCTATGGGACATACATTTCATCACGATGGAGACTAGAATAAAAAGTATATAACTATTCCTGACCCCAATTACGGCACCTGAATATGTTGAGATTTACGATGCAGGTAATAGGGAAGAAGAAGATATGAAGAGACGGTCCTTTTCCAGAGAGATTGTTTAGGTCTGATCCCTCATAATATGAGGGATCCGCTATTTAATGAGTGAAAGCTTTTTTCAAGCTATAACTTACTGGGTAGGTTGAATGTTGATCTGATTCATTCCTGAGGTATCAGGATGGATGCCGAAACATCAGTCATCCATTGCCAGATGCCGTATGAATCTCAACATAATATTTAACCATATAATAGCAGAGCTACGGTCGTCGGACACACGTAGCTGGCCCTCAGGGGGGAATAGCCTCGATAATATCGTCAGAAAGACTACAATCCGCTCCAAAGTCACTGAACTGGAGACGCACGCCAGCGCTCGGATCATCACAAGCCATATTAAATGGTCCCCAAAGCCCGTTCATCGGCAGAAAATTCCAGTCGGCGAGGGTCGTCTGCGCATTGCCAGGATCGAAGGTTGTTGTCCTCTCACGAGCACTGATCAGGGCAGTTTGAATGAGCTTTGCCGCTTTCGCTGCGACGACGGACTCTTCCATTGTTTCAAGGATCTCGATCGCCGTCTCAACCTGCCCGAAAAGCGCGTCGTACTCGCTCTCTGGAGGCGCCTGGAATATATACACCAGTATTATAGAAGCCGCGAAAATGGTGTAAGTTGTGTTGTAAAACCTGTAGCGTCGGAAACATATTGTCTTAGTATTCGAAATCGGTAAGGAACAAGTGCAAACGAAGAGAAAAAGTTACTTGGGCAACGAGACGTACCAGGTTCGGAAGAAGTCCTGATGCTGGAAAATCTCATAGACAATTTCAATCGTGAGCCTGGCCGAGTCGAGGCACTTGCCGATTTGCTCCTGTAATTGCGCATTTGACGCGCGCTCAGCCATGGAAGACTTCATCAAAAGGCGTCCAAAAAGGAGAATTCGCAAATTATGATACCCTTAATATGTTAATCCTTGCGCGAACATATCAGGGATCGCGTCATCCGGACTCACGGGTCGTTGTAGCCAGTCTTTGCCTCTTGACATACTGAGGAACCATCGCAGCTTTTAGGGGCCTTCTCTGGCCGACCTCAATCAGAGGGCGGAGCTCAGGCGGCAGAGTCTCGACCCAGCGCTCGATATTTTGCTCAATCTGCGCGGCCACCGCAGTCGTTTTCTCCAGTGTCAAGTTCAACATGTAGATATTGACGCAGATGGTTCTGATGAGCCTTGAGATGTCCACCATGTGTTTGATTATGGCACATTGTGGTGGCTCAAGAAGCTCCGATGCTCTGCCGTCATTAAAAGGATCTCCCGTGGTTATGGGGTACCGACGATTGTGGTAAACATCAGCACCCAAAGTGTCTGGTCGGCCCATAGAAAATGCCAACTCGCTAGACATCAGAGTAAATGTAAGTTTGTTTAAGCTTGAAAGGAATGTTCTTACGTCTCTAGAAAATAAAGGCACCTTCTTCTGCAGTTAGAAAAAGCACGGACATGCGCAAGGGTAGGATATGTCACCAACCACCACGTCCTCGATTCCGCCTTGAGCACTTCCGCTTCTTTCACGCAATTTGGTGATGGCTCCCGGTTGATACCAATTGAGAGCGCTATTCGGACAGCTTGTCCAATCTGCAGGTACGCCCCTATACTGTGGTCAACAAATTCTGCGCCATTCCTAGATGATTAGGGCTTACAGTGGAGATTCAGTGCGTTTTGGCACACCTTCGCCTAATTTTAACAAGTCAGTAGCGCAATGTACTCTTGACTTCACAGGACTAGAAGTACCAGGTAGAAATGACATTGGACCATTTCAAGGTCCGTTATCGTGCTGAAATTAGACCGACAGCGAGCTTCATGGAAGAATTTTCTGCTCCATAACACATCGTCAATTCCGCCAATGGATTCTTCCTCTCTTGGCCTCAGGAGTGCCCCCAATGACAGAATGCTGTAGTATAGAGCGACGAAGCTCTGACTGAGCGATGAGATTTTCCCTGCCCAAACGAGCTCACACTTCTCCAAGAACGCGGGTTTGGCCAATATCGGATAGACGTAATGTATCGTCGCGAAGAAACTATCCACAAAAACACGGCAATGTGATACAGACGCCAATCGCTCAGTTGGATACTGCTCCACTGCTGATGATGGAAGCGCCTCGGGGGAGGAAGAAGAAAAGGCCGGGTTGTGTAGGCTAGAGACCAATCCTTCCTCGTCATCAGGCTGCTCCCTGCCTTCCACGGCACTGGCTCTCCGTATATGTGCGAGAAGGGCAATTGAGCTCGAACTGCCGTAGAACTCGGAGCTGTGAGTGTGACGGTTCACGACTCCTACCTCGTAAGCGGCCCTGCACCGGGTAAAAGGGCTATCACCCGAACGCGGTCGAGATTGCGTGCAATCAGTCACACCCGCCTCACCAGTTATGTTCTGTTGCTCGTTGCTCAGATCCGCACCCCTGCTGGTGTTGGAAGCGATCAGGGCCGATGACAAGGCCTTGATCTGTTCTTCAAGCTGGTGGACATACCTAGATCCTCTCAGAGCTATTAACTACAAGGCACCGGAAAATACTGGACAGGGAGTTTACTCAGGGGTGGTACGGTTGGTCCTCACGCTATTGGCACCGCCACGGTAGACGCAGTCAGTCTTCCGATCTGTGAGACGGCATCAGCATTCGAAGCCACTGGACTATCTTTCATGCTTGAGACGCACTCCTGCAATGGGTGCACGGCCTCAGCTCGTCGCATTTGTTTTTCTTTAGCCGGCACATCTCGCATGCTCTAGCTGCCCGGAGGCGCTTCAGAGCCGGACCGTCAGACTCGACAGAATTATCCATATTTGTGCCCCAATCTGAACGGAGTTGTTGGAGGTTGGCGGAGGCAAGTATTAAGTTTTGGACAAATGCGGGGAAGAACTACGTACCGGAGGCGGCTGCGTCGGCAATTACTCCAGACAATCCTGCAGCTGACGATTGAACTACTCCACAATCTCCGCACATCTCCTAGCGACCGATGGACTACTTTTAGGAATCTACACTCCGCACCTCAGATTGACTAGCTTAATCCTTGTACAGAAAGAGAAAAGCTGCCCACGCTCAAAATCGCAGGACACTAGAGGGTCCAATTCTTCGATACCGCCGTCATGCACGCCAGGCATTAGCCTGTTCATATTTTGTTATATCAAGTTGAAACTACCCTACGTCTCCCGCAACTTGACACGGACCATAAAATCTTTGGGCTTCACGAACCAATAGTCGGCCGTATTCCACTCAGTCGTTGAATCTGCAAGCCTCGCGTCGAGCTCGAAATCGTAGTCTCCGACAAGGGATGCGATGAGCTTTGAAACCTCGAGTATAGAAATGTGCCTGCCGAGGCATGTCCGAGAACCCATGCCAAACTACATGGGCGCAGTTAGACAACTGCTGGGCTTACAGAAGAGGGGAAGGTGGACGTACAGGCATCCAGTGACGGTTCATGAAGGCTAGCTTGTCACTATCATCGATCATCCACCTCTCCGGCTTGAATTCGTCCGCATCGGCACCCCAGATCTGTGGGTTGCGATGTTCCACCCAGGTGTTGACACCGACAATCGTCTACAGCACTCGTGAGCGAAAGCGAAAGGGGAATATCAAATAGGAAAAATTCGGTCACTTACACCTGCAGGGAAGAATGTTTCACAGATGGTGGCCCCGCCTTCCGGGACTATTCTTTCCAGTGGAAGGCCTGTTGCTGGATGCAACCGAAGAGTTTCTTTGATAACTGCCTGCAAGTAAGGCATCTCTTGGCTTTCTTTGAAGCTCACATCGCGCGTCGTCCTACCATCGCTTCGCAGTCCACCGACTTCAGCCCGCAGTTTTGCGAAGCTCTGGGGATGTTTGAGAAGATAGTATAGGCATGCTGATAAGGTAATACCTGTGGTATCGGACCCAGCAATCATGTTATGGGTGCACCCAGCAATGACGTGGTATGCTGTAAAGCTGTCGGGTTCTTTGGTATGTTTGGAATATAATTTGGACAGGAAGTCTAGCCTCTGCGCCTGGTCTGTGTCTTCTCTACCATCAACCGGCTCTACCTTGGGTCTAGCCTGATGGTCCGCCACGCGCTCCCTGGTGAAGTCTATCACGTAGGCCCGGCCTACCCCCTTCTTGCCGGCGACCCAGTTCTTGAAGCGGAACATGTACGGATGCCACGACGGAGTCAGTCCAGCAAGAGACGCGTAGTAGATCATGTCTTCTAGCGCACCCATGACCCCACCAATATCCTCGCCTCGATCCAAGAAGCCGATGCGCTTCGAGTAAGTCATTAAACCAATTACATCGAACGCATAGCACTGCATCCAATGGCCCATATTTGTGTGGACCTTTGCATTGGCGAGCTCAGCCAGGCGCTGGCGGAAAATCGAAATGCACTCGTCGACAAAGGGCTCATACGTTAACAGCGATGACATGGAGTACATACTCTGGTACTGCTTGCGATTTTGCGCATGTCGGCTGACATCGTTGTCGGAGAAGAGGGTCCACTCATGGATCTGCCCAAAGGCCGAATACCAACGGGACTTAGGGAAAGTCGTTTTGACTGTAGATGGCCTTTGTTGCTTCGGGGTGGCTTAGGCTGTACCGATTCGGGCCATAACGCACGATCGGCCCTTGGATACAATGCAATCAGCTAGGTTTTCGCCATGAGGATCGATGGTGTTGACCGACCGTAGGCTTTGTGCAGACGCTGGTTCTGCTGCTGAAAATCTCCATTTCGTACCTTCCAAAAATACCAGGCGTCTGTGAATCTTGCCAGCAATGGCCCTGGTATTGCTCTCAGTGGGGATGAAAGCAGCCTCCAGACAAACAAGGCGATATAGACAACGGTAGCACAGGCTACCAGCAGGATGGATGGGGAATCAATGGTCAACGGCATTGTGTGGGCTCTGATATGACATGGTACACCATGGGCTGGAAAAGAGTATTATATTCATTCCCCGCAACCCCTGAGTGAAGTTTTCAAGATGACGATGACATGGACGTGGTCGGGGTATTGTCGCAAGGAGTCAAAACGCAATGAAAGGTCGGAAATACCGCCGGATCCGGGAATGCCGGGCTTTGGGGGAGGGCTATTCCGCCAATGCGGGGATCCTCAAGTGGTAGGTATGCAAACATCGCACTACTGGATATAATATAAATTATATACAATCTCTGCGAGCTCTCATTGGCAAGTATTGCCATCTTCTTCCTTGAATTTTTGTACTGCCTGTATTTCACAACACGGGAAGATGTTACGAGATTTGAGCGGAATTTCCTCCAACTATATTCTCCTGATCCCTCTAACCGCCATCCTGATCATCTATCTCGCCTTCCAACGCTATCAAAAAGGCCTAAACAAGTACCAGGGCCCCTTCCTGGCTTCCCTAACAAACAACTGGCGTCTTGTTGATGTATGGAAGCGAGATGCTCACACGACCTTCCGCAAGATTCACCAGAAGTACGGCGATATTGTTCGGGTCGCGCCGAATGTCCTGTCCTTTGGACATCCGGCAGCTATTTCAGATATCTACGGCTTGAACAAGGGCTATACCAAGGTTGGTCGGATGGGATGGAAGTCATGCGAATGCCGGTATTAATTTAGCTCTGCAGAGCGGATACTACGACGTCTTCGCTACCTTGAACAAGGGCAACATTATTTACAATCTGTAAGTTAACAAATTAGGTCTTATCCTTAGAACGAAATAACTCAGTCACTGATAGTCTCTGTGCCTCAGCTTCTCCACAAGATCCGAAGCATTCCATGCGCGACTGCGCAGATCCGTCAACCACGCCTTTGCTCTCTCTACGCTATTGGATTACGAGCCTCTCGTCGATAGTTGCACGTCGTATTTTCTCCGACGCACGCAGGAGCTCTTCGTGGGCACGGGGCGGGCCTGCTTGTTCTCCGAGTGGATCCAGTTCTTCGCCTTCGACGTGATCGGCGAGATCACCTGGTCTGAGCGTCTGGGATTCGTGCAAGGAAACAATGACATTTCAGATATCATCGCTACAGTCGATTCATTCCAGAATTACGGCACGGTAGTGGGCCAGAATCCCTGGCTGGATAGCCTGTTTGTGAAGAACCCATTCAAGAGGCTTCTTGAATCTAAAGGCCTGTGGCCGGCGAGTCCGAATACCGCCATTGTCAATTTCGCCCTGGCCCGGCAACATGAGCATGCGAAAAGAGCATGGGATGATCAGCAGCAGCAAGGCACTCACCGGAGGAAGGGTGTCAACTTCCTTCAGCGGTTTCTTCAGTCTCAGGAGAAAAGTCCCGAGTTCCTGACTGATGATCGCATCACTGGCATGTGTGCTTCGTTGATTATTGCCGGCTCCGATAGTACAGCGATCAGCCTGTCAGCCGTCTTTTACTATCTCCTACAGAACCCTCGTGTTTACCACAGGCTGCAACAGGAGATTGACGCGGCCGATGAAGCGGGCACCCTCGCCTCCTCTTCCCCTTCCTCCAGGGACTCCACGGGCGGCGCCGGCGATGTTATCCCATTCACGGCTGCCAATAAGCTACCGTACCTGGACGCTGTCATCACCGAGTCCTTCCGCATGCACCCGGCCGTAGGGCTTCTTCTGGAACGGGTTACCCCTCCGCAAGGCGCAACCATCTGCGGAGAGTATGTGCCCGGCGGGACAGTTGTAGGCTGCAACGCCTGGGTGATACATCAAAACAAGGAAGTCTTCGGCCCCGATGCAGACGTATACCGACCTGAGCGGTGGCTGGAAAGTGAGGGTGCGGATCCTGCGCGACTCTCGCGGATGCGCCAGAGTATGTTCCAGTTCGGTGCGGGATCGAGAACTTGCATTGGCAGGAACATTAGTCTTATGGAGACGTATAAGATGATTCCCACGTTTCTGAGGAAGTTTGAGGTGGGCATCCCCGTGAAACTGTGGTTCAACAAGTGCGGTGATGCAGTGGACTGACTTGTGCAAATCGGATAGGTTGAACTGGCTGAGCCGGAAGAGAATATGTACCTGAAGAATGCTTTCTTCGTGCACCGGAAGAACTTCAATGTGCATATCGGGCTTAGGAACAAGGGAGAGAAAAACTAGCATAAAAGAGGTTCCGGAATCCTACACAATCTGTTGAGATTTACGATGCAGGTAATAGGGAAGAAGAAGATATGAAGATGGTCCTTTTCCAGACAGTGTGTTTAAGTTTGATCCCTCATAATATGAGGGATCCGCTATTTAATGAGTGAAAGCTTTGTTCAAGCTATAACTTACTGGGTAGGTTGAATGTTGATCTGACTCATTCCTGAGGTATCAAGATGGATGCCTGAAACATCAGTCATCCATTGCCAGATGCCGTATGAATCTCAACACAGCCCACACCGAGTGTTGAGATATTGGCTCAGCAAGCCTGAGGCCTCAACATATCTGAATTCATGCGCAATGGCCATGTAGAGCTCGTTGGATTCTCTGTACCATGGACTCTTGCAGTTCCATCGCACTCTCGCTTATTGTATTTTTACTACTACAAATAGCTGTAAAGGTACCTCTTCAGAGAGTCAGAATTAAAACACCTCACTTTCATGAGATACACTTCTTGCCAAGAGAACCCTCATAGTCAGACATTTCAACACCGAGATGCCAATTTGATTGATTTCTCATTATATACACGATTTATCAAGCCACTGGCCGTGTATCGGAATAAAATACCTTTCCGTTCTCTTGTGCTACCCTTGCTGCTTCAATTATGCCTCGCTCTCCTATAACCAAAGGTGGTGGCTTGCGACCGTACTTCTTATAATTTGTGAACCGTCTCTCTTCTGCCTCAGCTTCTTCGGCCCTCCTAGTCGCAATAGATAAATTCGCATCACGTGTTGTTAATATACCAGAGTGGCTAAGCCCTTTAATCTGCCGTTTAGTTTTAGGTCGCTGTATAGGGTCTTGTGCGGCCCTAATTTGCTTGATTGTATCGTCGGCCATAGAAAGGTGTTCAACCGCTATACGATTATGATGTAAGATGCGCTCGAGATTTTGCTGTAGCTTTGGCGTAAGTCATTGTTGGTATCACCAGCTCGGTACTGTGTACACAGTTAAGTGGACAGCATGTATGCTCCAAAAGCAGAAAGTAAATTGATGATGTAGATAGATGTATGTTTTCAGGTCCTCGTCCAATGCCCCTGAATCTATACAGCTGGAGCCGCAGCTTCGCAAGATTACGTACGACATGTTTTTGCTTATTCTGACTGGAGGATATGTCCCGACAGTCATATTCTTCACCTCCAAAGGGTGGAGAAATACGAAATCGGAACTAAGCGGTGCTTCCGCTGCCAAGAGTTCGGTCGCACGGTCGTGCAAGGAAGTCCCCCGGTGCGGCCACTGCGGTGGCCAACATGAAGGAGCACGGTGCCTACCAGGTATCCGAGCCCACTATCTGGACTGCAGTGGTGAATATGCCAACGGGGACCACCTGTGCCTGAAGTTTGCAAGCCCACTCCCTCATAATGTTAGAAAAGAACCTTAGGATCCTACAGTTGAAAAAGCTCGCCAGTTTTTTTGACCTAGCAAGCTTTTTTTAAAAATACATAATATGAAAAAATGTTGTATTCTTCTGAATGAGCGCTAGGTGTTACTAGAACACTACCAGTAGATACTAAAGGGGCCTACCTAGCTCGCCAGGAGGATACCGATCTGCGCGACATGGGCACCCACACCCTCCATTATTGATGCCTAGATCAGGCTCGACATGTGGTAAACATGCTATTACTCCGCAAAAGCGGTATGCGGTTACCAAGATTGGACCTACTTAGAAAAAAGTCGTTGGGCCACTTAGTGATAGAAGCCTTACTGCGATACGCTGCGTATATCTCCCACATAATTATGATGCTCAACACCCCAATTCCTCATTTCCACGTGAAGTGCAGAAATTAATCCAACGAAGACAAACTAGCCTAATCAACCAAATGAATTAGCAAAGCAATCATCTCTAAGTTGCGACACTCACAATCGGTGCACGTTCCAACTGCAATGTTTCAAACGTGCGATTGATAATATCCGCCTTCTCCTGGTTTAAAACGCGTAGTGTGACGGGCAGTCGCGACGAAGGGTTCCCGGGCATCTCAGAGCGGCGCGTATATGTCAACGGATCGACGGGCTCCTGTGTGCCGGGGGCCCACTTGATCTCAAAAGCCCAGAGGATTCGCATCGCGGCGATGGCGAGCGAGCGCTCGGCAACATGGTAGCCTGGGCCTGATGTTGCGAGAGTATGTCTGCGTTAGCCGTATGGTCCAGACTCAAAAGAAATGGAGTTGGTATTTCACGTACAGATGCGACGTCCCGCGCCAAAGGCGAAGTGATCGCGTTTCGTCACGTCGGCAGAGTTGATGCTCTGCATTGTCTACAATCGAGAAACTCTTGTTAGCGGTGTTATATGACTGGGGATATTCGGATGGCCTCGGCTTACAGTTGTGTGATCATCGGCGTATCTTTCGGGCCAAAAGCAATCTGGGTCTTCATGTCTTTTCAGATCATGCGAAATAGCCCTATAGGGAAAAAATGTGTTAAGATGCTCGCCTTTCTCCCGAATCAAATGCCTAGCTCATACTTACCATGCATTAAGATGCAACCGGGCACCCTTAGGGATTCGTTGCCCGTTGTAGATGATGTCCTTTGTCGTAACATGGGGATGGCCGAGAGAAACAGGGGGACGCCATCGCCAGAGCTCCTTCATCACGCATCGAATGTACGGGATACGCTCGAGATCCGCGAACTCAGGAATACGATTGCCGACTACTGCTTCTGTGGTAGATTAATTGATGTCAGCGAATACGTTCAGGAGGTACCGTGTTAATCCTAAATACCAATCTCAGCCCGGGCCTTCCGCTGAACATCCGGGTATTGCAGCATCGCCTCCAAGAACGACCACGTGGAGATTTGACTCTGGTAGTTCATCGCAGTGTTAGGTTTATCTAGCTCGGGTGGCTAATTTATGAGAACACAGGGTAAGAGCTTACCGTGTCCGCAGCGCCGATAATAAGCTGAAGAGCCAGGTACGCTGCTTCCTCTTCGGTGTCGAAGCCGCCTCGGTTTGGTGCTCGAATCACTGAAGGAAGAAACGCATCGGTCATGTATTGCCCAGCGAAGTCGGGGTTTTTGAGCCTCTATTCGCTCCCGGGTCGGGTTCGGTCAGATACGATCCTCACCCTCGTAACAGTTGAGTCATACCTGTAAGCGCGCAAGACACCATTCTAGATCTCGCTTGAATCTCCGCCTGGCATCTCGCTCCCACGGCTTGAGGGAGAGCGGTAGCTGGTTTAGCCATGTGAATATATCAACCATGTGCATTCCGGGGATTGTTCCTGTAGGACGCAACGTTAACAGTCGCGAACATCATTTACAAGCTTCATTATGACCCTGACGTACCAAGGATCTGTGCGAGACCCGTCTCTGTACTCAAATATTAGTCGAGTAATGCTGTAGAATGAGAGGAAACGCACCATGAATGTACTCGATGACGGGATCCTCTGCATCAGGTATCTAGATCAATAGGTATTAGTACATTACGCGAACCAAAGTGCAAGACAATTCAATCCAATACACCTACGTCCATCCCAAAGGTCTGCGTCGCAAATGCGCTATACGTATAGCGAGCAATCGACCGCAAAATCCGAGTCCCATCCAGATCAGTCTCCGGGCTATTCGTAATATCGTACAGGAACCTTGCTGTTTCATAGTGCAGAAACCTGTAAGTACTGTGAGTATGACATAGTTGTTCACAATGAAACTGGATAGTGGCAGGTCAAACTCACGGCAACCCAGCATCTGCCCGTGGAACGCTGGTCAGATATGCGTTGATCACGCGTCGCTGGGTCTGACAACAGAGGGACAGAGTCAGCATCAACAGGACAATACAATAACGGTATTACGGGGCGTTTGAGTCGTCTTACTTTCCACCGCGGGTCACTCCCATGAAGCAAAAGAACATTCAGCTGATTGCAGATGAGCTCGTTGCTGACGATCCAGCGCGGCCTCTCGGACGATATCGCCGATGAGCGATCCAGAATTTCCTTGCGGAGAGACAGGAGTTAGTACCGGCGCTGGAAGAAAGAAACAAAAGAGCCCCGCTCCGCTCCACTCACCTTGACAGCACGATCCGAGTTGAGGAAATACTCCGTTACTGGACCGAGGCGCACGCGAAACACTTCGCCGTGCTCGCGAGCCCAGCGATGCATCAGCAAATGCTGTAGGCTCTCCTTGCTTGCTGTGATGACCTCTGACAGGTTTCCTAGGATGAGATTGCCCTTAGGTTGAGGCGGGAGGGGTGGCTTTTTAGCACCAGCAGCGTGGCTCTGGAGAAATGTAAATAGGGCTGCTCCAAGCAGAAGGCAGAATGCGGCCAGGAGTGGCCAGTAAGAGGGAGATGACATCTTGCTTTTGTCCATCTTCAGAATTAAGGCGGTTGTCTTATACCTTGATAGAACTCTCTGATGGCCATGGCCACTCTATATATGTAACTATGCGTATCGGATACAATACATGATCTGCATCCTATCCGATGTGGGGTGCAGGGAGCAGCTCGCTGGTAACGTATGGCAGGATGAGCAAGGTCCGAGCCGAGTGGGTTGCCCCACCCCCACATACAGTTGTGCGTAACCGATTAAACTGTAGTTAAGTATTCATCATTCAAGTCTAACCACTCGCAGATCCCCGGCTGATGAGCCCCTCAAGCACCTCCGCAAATAGCCGGCTGATCCCCCATACCTGGTCCGAGAGAAGGATCTGATGTGTTTCGACTAGGATTCGATGCATGCCACTCGGCTCTTCCAGATTTCCTACTCCCGCAATCCGGATACGGGGATTACCAGAGGCTTGGATCCATCGCTCTTTCTCAGCCGCGTCAACTCCACCATCCCAGTCAATGCAGCAGCAGTACATCTCCTCATTAGCGATAGCGGATGCATCTCGGCCAGTGGGACGTGCCACCAGATCCAGAGAGAAAAACGTCCAGATGGTCAAGAATGCGACAAAGAGATGATGGTTCTCACTATGAGCCGCACTCTTCCTTCGCCGCACGAGGCAGAACAGTGTGATGGCGTGCATTACCGCCCTGCGGGCATTCTGAATGTCGGCGTGTAGCCAAGTGCAGAGACTTTCGCGGGCTGCCGTCGTACACTGCTTGGTAGCCATCCACCCAATGTACTCGCACATAGGGTGTAGTGGCAGAATGAGTAGTATCGAGATGTGGTGATACAGCTTTATTAGCTGTGATGCGTCACTCTGCTGGTAAGTGGGGATATTGCTGCAGATTGCACTGATGGCTTCAAAGGCGGTGCTCCTCCATTTCGCACGATGGATTACAGGGAACAACGGCTTCGATGGAGTCAACTCATTCCCAGTCGCCGCTGCCCCATAATCATCCCCAAATGGCAAGTCTAAACTATGGTGCTGTCCAGGCTGGTCTACATCTCTCTGAAGTATGTAGCGATTGACACTGGTTGCCGTATGCCACTGATAGAATACTGCAGTCATCGCGATTGATCGCGAGAAGAGTCCAAAATCTTTTGACCGTACTATCTCCTCGAGCTTCAGGGGATCTAAAGCGTCCTTGAGCCTCACTTCCCGGACATAGCCTAACTCACGGTTAGCAAACCTGTAGAGCAAAGAGAGCGGCAGGCGACAAGTTACTATGTGAACTGTTCAACTGCCGGGATAGCGCCGCCGCATTCAGATCCCATAGTGTGTCGGGGCAAGGTAAGCTGGGATCAAGGTCGTCCAGACTCATCATTGGTGGGACGCTGGCGTGCAGGCTAAACTGACAGTCGACCAACTGCAACAGGAAATAAGTTTCATTAGTCAAAAAAAATATTTAAATGGCAGATAGCGGTTGATAGGCGAGAAACACTGTGAAATCGAAGGAAACACACCCAGATTGCATACGTCAGTCTTCTGGAGAGCTCTCTACCAAGCCACCTGGAAACCGCTTCGGCATGGCAACTAGCATGTGAGCCATTATCCTGCTTCTGGAGCAGGTCTTCCCGGCGCATTCTGGAGTGTAGGCCACGGCACACTGTTATTAGCATGGCCCGCTGAAACTGGACCTTCAAGGCGATGTGTCGGGAGCCATCAAAGGCCATCTGGATTTGGTTCAAAAGTGCTGCCTGCGCAAAAGGGATTTCGATAGTCTGATGAATATTTTCCTCCACCTGTACAAGATCAAGACGAACTGAAGTTAGCGGGCTTTGTTTCGTTCGCTCATGAGCGGGCGATATACCAGGTCATCGAGTGCTTTGCGCAGTATTTCCCCCAGGACGGAGGACAGTGCACGGGCCCGTGGAATTTTGGAAAACCGACTCCCAATGGTGACAACTGCGAGTATGAGCAACGGGGGTGTGTCGGACACGTTGAATGTTGCTTTGTGAAGAAGAGGTAGGGTTGGTTGGTAGTGTTCAAAGTATAGCTGGACAAAGGTGTTGATAGCTTCCGGGTTGTTCAAGAGCCCTTTGATGCCTGGATTACATGTCAAAGATTGCGCGCACTGTGTTTTTGCAATTAACGCCGTCAACTCCGTCACTTGACTCTGTCGAACTCGAGGAACATGGCCGTGATCCTCCATTGCCAGGGTATCATCCAAACTGAGGAAGCTCATAATTGGCCTCGGGGGTCTAGTTGAGTCTTCCCACCCATTCATGGCTTTATTGCCATCATGTCTAAGCTCCGTTGATCTTGCTGGTCGAGATTTCTCCCACAAATTTGGCTGAACCATCCCGGACCCGCCGTATGTATGCCATGGGTCTGACGGGCCAGGCAGCTTATCCCTGGCTGGTTGATCGACGGAGTCAGCAACAAGCGTCTCTGTATCCACTTGTCCGGTCGCAGTACCATGCGGCCCCGAGATATCATCGAGGTCAAGTTGAGGTCCATTCCCAGGGAAGCCCAAAAGGTCAAGAAAGTCCATGCTGAGCCCTTGCGGTGGCGTGAAGTTTCGAATAGACCAGTCAAACATAGGAGCGTATGTAGCATTTAAAGCAGAAATTTCCATAGGTGATGGCTCAGCCTCCGGGTGCCCTGGTATCATTAGCGAGTGACCCCTTCTTCAAACCCCCTGTGTTCCCGTGAAAACCTACCTGGGTCGACTGATAGCAGCGGCGTTGGCAAGGCGGAGATATGCTGCCCCATGCTGCTATTTTCACTATGCTGGGATACCTCCAACTGACCCTGGACTAGCGGCGAGGGGTCAAGCAGCTGGTGGTCAGCGCGAGACGTCACATTGGACTGTAGCGGATTGGCCGATCTCTGCGCGGACCTTTGTGTACAAGAAACCCCCTTCTTGATACACCGAGTACACGGGAAAGAGGGGGAGCAACGGACCTTGGCTTTGGCACAGCTGTCGCACGCTCCTCGAATTCGCGCCCGTGGTTCTTTGGGTTTGCCCTGGGTCACTGTGAAGCAGCTTATTCTTCTGTGCCTATTTAACAGATCACTGGTACGTATTAGAAAGCGACTCAAAAAGACCAGCTTGGGAATGTACTATCTGTTGAACGCTTTCCCACAGGAGCCGCATTGGTGTGGACGTTGATTGACGTGGGATGACCGGTGACGGGTCAAGTGCTCGCGACGCGTAAATTGGCGAGCACAGAATTCGCATGTCAGTTTGATTTCATCATGGGTCGACATGGTATGGAAGCGATGTGTGACAGGGGGGTTTGTGGGAAGGAACGGAGAGAAGAGGTTGATAAGGATGGGAAGGACCATGCGGGGAAATTACATAAAGTCTGGGGTTAAAGTTCGGAGATTCCGGGGGCTGTTTCCCTGGTCAAATCACAATTTCCATTATAAACAATTTACAACCTCAGAAAAAACAGTTCTAGTACTTCATTCACCTCTTAATCCAAGGATGATCCCCATCTCTTTGCTAATCTGCTGGAACTGTGCCAAGTCGACAGCTCCTTCGATTTCAGGAATGATGGGCAACTTGTATTCATGTCCTGTCCTGGCGAACAACTCCACCAGTCCTCCTCCACTCGCAAAAACATATAATTTTGCGTACCGACTCCGGTAGCGTAGCTCAAACCTGCTACCCTTTGGCACATACAGCGTCTCCGCCGCCGTGAGCGTCACCACCGCGGCATCAACCTGGAACTCAAACGTCCCCTCGATGATGTGGAACGCATGATGGACGGAAGGAAACACCAATCCAGCAGCTAGAATCTCATTTTGATGAAACGAAGATCCCTCTAGGCTCCCAATCGCAAACTTCCCACCGGATTCCTTTGTCGTCGCTAGGACGCGCACGACTGACCCGCCGAAACGGTAGGCTGGCTCGGTACCAGCACGGAGGAAATAGGGTCGCAGCGCCGCCGGCAGCACGTTATCTTTCCCTTCAACCCAGGGCTGCGGCTCGAACGCTTGGATGTGCGGCTGAGGTACCATGTCAAAGCGCTCGGCGGCTTCCTTGAGCCGCGGGATGAGAACTTCCAACGGATTGCGGTCATCAGTGGCTGGCCACATTGCTCCTGCGTAGGGCTCGCCCAGGAGCCGAAAGAACTCCTCCCAGCCGCCCGGGACGATAAGTCCAATGAACTCGGACCGGTCGCCGAGGATCTGGTATTGGTGGATGACTCCCTATTACTTTGTGTCAGCGTGTTACAAGTGTATCTGGAATGAAGGATGTTCGTTATACATACCGGGGGAACACTGGCGAAATCACCGGGCCCCATGGTGCGTGCCTGGCTGTTAGCCCACACATTAACATGGCCCTTGAGACACAGAAACACATCGTGTGCTTCGCGATGGTAGTGGAAGCCAATGGGGTCACCACCAGAACCGCCAGTGCTTACAAGAGCGATTGCACCATCGCTGACTTTGCCTGTGACGAGCAGGCGCATTGCAGATTTGGAGAACGGGATGTAGTATATTTCGCCACATAGGGACTCCAGCGCGTATGCCTTGCCTGCCTCCACCGGGGGAGTGGTAGATGGTTTCATGGTAGCCATGCTTTCGCTGTTTCTCGACTTCGAAATGGGGCATTCCAAAACGGCATTAAACATGCCTAGCAAGTATGACTTGCAAGCCGCCTCAATTATATAACTAATACGACGGGAAGGCCGCACGGGTCCTGCGCCGGGGAGCCCCCAGCCCCACATCGGTAACCCACGGACGGTTTCCGACACTAAGGAACATGTAGACTTCCGCATAACCCCATTTTGGGTCGAAGGTTCCGACCCAGAACCCAGCTTTCGACCCAGTTTCGACCCAGTTTCGACCCAGCTTTATGCATAAATATGCATAAATAGGACTAACTAGGAAGGTCTTGGCATATGTATCCTTATGCATAAAGCTGGGTCGAAACTGGGTCGGGCAATGCCAAGAATGGGTCGAAAGCTGGGTTATGCGGAAGTAGGAATATGTTGAGTACTCGGGGGCATTCTGCCATCCGTTCCGGGAAAGGCGGAATCTACGGAACGGAACAACCAGGGCCCCGACTCCCCAACAGTCCCAACCCAACCACAACGTAAACAAACAATAGAACAAACCAGAGTGACGAACATCACCCTAATAAAACTTACAATTGCTTTCTCTTTACATTAGGTTCAAAATTGCTTCTTTTACAACTGTGATCCTGAACAAAGGTATATGAACTCAAGAATAAAGATAATATAAAGCTTGTCAACCAAAACGACCGATTACCGGAAATAGAAAGAGGTTGCCTTGTCAGGTCTTTAAACTTAGAGATCGTTCCTGAGTTTCGACATGCCACCGTGAAACCATTAGACCATCGTGAAAAAACGGAGTATCACTTTTCTCTTGTCAACTTTCCCGGACTTGTGAAGCCCCGCTCCACAAGAGCGATGGTTCACAAAAGGGATGCGCGAATGTCGCTCGACGCGCACAAGCTCGACGATCGGCCGACTGATTGATGTGCGAGGCAAAGGGCCGGGGGCCAAAATACGTCATCTCTGTTGAGATATTGGCTCAGCAAGCCTGAGGCCTCAACATCTCTGAATTCATGCGCAATGGCCATGTAGGGCTCGTTGGATGCTTTGTACCATGGAACTCTTGCAGTTCCATCGCACTCTCGCTTATTGTATTTTTACTACTACAAAGAGCTGTAAAAGTACCTCTTCAGAGAGTCAGAATTAAAACACCTCACTTTCATGACATACACTTTGCCAAGAGAACCCTCATAGTCAGACATTTCAATAATATGTTGAGATTCCTGCATGAATAACGTATTTCACTACCGAGCCGCCACCCTACCTAGAAACGCGTCAATTAATTAGACTCTCTTTATTCAACCACGCACCATGCCACCAATTCGCTCTCAAAGCTCTCGAAATCGTACAGAGCAAGAGGGTAGGATCTTATTAGCTATTCAGGCTATCAAGAAACAAGAAATAAGCTCTATTTCTTGCGCTGCTCAGACTTTTGAAGTACCGCGTTCAAGTCTACGCGGTCGCCTCTCTGGCTGTACAGAACGCGCAATTTCTCGCGCCAATTCCCATAAATTGACAGAAATTGAAGAAGAATCACTTCAAAAATGGATTCTCTCTATGGATTCTCGCGGTGCAGCCCCTAGACCTTCTACCGTACGAGAAATGGCGGATCTATTACTCGCGGCGCTTGGATTTACCCCCCTTTTTTCGGTCGGCGAAAATTGGGTTACAAAATTCGTGAAAAGGCATCCAATCCTATCATCTCGGTTCTCAAAACGGTACGATTTCGAGCGTGCGCAATGCGAAGACCCGAAGACTATTAGAGATTGGTTTTCTCTCGTCCAAAAGACTATACTTCAATACGGCATCGACCCCGACGATATCTACAACTTTGACGAGACTGGTTTCGCAATGGGCTTAATTTCAACCGCGAAGGTAGTTACAAGAAGGGAATACTACGGTCGGCGAGCACTTTTACAACCCGGAAATCGCGAGTGGGTTACTACAATTGAGTGTATAAATTCCTCGGGATACGCGCTTCCTCCGTGCGTGATCTTTAAGGGCAAAGTCTATATTGAATCTTGGTTCGACGGCCTTCCGGACGATTGGCGCTTCGAGGTTAGTCCAAAAGGGTGGACTTCTAATGAAATTGGCATTCGGTGGCTTGAAAAGCTCTTTATTCCGTCTACTTCTTCGCGCACGAAGGGGAAGTATAGACTTTTGATACTCGACGGCCACGGAAGTCATTTAACACCGAAATTCGACGAAATTTGCGAGAAAAATAATACTATCGCAGTTTGTATGCCTCCGCATTCGTCTCACCTTTTACAGTCTCTCGATATCGGCTGTTTTGCGGTATTAAAGCGTGCTTATAGTCGGCTTGTCGAAACAAAAATACGTGTCGGAATCTACTATATTGATAAGCTAGACTTCCTCGAAGCCTACCCGTCCGCGCGAATTGAGGCATTTAAATCGGAGACTATTAAGAATAGCTTCGCCGCCGCTGGTCTAATGCCTTATAACCCCGATCGAGTGATCTCGAAGCTTAATATTTGCCTTCGAACCCCGACACCCCCTCGAGTCGAGGAAGCGAGTGGGAGCCAAAAACGCCTTCGAACCACGTCCAATTACAAAAGCAAGCTTCCTCAATTAAGGCTTTGCTAAAACAGCGCTCAAAAAGCCCACCAAGCCCGCTTAATTCCGCGATAAATCAGGTTTTAAAGGCTTGCCAAAGCACAATGCATTCCACAGCTTTACTCGAGAAAGAAGTAAGCGAATTATGCGCTGAAAACGAGAGGAAGAAGCGAAAAAGGACTCGGTCTACAAGGCAAATGCCTTTAAAAGAAGGCCTCTCAGTTTTAGAGGCCTCTTCATTAATAGCGCAGCCGGAGCAAGCAATTTTAGCACAGGTCTCCGTGAGGCAAGACCGGCTCCCGCGCCTTTACAGCCGCGTACGAGGGCCTTACCGAAGTGTGGAGCGTGTGGAAATGAAGGTCATAAAAGAAATGCATGTCCAAATAGACCTCCTTTTTAGTTTATTGAATTTAATGGCGTTTTGGTTGAAATAATTGCATTTTAATTACATACATGGAGAGAGGGTGGCGGCTCGGTAGTGAAATACGTTATATGGTGTATACCAGATATATCACGCATGAATCAGTCAGCGTAAATCCTTCCTCAAAAAGAGTATAGTTCAGGAGAAATCCTTCCATTTAAATAGAGTCTCTTTCTCAATGAGAAAGAGATCAGACTTAAACACCTCTCTGGAATAGACTGTTTGCATGCTGTATTCTTCTTTCTCTACTAGGAGACATCGTAAATCTCAACACAATATTTATTCAACCACAACACTTTTTTTCCACATTTGTTGGAAAGCTCAGAGATCCCAAAAGTAAACAGAGTAAAATCCAGAGAATTGAAAAAGAAAATCAAAGAACAACGTATCTCAACTGGTCATAAGTTCGAAAGTTGAGTCCAGTCAACAAGGATGGCCAAGCTTCAACGGGTTGACGAGTTGAGTACCCCGGTACCCGCGACCGCGGCCTGGCGCTTCCGCAGCCTAGACGGACAGAACCACACACAGCTCAGACAATCAACACTCGAGCGAGGCCAAAACAATTCCGTGACCATTAGATGAAAACGTGAGCGCTCATCGTAAAATCAAAGAGTGAACAGTCTCCATTGCCTCAATATTATGACCGTAGATTCAGCAGTGAGCCAACATTTCTTAACAGACTCACTTTGACTCATTCTCGACATGACTCGAGCATGTTTTCACAGAGATCATCCAAGTATTTCCCTGCAAATAGTTGCGGTAGAATGAAGGCATGGGTTGCAACAGGCCTCACTTAAGATAGGCATCGTGTCCAACGTTTAGTAGAGCACGTACGCGACAGGAGCCGAGAAGCCTATAAATACGTCCTCTCCCCCCAGCAAATTGTTCTGCAACGTTGACACTTGGCGATGCAGAGTCGAGCAGGCCTTCGGTCTGAGGCACCTGATAAATTCTTCCTTTTGACCTACTGGATTTTCGCTGTACTGACATCTCAAGTTACATTATGGACCGACAAGCTAGAAAGTGCTTGTGAGAATGTGATTCCCACCAGGTCCAGTATGCCACCATGCCAGCCGATCAAAGAAGCAGATTTGGGCTAGCTGGTCAAAGTACCTATGCGAACTCCTGTCCACCATAGCAGCCGACCACTGTCCGCTCCTGAATATATTGATGCAAAAGAGCGGCTTTCGAGGTAAGTAAGTCTCAGCGCGACCCTAGCCGAGACTAGACTGACCTCAAAGACGATGCGAAACAAACATCCATGCATTGTCTCGCCGATCGACAAGCTAATGATGGACAGGAAACCGTTGACAGCGCACCACAGTGAGCTGGACCCAGCACTGCCAGTGCTCCGCGCAAAGTCACGGCTTACACGCCATTTCTGGCCGTCAATTCAACCCATGCAACATGTCCTGAAATTCTGCAAACCAGGACCGCGGGCCAACAGCAGGACACAAGCGCCAGACGTCGTTGTCCACGATGCGGTGAGTGGAATATTGCGCCTCTTGCTGCGCCGGGTCCGATGATTTGTGCCAATTCTGTGCCGCAGACACAAACACCACTGACATATCTATGCCGTTGTAGGAGCAGCCCATCGCCGACTGCGACAATTCTTGTGGCGAGTAACCTATTCCCGCCGAGTCAGATAAGATCAAGGGGCAGCTACTTCTACCGCATTGCGTTCAAGCAGGAGATGACTACCTTGCTATTCCGCGTTGATATTATCAGTCTATTCTACCGAATGATTAAGGGCCCGGGACCAATGGACTCAAGCGATTCTGTCTTTAAAGAATGGGAAGAGCTCGTGCGGCAAATTATTCGACGGATGACGCGCCATCGCGTCTTCCCTCTCCACACCGCCTTCACACCATGAACAGCGGAGTGCCTCAATCTCTCGTCGTCTACGCGAAGCGGTCTCCCAATACAACTGTACAATTTCTTGTCACGCGTGAGTTCGTCACGCGCCTTTGCAGACTTGTGAACTTGCCGGTGCATCCAGCGCGGCTTCTCGAGCGACAGCCGGAGAGTGCGACGAACCTGGATACAATATGATGTCAGCAAGGCATATTGGTGACTGCATTGCCGAAGAGAACTGGCAGTGGTCTAGTTGGTAAGCTGGTATGATGACGATCCTAATTGACCATCGGTCTCCAGCATACATTCGGATTTTTCATGAACGGCGTCAAGTACAACACCTTGTCCAACTGGATCAACGCTTGCTGACTCGGATCTCACAACAGGAAGACACCCTCAGATTCTTACACTCGAATGCGAAGCGAGCAAATGTCTTGTCTGCTCGACCTTCCCTACATCAATACCATGGTTGGCTCTGTTTTTCCACATGACTACTGGTGGCATCGACGAGTCGCTACCTCGAATTTCGCCCAGTCGACTGGGTTCATCAGATCGTGCGCTGGTATGCCTACCTGATGCAAGACCCAACGGAGCGCATAGCAGTGTCTGTCTCTCGGCATTTGAACACCCACAGGGGATTATCCTTCTTCCGGTTTGGATCCCTGGCGTCCAGTGGGTGACCATCGTTGTCCTCAGATGGCGTCTGGCGTCTTTCGAGCCTAAAAATCCGAAGAAACAGGGAGGAGCCGATGCTTTGTCTTACTAGAGTCGTACATTTTACTGGCGAGGTTTTAGTCTGCTTGCATGGAGAAGGTGAGGCAAAAGTCCCGTCATTTCTAGCCGAATCAACTAACAATAGCCATGTCAGCTTCGAATCGATGGACAAGACCCCAAACGAAAGAGGGACCCTATGACCCAAGAACCAGGTCTGATAGAGTTCCCCTGATCCCTCTTACTCTCCGCGTTGCTGAGCTTGTCGACGTGCGAGCGAGCGGGAACAAGTGGTTCGGACATACATGGAGCTGCATGCTATCAGGAGTGTTTGTCTTCTACCTGTTGGACAGAAGGTTGGTAATATGATTCCTAAGCCCACGTTTCTCTATTCAAGCCCGAGCACTACGTGCAAGGCCAGTCCACGTTGGAGGTCACTGCAGCTGGAGGTCAGTCAAGGTATCCAATATCCTTTGTCCATTGAGACCGCCTTTTAACGTCTCGCAATTAGCGGCGCAAGCAGTTCTTACCAGGAAATCACCGACTTCTCTACCTCCCGAGCTCACTGCCCTTTGAGCATCGATGATATTTCCTCACACTCATCGCGCCGGAATATATCTGGCATATCACCGTTGCGCAACTGTGAAGGTGGGTTTAATGCGTGTAACAACACCATAACAGCCATCGGGTTGTAAGACCTCTTGGTCTCTCCCGTACAGTTTATACTGAAACTTCTACCCTAATAAGCCCTTATGCCATATTTGCTTGGGGAGGAACCTCAGCGGACGCCTGCTAGGCTTGCACGTGGATAAGATTAATCCAGCGCCGATATTGCCCAGCCGTGAACGGCGATGCTGGAGTGATGTTGTTATCAATTCTGGTTCCAGATGGCTAGTTGGACCCCGATCCGGCTTCAACCGTGCTATATCAGCAGCGGAGCATGCTGCATCTATGACTCGGGAATACATCAACAGAAAGTCGTGACTGCCACTTTGATCATTGTAGTGGATTTTTACGAGAGATTGGGTGGACTATGAATTCTAGTTACTGACGGGAATTATTCACAAAGTTGCGACGGCTCCTACATGCAGAAGGAGCGGATCAGATATTCCCGAGCCAAAGCTCCCAATGACATGTTGACCCCGAGAAAGCATCTCACACTAGAATGTAGGCAGTTTATTATAAGGTAGGTTCGAGCGACACACAGTATCCATGTAGGGAAACAGCTCTGAGTACGCAGAAACAGAGTCTATCGCATAACCATCTTGAACTGAGCCCACGATTCTTATTTTCGAGACACATCACATGGCTTTACACTTCGTAGTTCCGATCTTGAGCGTACAATATATTGCGTGATCATAGTTGAGCAACTTGTGAATTAGATCATCTCAACTGAGTTGAAGGCTGTATGTCAAGCGTGACCAACAGGGATCAAAGTTGCCCTGCGGAATAAAAAAAATGCTATTGAAGTTTCTATGATGTGGGTGACATGGCAAGAAACCGCGCTGCCTCCATGAGACGTTGACCACCTCTCCCTTCACCGCCCGACCATTCACTACAACGGTGAGTTTCGCTACACACATTTCACATCGACAAGACTGATCAACACCAACAATCAACCATTCACACATCAACACATCAACACATCAACGCATCAACACATCAACACATCAACACATCAACTCCAACTCTCACCAACTCTCACCAACATGTTTGCTCTACGCCTGAACGAAGGGTGCCAATTCCATTACGGCGAAAGGACTATCGGACCGCAAACTATCAGCGCAGAACATTTGGGGACCCCCCCTTTGACAAGAATGACACTTTAGTTGTTATCTTATCATTTTGGCCATTGTATCTGGGACGATCTATCTAGGGCTCATTCTATCTATCCAACGATGATCCTTCGGAAAAAGAAACAGATTATGAGGAGGTCGGGCAGGTCTTTGCTTCTTCGAGTACTATTGAAGACTCGAATACTGGTCTCTAACACCACGAAGAGGTGCCTACACATCGCTAGAGGCCTTGTTAGCGCGGCAATCCCCTGCAAAGCACGTTTGTTGACGCAGAGCTCGTCCTGCGAAGCACATTCTTACACTCGCGGGGCTCAGGGCAGCGAGGGAGCACATTTGATAACGCAGAGCCCATCCTGCGAGGCACACTTGTTGACGCAGAGCCCATCCTGCGAGGCACACTTGTTAACGCAGAGCCCATCCTGCGAAGCACACTTGATAACGCAGAGCCCATCCTGCGAGGTAGTCTTGTTGACGCAGCACCTCCCTGCGAGGATTATTGTTGACGCAGACCTATCCTGCGAGGTAGTCTTGTTGACGCAGCACCTCCCTGCGAGGATTGTTGTTCACGCAGACCTATCCTGCGAAGCACCTTTTTACGCTCGCGGGGCTCATGACAGCGAGGGAGCACATTCTTACATCGCCGGGCTCGTGGCAGCAACAGCCGTGGTCACGGAAGCTCTCAAGCCCGCAGGCAAGAGAGGGACACTATGATGCATCAAAGTGTGAGGACCAAAGTGTGAGGATGGAAGTCCTGAGAATTTTGGGCTGGGAATCCGCCCCCTTTTATAATTTTTCGGTCAAGTCTCTACCAAGGAACCATTGCGTCGAGGGTAGCGAGAATCACAGTCCTTTGGTTGGCGTTGAAGCAAGTTGAACGACGTTGAAACGGTGTCTGAAGACTTTGTGGCCTACAGACTCAAGTTTCGACCTGGGATCATTTCTCCCAAATCGTGCGTTGGGTACGGTGAACCACTTTCAACTGTTGGAAGAAAGCAACGCCGCAAAAATATGATTCCTACACATCATTGAGTTTGCAATTAAATCGCTCAACGCGGTGGCACTCTACATCTGCCTGTTCTAGCCACGCTCACCGTCCCTTTCATGAGGGTTGAAGCGCTTCAACAGATGCCGAAATAATATAATGGAAAATCGGTGGCCGGCAGAAACGCTGAAGTGTACCTGCGGTTGACTGGAGGACCCTTTCGTCTCGCTAGAATCAATCCTGTCCATTGCTAGCCCCGTGCCGCTGAATGTTGTTTCTTTCCTGGCTACTCGCAGCCAGCTAAAGTTGTCTTTACTAGAATCTCTACTCCCTGGCCGCACAGACACCGACATACTCTCAAACTCGGGATGAAGATTGTCTTTCTTTGGGGCGGCATGACAAAGGTCCAGAGCTTATTGGAGAGCCTTCCATAGGAAACTGAGCCTAGTTTCCAGGACAACCATGTGAACTGTTGCAACCAAGGTTAACGAGCTAGGTTCTCGTGATCGCCACCCCCTCACAAGATTGCAACGCTACTATCACATTGATGAGACTCTGGATACAAATAGCACCCGACGGACGAATCAAACACCATGCGCGAATTTAGACAGACGCAGGTACGGGGTGCGATGCAGATCCCAGCGACGACCCACGGGACAGTAGATCAAGGAGGTTCTATTTGTGGCCCAGAGGAGAAATTGAAAGGACTTGCGAAGGTCTAGACACGATCCACAAGCCCAAGCCTGATGGCCGTCAGTGTCCGATGGAACACAGCTTTGTTGCTTCGGAGGTACGGTCGAGGTACGGTCGAGGCAGTGAGGTATTTGGAATATCACGCGAATTCTGGCAACGGAATGGTAGGCTAAAACCCGATCCGTGGTTATGCTCTCCTGGTTGCTGTCACAGGAGAGCAAGTTCCCCTGTCAAGTGGCAAGCTGCTCCTTGTCTATCTGGTCTGTAGAACGTTCTAGAAGCTGTCTTCTGTCCTGCACCTTCCCCTGACGCTTATACTCTCTTTGAGCCCAACAAATACTCTCCATCTACCCAATTCGATCGCTAGTCTGATATGTCTAGCAGATGTCTTGTAGAAACTATGCCAATCATAGACAGACCACATGCGCTTATGTAAAAATGTCTCCGGTTTTTGCACTAAACCCGAGATCTAAACCCGAGGAACCGATTGGCTCCCGGACATGGATCGACGTTGTGGGCCGGCCCTCCTGCGGCCCCTAACCTTATTTCAAACATCCCTGCGCATCTTGATCATGTCTCTAGCGATAGAGGATCTTTCTAGTACTGCGTTGGTCCAATGTCCTGTACATGAGCAGGTTGAGACTGGTGATTCTATGCCAATTCTCTGGACTTCTTTTATAGGCTGTAGGACTTAATCACGAGCAACCTAGAAAGCAAGTGCGGCAGAAATCTGTAGATAAGCTTTTCTCGTCGATCATTCATGACAGCCGCATTCTCTCACCGAGTGAGTGACCGTTTCCATGGTTCATCGAAATTATATTTCAGGGGTCAGCGATTGATGGACGACCCCGGTAATGTTCCACCGTGTTTGGGGTAACTTTTGTCAAACCATGACTTTGTAACTCCCTCGCTATTGTTGTGATCCATTGTTGGGATTCCGAGGATTGATGCTTGTTCATATTTTGAACTAGCTTCATACATACAACCACTTAGAGATCTATCATGTTGCATCTTGATTGCTCAGCTGCCACATCTTCCGGTTGTAGCATCATCCAACAACACTAATTCATCGAGATAGTTACTATGGTTGCTTGGAGATCACAATGTAACGCGCATGCCAGCGAACTGCTGGTAGCATGGACGTTCTGCGCATCGGTATCTCAGCTTCCTCGCTGCAGAGACACGATGTACGTAGTCCCAAATCTGCGATGACGATCGTGTTTTTTCACACCGTGACTGACGGAGTAATGACATCGCGCGGCCTGTGATTGATGATCAGCTTGTAACAAACGGTGGAAGAAGGTCAGCTCATACCTCGTCTCCAACCTTTCGTCTTGGTTGATTCAATGCTGTCGATATGGCTAGGCTCGGCCGTTAAGATTGTTTGAAACCATTTTTTAATGTTGCTTTCCGCAGGCCTTTTATTTGGGAGAGTTGCCAATGAAGCTTTACGGCCGGCCGAGCGACGAACAGTTCCTGCTCGGTTTCGATTGCCTGAATGCTTAGGCGATCTGGCACTAGTGCGAAGTTGCTTGCGCAAAATATGGTACATTTTCCCTCGTAGAGATTCAACGCTTCGGTCCACCTGATATTGTTCATAATATGCGTCGGAGCGGGCTTTCCACGACAGCGCCCGATGGGCGTCCAGCCAGGAGAGAAGGTTCTTCTCCTCCCATTCCGACCAGACTACCTCGCTTCGAGTAGACATAGCGCTTGCATGAACTAACAGGAACCAGGGAGACCTTTTCAGGCAATGGCATGACTTGAACTCCGCATGGATGGGAAAGGTGAGCCTAAATCCCCTCCAGGTCCCGGTAAAAGCTGACATAGTACCCTTGGTTCATCAGAAATCTTCTAAAGGCTTGTGACATGACCCATGGACCACTCTGGACAGTCGATTCGGTCAGTCTGAGTTGTGAACTATCGACTCCGTATTTCAGAATCCCTGGGACTCCCAGCGTTCGAACAAATTCAGAGCTACAAGGACGACCAACCTTCAGTTTCGTACTTTTAAATATCTTGAACACAATGACTGTATGTGGAAATGAACGTAGCAATGAGTTTTCAGACTGGGCCCCACCGGGTACTGAGTAATGTAACAAGAAACAGACTTTAGAGGCAAATATTTTACCTTCCGATGAAGTCCTTTCCACTAAAGTTGAATGACTTTCGTGCCTGATTGGCTAGAACGTATTCCAAATCAAGCGACAATTGCAGTAAGTACGGAAGATAGTGGGCCTTGCAAACATCGATCACAAGCTCCGGTTTGGAGAAAAAACTCATTTTAAAAGCCTGAGCGACTTCTTCTGTACCATCCGACTTGCAAACTCGTTATCCCGCCTTGACTCAGATTCAACTATGGGTGGAATCCGAAAACTTCCGTTGACTGATCAACGACAAAGCTTTCGGAGACGATTACAACGTGCACTGTCCCTGTCATCCTCCGGGTCTGAGGATATCTGGATTCCGCCCAGATCTGCGGCGGGGGATACTACGGAGGACGAGTGTTCTAAGGAGGACGACTCTTTTGGCAACCACCGCAACGGAATGGCAGCGGATGATGGCCAGGAAAGTCTTCTGCACACCTGCAGTACGAGCCCGAGACCAGACGAAGAACTGGAACAACCCGGACAGGATCTCTCCGAGAACTGCAATATGATCGCCTTCCAATGTCTTGCAGAGTGAGTGTCAATCCGCTCCCTTGGAATGGTGTTCTATGATATGCTGACTTACAACGTTTAGACTAGATGTCCGAACGAAGTCAGTTGTGCGACCCACCAGAGAAAGAACACAGGCTGATTATTTTGCAGGTCCATGCAGAATTCATTGAATAACCAGAACAGCTGGATTGGAAACATTCGCAGTGATCTGGAGGAAATCCGCAGTCGGTTGGCTGTTGTGGAGACGGCTATTGAAATGAGGGCCAAAAAGGGGGAGAGCAATGCTACTGAGGGTAATACATCTAGACGATCGCTTCGGTCGCAGTAGTGATTCAGATCGGAAATATGATGAAATTAAGTCTATGGTCTAGAGCCGGATGTCAGCCTTGTTAGCTGAGGTATATTATTCCGTTGTGCTTTGCGAACAATTATATTTCACCTCGGCAGACTCTCGCTTGAAGTTGTATATAACCGCAGCCCTGCGGGAGGTCAGAAGAGAAAGCGTCGATAGGAATCCGGTGCGACGAGATGAACTTCCTATCGGCTGGAAGTCGCAACCTGATACGATAAAACATCCGATTAAGATTTTCGGGAGTTCAATGGCCTGGCGATCATTCAAGTCACACCGGACAATCATGGCCCACCCTGGCTGTGGGCCCCGCTGCTAACCAGCGGCCATGGAGGATCCTCTCTTCCCTCCAATTGGCGGAACAAAACCTGATCATCTATGTTCTTACGTGAAAATTCGTTCTACTATAGCGGAAGACAAATCAATTCGTACATTTATTTCCAATTTTACTGTTATCCTGGGATGGCGCTGGTGTTATCTATCTGCGTGGTGGTTATGTGAAATTGACTATGCAGTTCCGCCACATCCAAAGCTGTCCCAAGCCCTGAATCTGTCATGCTTCACGCACGCGATTCATACTGGTTGGCTGGAGTTGGCACCTGCTGAGTAACAAGTGGGTAATTACTCGATGCGGAGAATCCGGGTAGGGCATTGTGACCC